AATCAAAAAAGCGGAACTTCCTCTAAAAGCTTTATGCATTAAGTCAGTTCTATTAGGCAAATATGAAAGTATTCACCTATATAAAAGTAACCGTGGTAAGGAACATTTAACTTCTTGATTTATCAAAGTAGATAGAAACATAAATACCGTACTTCATGGAGTTTACTGGAATTTTCTCGAACAAAACTTAATAGGTAGAAGTAATTGTGAATATTTCAAAGTCCTCAGACTTCATAGCTAATATCACGAACTCACTTAAGTTAGACAATCATCACTAGATGGATGTTTCGTTCGTGGAATCTTCAGCCACGCACACTCACTTCCCCGTCATAGGGAATAGGATCCAGGACTTTAAGCCTGGCACTCTAATGCCTAACCTCTAAAACATTGAACCGGAACCCAATGCTATGCAAGCCTCAATGATTAATATTTTTAAATTGTAATCATATAAAATAATCATTTACTAAATGAGTAAATTAAATCCTAAGAGAATATTACCAAATATTAGATTAATTACTTACCTACGTCTGATAGCCCTCGTCGAAGAGCATAGGCTACCCACCAGCATTCTTCATCCAACACTGTTCTGGACAATGTTTTCCAGTCCTTTCCAGTTGCCATTCATCGTTTTCATGTCTACTTCCAATTCCCCACTCAATGTATTCCCTGGTCTTCTTTTCCATTTCCCTTAAAGATTTCAAGTTAGCGCTTGCCTCGTGATGCAGTTTGATGATTTCCGTAATATATGTCCTATCCACTTCCAGCGTCTTCTCCTGATTTCCTCTTCAGCTGAAAGCTGATTTAATCTCTCCCACAGTAGGGTGTTGTTGATGGTTTCCGGTCAACGGACATTGAGTATCTTTGTGTAGACAATTATTTATAAACACTTGTACATTTTTGATTATGGTTGCTAGAAAAAGGCCGACCGGACTGAACACATATTAGATTAGACCATAATGAACACACAATCATCTACGTTGATTATTCACTATCGTTTCCTATGAAAATGATCATGTTCGTGTTCGAAAAATTTTAATAATTTCTAATAATTCTGAAAATAAAATCAACAGTCTACAAGCAATAACATAACTCATATCTATTTATTTATACACATAAACATCGGTACAAGAAGGCACCAAATAGATATGCGCCACATAAATGATTCGATCTGTGTGAGGGCTGGGATACTGCCCAGGTGCCTAAACCGTAGCAGGTGGTTCCCTTAGGAGGCCACACCCCGAGCCTTTGACTTCAAGGTCTAGTTCACAAGGCAGTGGAGCAACGTCAGAAGATGCAGTCTCATGGTAGCCAGTGACCAGTAATTGGTTCACACGCCATTCGTTTCTTCAGGATTCTGGAGCCCATGTACACTAGTGGTTTGGAATCAGGGTTTTACAACTCCCCTAGATGAATCCTCCATATTCACTCACCCGACTAAACTGCCGTACATTCGCTTTTTGTCCTCTCAATTTCGTAAACAACATATCTACTGCGAAAAGACAGTTAGTAGGACTTCCCTAACAATGGCTGTATACGCATGGACACTTGAGAGCATTCAGAGAGTGCTAGGTTTGGAGTGGTTACGAGTTCACTTAGTCTGCGGGCGGTAACAAAGACTTGTGACCAAAGACCAATAAACTAACTATTCTACTGCGTCCTAGCCCCGCTAACTAGAGAGAGAAATCGAAGTCCGAACGGGGAAGTATATTTCGTAAAAAGCCAGAAGCACGAGCGATAACGATAGACACAAATCAAAACGTATATATACAGCACAAAACCGTTCTTGGAAAGAGTTACAAAATAGCATAATAAAAGACAAAACGGATCGATGTCGTTTAGGATTCTCCCAAGTGGGAAATGTGACATGAAGGTGAAAAGAGAGATTCCGGCGCGAAAACAAAGAAATGCTAATTTTCAGAATAAAATTACAAAATTAAGACCTTTTCCAAGTGAGTTCTAGGGATCTAACGTCCTCAACAGACAGGGAGAGTTGACTCTCTCCACTCTCGGTCGTATTAGGTTATTTAGAGGTAAAATATAAGTACAAACACATAAATTTCTATCTAAATGAATTTGTTAGTTATAGACAATGAATCAAACACGTTTTTTTCTACAACAAACTAATACAAAACAAAATCTATTGAATAATTATTTCATCTCATTATCTAACTTGTTTACACTTATTAATCTAACATAAAATCAAACATACAATCATTAAGTCCAATAACCATCATATTATTATAAGCTTTATTCAATATTATATTTTTGGTACAATATAGAATTCTCGGCACAAAGTATCTCAACAAGTTTCCGTTTCTTACTTCTTGGTCGATCTTGACGATAAATACTGATTGATCGCCAGTTAAATGTTAGCAATCCAGTAAATGAACATCTGAATAATGTATATTCTTTGCGCTGCATATTGTCATTGACCACATTATTGGGCTATTTTGTAATTTTAACAACGAAAAGTTGTACACTTTTCAGAAATGCAACAAGATAAACTATGCGATTAATAGACATAATGATATACTAAAACAAACAAAAATAGATAACTTGCTGAAATATGTAGATGCCAGAAACAGGTAGCCCAGATGCTCAAGCAGGCCGCCTATTAAGATATATACATCACAATTGATTGATCACTGGGTGGTGATCAATGTCATGCATGTCTAGTCCTAATTAATGCAGATCGAATGCCATCGATCATGTTGCAATGTGGCCGCCAGTCTAGGTGACTCGACACTGTGGGCACTATGTATTGAGATTTAGATGGTGGTTGGAGGTAGTCAACAGGAAACCCTGGTATATTACTGGTGCTCCCTGGCTCCCTGCCAGTTCCCTCAAGATTACAGGTACACCTTGCTGACGAGTGCCAAGTAATACGAAACCCGGGTCCAGGGTTTCCTGTTGACTACCTCCAACCACCATCTAAATCTCAAGATATATATATATATATATATATATATATATATATATATTTGCTTTTTAAAATAAGATCATTTATAATATTGCTTTATTATTGATTTTAGATTATCTAGTAAAATTGTAGCTACATATCGTTTATGCTCAGAACAATTATCATCACAACATCATTATGATTATGGTATGCGTGCTGTTAAATCAGTATTAACAGCAGCTGGTAATTTACGTCAAAAATATATTAATGAAGATGAATCAGTATTATTATTAAAAGCAATTAATGATGTAAATTTACCAAAATTTTTATCATATGATATACCATTATTTGAAGGTATTATATCAGATTTATTCCCTGGGATACAATTACCTAAATATGATTATAATCAATTTATTGATTGTTTACATGAACAATTAAATAATTATCAATTACAATATATACCATGGTACTTAAATAAAATTTTACAAATTTATGAAATGATACTTGTTAGACATGGTTTAATGATTGTTGGTGATACATTAAGTGGTAAAACTAAATCATATCAAATATTAGCTAATACAATTAATAAATTAATTGAAACTAATCAAATTAATAATGAATATTTAGTACAATATAGTATTATTAATCCAAAATCAATAACTATAGGACAATTATATGGACAATTTGATATTGTATCACATGAATGGTCCGATGGTATATTATCTATTATATTTCGTGAATATGCTACAATACAAGATAATAAACGTAAATGGATATTATTTGATGGACCAGTTGATGCTGTATGGATTGAAAATATGAATACTGTATTAGATGATAATAAAAAATTATGTTTAATGTCAGGTGAAATTATACAAATGTCATCATTAATGAATTTAATATTTGAACCAGCTGATTTAGAACAAGCTAGTCCAGCAACTGTATCAAGATGTGGTATGATTTATATGGAACCAGAACAATTAGGTTGGAGACCAATGGTTAAATCATATATAGATTATCAATTACCAAATAATTTAATAAATGAATTAAAAGAATTAATTAATGATCTTTTTGAATGGCTTGTTGATCCATGTTTAGAATTTATACAAACTAATTGTAGACAATTATTTTCTATATCTAATTTACATGCTGTTAAACAATTAATTACATTATTTGATTGTTTATTAGATGAAATAAGACATTGGTGTACATTAGATCAAAGTGAGTTGATAGTTTATAATATCACCAATAACACAGATTAATATGTATTTAAAATAGTTTTGATTAGAAAATAATGAATGAGACTATAATTTATGAACAGCCTTTTGAGCGACGCTAGACTGTTCTTGAGAGTATTCACTTAATAATTAGGGTCAAATGAGGGTTATAAATCTGTGTGAGGAATTAAAATTATGATTTACAGTTGATGATTAAGGTTAGGAATTAGATTTCAGGTTTTCATCACAAACTGATATCAGCTACAATCTCAAAACTCTATTTCGATAGAACAATGAGAAGACGGAGTTGATCTGAAAAATGTGATGTATTTGCGCTATACATTTCGAACAATCTGGTCACACATATACTTGTCAGGACATTTTTATATGAAAATTAATAAAGGTCAATTAAATGAAAGTTCAAGTCAGTGTGTAGGAAACCAACCTGGACGGGACAATACTTAAATTTCCATAGTTTTTGTCCATTGCAGTACAAGCGAGGCCTAGTTAAGTGTCTCTTTAAGAGGACTCAAAGAATTTGTACTTCTGACACGTTAGAAACAGATGAAAAGTTACTGACTGACACATTAATAGTAAATGCTTATCCACTAAAGTTTATTAATAGGTGCAAAAGTCAGTTAACGCCAAGACCTCTTGTTTATTTAGTTCCAAAGAAAAAAGTTTATATCAATCTACCATATAGAGGCGAATCCAACAGCATAGTTTTAAGACAGAGATTGAAAGCAGCCATCGAGAATACCTATTATGCTGCTCAATTGGTTGTGATTGAAAAGTTTAAGCCCATGATTCCTAATAGACCCAAACAATGAACTAATGATTACGTCACATCCCATTGTATTTACCAATTTACATGTTTGTGTGGACACATACATAGGGAGGAGTAATCGAACAATGCAATCAAGGGTCATTGGACATGTGCCCAGATGGCTTCAAAATCAATGTGTGTCAAATGATCCGATCAATGTGGGAGGTAGAAAACCAGGTTCATCGATAGCGAAACATTATTCAAACGGGACACAAAATTGACATTAATACAGCATTTAGAACGTTGTATAGAAATTGTCAAGGTCGAATTCTTGAGTTTATTGAAGCCTTGGCTATTCGTAAATTTAAACCTCCCTTATGTGTCACAAAAACAATTTGTCTTAACCTTGAATTTACCTTGGTAATCCTTAAGTCATTCTATGGCCTAGGATAACGTGGCAATTTCTTATTCTTTCTCTCCCCTTAGTTATTTTAATTGTACTTTATTTGTTTGACCTTTAATTTTCATATAAAAATGTCCTGACAAGTATATGTGACCACATTGTTCGAAATGTATAGCGCGAATACATCACATTTTTCAGATCAACTCTGTCTTCTCATCGTTCTATTGAAATTTATAAAAGGGAATAATTGCTTTCAAACGCTATTTACTCAAAATAGGTAAACATTTATTGCACGGCCATTTTGTATTTTTTTTCGAGTGAAATTTTTTTTCGTCCCTTTGGAAAAAATTTTCATCCCCATCTTCCAATAATTTTCATTCTGTTTCGTCCAATCAAATAACTAGTTTTGAGTTCGTTATAATTGGTCGTTATTTCTTCAAATCGATATAAAACATGAGGACTTGACGACAGAGCACATTTTCTTACAATTACGGACGGTAGTAACATGCGAAGCACGAGCTCCGTTGTTCACCACGTTGTCACAGAAACCGGTAACCTGTTCGTTCTTGAGCACATTGTATCTCGTAACGTCTCAATCACTTGACGAGCTCCACAAGAACTTATGAAACAGCTGCGTACTGCCATTATGTGGTGAGGGATTCTCATTTAAGTAGAGATCGTAAGCCGTATATTAGATTCGTATGTTGGAGAAATGAAGCATTGCTTCGCATGGACAAAAAATCCAGGTACTTCCATCAACAGTTTCATGTGGCGGTTGCGCAAGATTGCAAATATCACAAAGTCTGTTTTCATACGCGTTTTCGTCATTGTCGTTGTCTCGTTCAGTGAACTCCTCTGAGCTAATCGAAACAATTTCTTCCTCTTCATTGCTTAACGTTGCATCCATATTGACGTTATTTTGATAGTCGGTAACTTACAAAATATGACGGAAGGACATTGAGTGTTCACGGTAGTCCTTTATGAAAAATTATAATAACACTAATCAAATTACCTCGTTCGTCTACTCGGCTGTGAGGAACCGCTAGGTGTTCCACGACCATTTCTCCAACATACGAATCTAATATACGGCTTACGATCTCTACTTAAATGAGAATCCCTCACCACATAATGGCAGTACGCAGCTGTTTCATAAGTTCTTGTGGAGCTCGTCAAGTGATTGAGACGTTACGAGATACAATGTGCTCAAGAACGAACAGGTTACCGGTTTCTGTGACAACGTGGTGAACAACGGAGCTCGTGCTTCGCATGTTACTACCGTCCGTAATTGTAAGAAAATGTGCTCTGTCGTCAAGTCCTCATGTTTTATATCGATTTGAAGAAATAAACGACCAATTATAACGAACTCAAAACTAGTTATTTGATTGGACGAAACAGAATGAAAATTATTGGAAGATGGGGATGAAAATTTTTTCCAAAGGGACGAAAAAAAATTTCACTCGAAAAAAAATACAAAAATGGCCGTGCAATAAATGTTTACCTAAACACTAAGTCAGTCAGCTATTTGAATTATTACTTTATGAATATTAAAAATCTTTTATATGTAAGAAATAATTTTAGCTGTAGATATGGTTATGATCTATAAGATTTAGTATTACGTACACGATTCTCAGAAATGATATTGAATTCCTTGAGGTTTGATATAGATTTCGTTGTATAATACAAATAGGCTTTAAAATTGTACAAACAACTGGTGAGTAGCCGTGACCAGTGGAGTCCAATCAGTGTCAGCTGTGAGACAGTTATCTACCTCAGACAATGGATGAAGAGTTTCGCAAGATCATGGACCGATTGAAGTTAGACGTTAACACCGTTTGATGTCAGCTCAGTGGTCTACAGGTTAAGCATTCAAGAGTGAGACCGAAGATCCTGGGTCCACATATCGTGTGCGGGATCGTGGACGCGCACTATACTAAGACGAAACAGCTTTTCAGTGCTTCCAGGTTTTCACTAGCGGTCTAACTTAGATCGACTCGTGAATTCAACTATGAAAATACTGCAATCTCTACAAGTCCCCATACTGGTAATTGTAACTAAGTAAGAGTTAATGCTACAGCGTCATACACTACCATTCAGTAGAATAACTCAGATATCACTCAATGCCGTCTATGTGGGGAAGATAGATTCTTTTCAAATAGTTCGTTTTTCAAGTTGTACAATTATATATTTACGTAATAAATTATATGTCTATGAATAACTATGTTTGATGGAATTTAATTAGTTATTCATAAAATTCTAACTAAACAACTAGTTATCAAAGAAAGAAATTTTCGGAAAACGAGAAATATATAATCGTTTGAGTCAAAAGTATAATTGTGAACGGTATCAAATTGAAAATGGACTCGTTAAAAAAGATTTTGTCATTGATCGAATTGTCTTATGGTTTAGTGAGTGTACAAGGAAGTAAACCTCTTTGTAACAGTAAACTGCTCATCTATCCCAAAAATTCGACTGAACCTAAGAAAATCAGTAACTGACACCATTTCGGAATCTAAATGACATGAATATGACTGAGTATGAAATTATGAGGAAAGTCTGTATGTTGCTATGACATCAAAACATCATCGTAGAATTAATTAGGTAGAAATAGTATTAGGAAAGCTAGAGGCGGTCAAACTAAAATGTGTCATCAATCCATAAAGTCACTGAATGTTAATCTGCGTCGTATTGACTGTGTGATTGATTTCAAATTGATCACCGAGACCAGTTATTGTATATGGCAAATGATCTGGCTTAGAATCGTTCACAATAGTGCAGACGCGTTCACTTATTATATTGACCTAAACCTTGATCTCAAGTACTCCCTCATACATAATTAGTGTCATGTCCAAGAGAAGATTAAATTATGAATAAATTCTCAAGGCTATTAATAGAATATGATAAATATATTCTTATTTTATAACTAGATTATGTATACCTATACTCCTCTTATTATAAGCTTCCATTTGACCTATTGACTACTATTTTACGATTTACTGTTTTTAAGTTATACCCAGTTTATTAATCACACAATTGCAGCCACTTTTTGGCTTGATCCTGTGCAATTGTTATTTTTTATTTTACGGTATGTCATCTGACTTGCTTGTATATAAACCAAGTATGTCTAAATTTATTGATTCATGTAGTGGAAGCTGATATTGGTGTTCTGGGCTCAACATTCGCGACTAGTCAGGAAAAAGGGTCAATGAGGACTCTAGGCTGCTCATACCAGTCAACACGTCAATGGTTTGGCATAGTGCTAAGATTGTATTAGTCGTATTCTGATTAGTGAATCAATCACGTGATAATTAACCGAGCAAAAATCACAACACTTAGTCTTTCTCATCACCATTGGTAATACACTATTTCAACTCATCCACTATTCGTCTTGTTAATTTTATTTCGTGCTAATATGATACTGTAAATTGAGCTAATACGCAATTCTGCCATACGCTACATTGATCATAAATATTTCACTTGAGACTTGGAACTTTTCAGCCGCGTACACTAATGACTACATCATCGGTAAAACCCAGTATTTTCTCCCTTTTTTCAAACCATTTTATATTCATAAATCATTAGTCAAGGTGAAGTTCGATCATTTCAGCTAGCATATATTTCGACCTTGTTCTAACCTGTTGACGAGTGATTGACCTATTCGAATTTAGTATCTTACTGTTGTTACTAAGACATAAAAACTTGAGTGATAACAATAATATCGTTGTGAACGAGAACACAAATGGAGACAACCAAATGTATTTCAATCCAACATTACAGAATATCTTGGTAAAATACGTGAACCATACATTTGCAAAATACTCATCAACTGTTTCAGACCTTATTGTTCTTTCCTTTCCATACCAATCGCTCTTTGTTCTCTTTCTCTTCTCTTCGATTTTCTAAACCTTCCACTTTCGATTGGTGATAAATACAAGTTATATCTGTTGACATCGACAGTACACACCACAATATTACCTTATGCTTTCAAATGTGTCATACATTACATAACGCTCATTTAGATTCTATAATAACTGAATGTTAATAGTTGATTAATAAATCAAATAAATTGTTACAGATGTCTGGTTTTCCCGGTTTTTTTTTTTCAAATACAGTTTCTATGCACAAATTAATGTTGATATGTTTTATGTTATGTCTCTTTGATTTTGATTATAGATACAGAAACATCGGAAATTGGTTCACCACAAGCGAATATGTCTGTTCAAACTGTTTATTTACAAATTCAAGCATTATTTCTTTTCTCAATTGTGTGGAGTTTAGGATCATGTTTACCAACTGAATCAAGAGGGAAATTTGATTTATTTTTTCGTGATCTAATTTCTGGTACAAATCAACAACATCCTAAACCAAAAACAATTAAATTAACTAAAGCTAATTCATTTCCAGAACGTCAAACTGTTTATGATTTTTGGTTTGATAAAAAATCCCAAGGATCATGGACTGATTGGATTAATTTTAATTGGAATCCAATGAAAGCTGGACAATGTTATAATCCTAATGAATCATTATCTATAACAAATTCTGAAAGTGGTATACTGAATTCATCAAGTTCAATTGGAATTGATAATGATTCACAAAGTGATATGATTGTTAGTACAATTGAAACTGAACGAATGTATTACTTTCTTAATCTGTATACAACACATCGTATTCCATTACTTCTAGTTGGACCAACAGGTATTAACACTTTAATAAAAACGTAGGTGAGATTATAATTTATGGATGAGCCAATCAAGTATAAGATAACAGGTCTCAGATTTTGGCGCAAAATTCATTCATCCATTTGGATAAATTGCATTTTGGCATTATAGCTGATGTTAGTTCGTGGTGAAAACCCTTAATCTAATTTCCAACCTTAACCATCAAATGAAAATCATAATTCTAATCCTCACAATATTTCATAACCCTTATTTGATCCTGGTTATTAGGTGAACACCCTCAAAGTCACTTCAGCAATGCTCAAAGGTCGTCCATAAATTATAGTCTCACCAAAATGTGCTTTTAATTTATTTTAATCTAAATTAAGAAATAATTAATCAAATTAATAGTGTTATAAATTAACATTTTGTTTGTTCCTAATCATACTTTTGGTATATGCTATTTATATCTGTCGGTATAAGTAGTATGTAACACCAATCGAAAATTGAATGCATATCAAAAAAAGGTTGAGTAGAATGAGCTAGAAAAAGTCAGAAAATAAAACATAAAGGGATTGAGAAATGGAAGAATTGTGAAGGTTATAAAGGACAATTATTGAAAGATTTGTAAATGAAGTATTTAACGTATGGTTTTCACATTTTATCGAAGATCTCTGTAATTTTGTGTTAAACCATAAATTGGTTGTCCCCATTGGAGTGTTCATTCACCACATAATTATCTAACTGATTCATAAAAAACAAGATATGAACGAAGTAGAATGTATTTGGGAATCACCGTCTAACAAATCATGCATTTAACCTTTTCTTTCACATACTTGATAAATATATGTGTACATTCCGTAAGTGATGTCAAGATTAGTGGGATGACAACAAGCGGCTAAAACAAAGTGATGTAACGGCTGTTCTGTTTTATAAAGGGTAAGGGTGAATTATGAGGGCGAAATTAAGTAAATAAGCAACCTTAACAGATTTTCGACCTATTCAACTAATTAGAAAAAAAAAGAAGGATTTCAATTTCTGCAATCATAGTATAGGTGTAAAATTCAGAGTTAGAGTTAGGATTTTCATCATGAAATGACTTCAACTCTGATGAAATATTGCTTTGTAGTAGCCACTCAGATGAATGAACTCGGAAATTCCTAATCGTAAAACTATTTATTTTGTTCGTTAAGTTTAGTGTCACGTAACCTTAAATCCTGAGGATAATTCTTAATACCAGCTCTTACCTTTAGTCTTTGAGAATGCATTACATCGGAGATGATATCAATTCGTGATTAAAACGTTAACCATTATTCCCTTCTATTTCAAAATAAGTAGACGGTATTCTGTTTTTATTTAGGCATCATGATCTAAAAGCAATGTGAACATTCATTATTAGCTCACACATATATTTCAGCTTAACCTTTTAAAAGTCATTTCATTTATGAGTTGGGATCACTATTACGAATTGATTATTATCTATTTATTTATTTGAACACCTAAATATTGAAACAAAGGGGAACCGGATACATATGCGCAACATAATTCATTTGATTTGTGAGTGGGCTGTGATACTCACTGGGTGCCCAGATCGAAGAAGGTGGACTCCTTAGGGGGCCACATCCCGAGCCTTCTACCTAAAGCTCTGATCCACAAAACAGTGGAGCAAAGTCAGGAGATGCAATCCCATGGTAGCTGGTGACCAACAATTGATTCACACACCATTTGTTCCCTCAGGATCCTGGAGCCCACTTACACCATTGGTTTGGAACCAGGGTTTTCCAACTCCTCTAGGTGGATCCTCCATGTTCACCAACTAGGTTAAAGAGCCAGACATTCGCTTCTCGTTCTCTCAATTCCGCAAACAACACCCCTCCACGAATAATCAGTGAGTAGGACTTCCCTGGAAGAGGCTATATGCGTGTGGCCATGTGAGAGCATTTCGAGAGAGAGAGAGCTAACTCTCTCCCCCATCGGCCGTACCAACTCATTTAGGGGGCTTCATTCATTCCGGTAATGTTATTTATAAATTATCCTACAATATTTCTGTCAATAAAACACTAAATACGTTTTTTCTGGTTTATTGGAATTTGAAAATAGTTAACATTGATTCTGAGGTATCATTCGTAATCTCCAACTTAACTTTCCTATTTTTCATTTAAATAACAGTAGAAACTGAATCATTAGTTTGATTAGAAACAAATAAACATTTTATCTTGCATTACAAAAAAAATTAATAAACGTTCCTCCTAAACGTAGTTTGACGTATTTTAAGTAAAATAAACAGCTGTAGGCTAAGAAATTATGTAATGAACAAAATCCCTTTATGGGGGGAGGTTATATATTGAAGTATCTAACAATCAATCATTTTCACGGTCATTACTACAAACAAACAAAATACATACAAGTAAGATTCCCATGGTCTATTTCTTTCTATGAACAAATTAGTACTAAAGGGAAACAATTGTCCTATGTTCTTTGACTTTCAATGACTGATTAAAACCACAAGTTCATACTTTTCAGTATGATGGTTAAGGAATCTTTAATGTTGACAGATAATTCCCATTTAAACATTAAAATTAAAACACGAATTTCAGCGAAGGGATCTCTTTTCAACGAATTTAGTATCAACCGTCTAACAACAACTATTAGAAGAACATTTAACGCGGCAAAACTGCGAATATCCTTCACTAGTAGAAACTTATTTTCTGTATCCATAAAAGATAAGCTTCCGTGGAGCAAGGTATATTGGCCGTAGCCAGCGCTCGCTTTCAACTCGGATACGAGAACATATCCCAGCTTGGTTCTATGAGGGTGAAAGGAAAGCAGTTAGGAGTTCTATACTTGAACACCTAATCGACTATAACCATTCAACAGATCCACAAATTGACTTTAAGGTTGTTTATATGATTCGTTCAAATCTACCCAGATTTCTTCGTATCCAACTTTTAAAAATAGCCGAAGCTCTTACTATCCAGGAGCTTAAACCAGAACTATGCGTACAAAAGAAGTACGTCTTATCGTTATCGTTACCTTGGCCTTAAGCATTTTGATTATCCAATTATTGTTATTATTATTATTATTATTATTATTATTATTATTATTATTATTATTATTATTATTATTATTATTACTGCATTCCCCCCTTTACTCATGTCTTATATTCCCATTGTTTTATTGGTAATTACTCATCATATCACCTTATTTATTATTTTTCACACCTCTATGACCTTTAATTATTATATCAAAAACATTTTAATCATTCTAATCATCTTATTATATTCACTAAATCTATTGTTATTATTCATATTACGTAATCTAGTATTATAACCCTTTTTATTAACTGTGTTCACATTTCCTCACGGAATTAGTACTTTTACAAAAACAAAATTTTCATATATATACGATTGTACAACTTGATAATAAATTCGTTGAAAAGAGATCCCTTCGCTGAAATTCGTGTTTTAATTTTAATCTTTAATGTCCCTATATCTGACTCGAATTACATCGGATGAATGATTGTTGCCAAAATACACACATCGGTTATCTTTGTATATTTTATCAAATTAAATCGCGTTGATGAATAACGGAATTAAATAAGTCGAATATGTGAATGGATTTTTGAATACATACATTTTTTACACTCACTGATCTGGAAAGAAAAGAGACGGATGAAGGGAATAGAAGAGAGCGAAGCGAAGGCGTGTGCGCCAAATCTATTTAGTCAAGTGTTGATCAATACTTATAGCCAAGAAAAAATAAGTTACAGACATTTGATGAGTACAATAAGACGTACACACACATAGACTCATATAAAAACAGTCGGGGTTGATAAGTGAATTATTAACGTGTGACTCAAGAAGGGTGGATAAATTGATCTGTCCGGAAGCTAGAATAAGGTATATGGGCATAACAACAACAGCCGACACTACAAATCATTATTCAAGCTCCTAGAATAAAACACTTCAGACAGAAACATATATCAGATATGTATAACCTAATCATAGACTTTTTCTTATCGCACATATGTCCAACTCATAGTGAACATCATGTAAACCTATTACTCTATCCAATTGTGTTACCGTTTCTATAACACTTCATTAAAGACTTTACATTATAAATAGCTATTAATTGACGGCACTGTATTATATCATATCATTTATTGATCAGTATCCTATTTACTATTTCCAAATAACCCCCCAAAATGTTAATCATTACAAGACCTTAGTATCTTTCTGACCCTCCCAATTGATGTTTTATTTTATCTTTCTTTTTTCTTCTTTCTCTTCTCTTTATCTTTTAAGGAACTGGTAAATCTGTTATTGCTAATAATTATCTTATTCAATTACCTAAAGAAAACTACTTACCAAATATTTTAAATTTTTCTGCACGTACAACTGCTAATCAAACACAAGATATTATTATGTCACGTTTAGATAGACGACGTAAATGTGTATATGGTCCACCTATAGGTAAACAATGTATTGTATTTATTGATGATTTAAATATGCCAATGAAAGAGAAATATGGCGCCCAACCACCTATTGAATTATTACGTATGTGGATTGATCATAATCATTGGTATGATAGAAAAGATAATACAAAACAATATTTAGTTGATGTAGTAAGTACAGATAGATTGCCATTATTTCTGTTTTGTTTTTTCTTTTCATATGGATTGTATAAAATTGATATGAAATAATCTATTAAGTATAATGACCGATGAATTTTAGTTGGTGTATAAGTAATTTGATTAATCAACGAATCAAAATAAGAGACATGTAGTTGCCTTTGTTTCGTTAACCAATCACCCTCGTAACTGTTATTATATAAACCTTAACGGTGTTTGGAATCAGAAGGCAAAGAGAAGTGGCAACTAAGGTTTTATTAGCAGACAGCGCAGATCACAAAGCTATAAGCACACTGGACGAATTTGAGGCAGAGAGGCGAATAAGTATGTACTTTCAAATACATTGGGAAATTTACAGTCAAATCGCATAAGGGCATAGCAAGGATTAATAATAGGATTTGAGTACATATATACATGGGGAGGAGGACAATTCATCGGGTGATACTTATGCAATCAATACTTTAGTTAGCCTGTCATGTGATCTAGTGATCATAACGGAATATGCGAATTGTTACTGTTCAAATAACATTGTCTGTTAAGTAAGCTAATAAAAGGGCATAACCAAAATTAACCATAATCGAAATGGGTTGCAGGATATTTGCTATAGATATCATAAACAGAGATAGATGGTGGCTAGTAGTGATGTTTGTTTTGTCTTATTTAAGACTCATCAGCTAAATGTACCTACATCCTAGAGTTAGTGTTCACTCTGAGATTCGAACCCAGGAACTCAATCGGATTTGAAGCAGACGGTACTGCGTTCTTCATACAATATATTGGACTTATAAATCCTTCATTTAATGCTGATTTTTTTAATATTTCAAACCTTACAAATAGATATCAACCTGTACAATGCCTAACTCTTGGGTTTCTTGTAGATTATTTGCAACCATACAACACCGATCTTTACTCCAATGTCAAGTCACTTAGTCTAGTGATTTTATCACATACTTGGCCGCTGGAGATCGGTCGACAACGAGGACCAAATGAACTGACGGTCATTATCGCTCATATATAGATAGATATCACAGTTAAAGATGTTAATTTGTTTTTATGTTGTTGACAACATCTTACAGATTCATTTGAAGACATGACAATATATTAAATTGATGTTTTTTCCATGTTAATATGTATATTCACATAACTCATAACTAATGTAAAAAGCACCTACTCTAATGGAATTTATTAGATAGACAGGAATTAAATTTCACATCGTTTTACTTCAGTCTTTTGAATAAATAAATGATATCTGTATAGGGTTGTCCAAATGTCATTAAAATCATGAACTACCATTGGAAAAGTGAAAGCACTGAACAGGGGTTCCGTCCTAGTATTGAACTCTTCAATAGTGTGTATCCACGATCCCTCTTAAGGGTTCATGATTTTAATTAAATTGTATTATCTTTGATTTCCAAGTAGGGACCGGAGTCAGACAAGGCTGTCTACTCTCTCCCTTCCTCTTTCTTCTGGTCGTCGACTGGATTATGAAGACTTCGACATCTGAGGGAAAACACGGAATACAATGGACAGCTCAGAATCAGTTAGACGATTTGGACTCCGCGGATGGCCAAGCCCTCCTATCTCATACACACCAACAAATGCAGATAAAGACAGCCGGTGTAGCAGCAGTCTCAGCATCAGTAGGCCTCAACACACACAAGGGGAAAACCAAGGTCCTCAAATACAACACGGAGACCACCAATCCAATCACTCTTGATGGCGAAACTCTGGAAGATGTAGAATCCTTCACGTACTTGAGAAGCATCATCAATGAACAAGGAGGATCACATGCAGATGTAAAGGCGAGGATTGGCAAAGTAAGGACCGCATTCCGACAATTGAACAACATATGGAACTCAAAACAACTTCCAACCAATATCAAAGTCAGAATTTTTAATACCAACGTCAAGGCAGTTCTACAGTACGGAGCTGAAACTTGGAGAACTACTACAACCACCATCAAGATGGTACAAGTATTCATAAATAGTCGTCCACACAAGACACTCAACATCCATTGACCGGATACCATCAGTAACAGCCTACTGTGGTAAAGGACAAACCAGCTTCCAGCTGAAGAGGAAATCAGGAAAAGATGGAAATGGATAAAATATCCATTATGCAAATGATCAAACTGCATCACGAGCCATCCTTAACTTGGAATCCTGAAAGGGAGCGGAAAAGAGGAAGGCCAAAAAACACACTAAGTCGGGAAATAAAAGCAGGTATGAAAAGGATGAATAACAACTGGAAAGAGCTGGAAAGGATTGCCCATGATAGGATTGGATGGCGAATGCTTGTGGTTGGCCTATGCTCCTTCACGAGGGATAACAGACGTAAGTAATGTTAATATTATATCTCAACATTATAATTAATGATTAAATTTGTATTTATTTGTCAATTTATTATTATTTTTTAATTACATTTAATTAGCAATTTATGGCTGCTATGGGACCACCTGGAGGTGGACGAAACAATATTACACCACGTTTAACTAGACATACAAATGTATTAGGTGTCAATGAATTTGATGATCAAACAATGTTAAAAATATTTACTACTATTACCGATGCACACTTTTCAAATGGTTTTGAACCACAATTTATGCGATTAAGTAAAGTATGTTCAGTTTTATTTTACATTAATATTTGTAAATAAGATCATTTCAAGGTTTTCGTTTGTAGTTGATCCAATATAAAAAATAAATCAACACTCCGATCCTAGTTAGATAAACATTCAAATTATTAGTTTAAAAATAGATCATAGTAAAAATGGATAGTGGCAAGAATTGAAATCTGGAATTATTGTTTCATCTTGTTTGAAACTCATCAGCTAGATATACTTATATCCATGTGAATGTTCACTTCGATAATTGAATCCATCACTCCAATAAACTACTTGGCTGATATGTCCATTAAATTGTTCAAATCCAATGAATATTATTATTTATTTGCAAAGTTTTTTTCTAATCATCCCGTTATTGATGTTAAGAGATAAGTTTTGACCAATCATTTTGTAGAAGGTAGCCAACGTTCTTTTTTACTTGAGAATTTGTGAATTAATGGAAATATCGAGGTGATCCATTCAGGATGCTATATGCCGTGAAAAGATTAATCAAGATTTAGTCCTTAATATCAATAATGTAAATATTCAAACACTTATATAGATCATAAATCACAACTTAGTTTTGATATTCTAGTCTATTGATTTTACTTTCTTCATGGGAATCGACAATAGAGTTCCAGTTGTATAGTGTTTAATGTTTTTAAGTGTTTCTTCAACTGCCGTTGTCTAAGTACAAAATAAAGTTATTTGACTACACGTAAAAATGATTCACAACTCTTGCTTACTACAGTATCACTATCTTTTTGCATGAATTTTCTTGAACTACTCAAACCAACTGTAATTCGCCCCTAAATGCCCTGGTATGGCCGAGAATGGAAATTGTGAGCTCTCTCTCTCTCTTCAAATGCTCTCATATGGCCATGTATCTACAGATACTACTAAAGAAGTCCTACTCATTGCATTCTCGCAGCATAAATGTTGTTTACGAAATTGAAAGGATGAAAAGAGAATGTACGGAACTCTAACCGAGTTAGTGGATATGGAGGATCCCCCTAGAGGATTAGGAAAACCCTGATTCCAAATCAATGGTGCACACAGTCTCCAGGATCCTGAGGAAACAAAATGCGTATGAACCAATCGTTGGTCACCGGTTACCATGTGACTGTATCTGCTAACCTTGCCCCACTGCCTTGTGGATTAGACCTGTACGTGGAAGTCTCTGGATGTGGCCTCCTAAGAAAAGTACCCGCTCGGACAGTATTCCAGCTTTAATACAAACCATTTGATTTGTGTGGTGCCTCTTCTGAAAATAAGATTAATAATTTGGAAGATAGTTGAAGTAAAATTCAATGATGTAATAAATGTGAGAAAGAGTTTAGAGAAAAAGAAAAAAAATATTTAAGATGCAGCGAAGAAATATTTGTCACCAAGGCAAAAAAAAGATTAATAACCATCTCCTTTTGAACACATAAGTCAGGTTTTTGACGCCTGTTGACAACAGCTTCAGTAAACTTCAGAAGACTGGAGTTCGGTTGCCTACTAATCACCTTAAAAGATTGCAAGGTAAATACTTGATGGCTTGTATCAAAGAGATGTTTGGTGATTGCACTGTTTAAATTCTTTCTTTCTCTTTTTTGGAGACTTTTTAGAACATGTTCAAAAAATTTAAGATATACCCTCCTATTCTGTAAATTTAGCTGCTTTGACAGGTACACGTAAATTTATAAATACAGTTGGTGGTAACAATGAAAGGGGTGCTTGTCAAGCTTACTAATAACTACTGTGCTAAAATCTTTGTTCTTGCTCTTTTCAAAAAGGACAGTAATTAAATTCATGTACTTGTGATATATTAAGGTCTAGTTGCCTACAGAAACAAACTAACGTATAATTCACTTGGTATTGTTTTACTTGAATCTTCCCATTGATGTTTTAGGACTGAAATTGATCAGTCTCTTATTGGCATATGTGCATACTGTGCGTATGACTCGATATTGCCTTAATTTACCAGCATTATAAGCAAAGATGGATAGTGGCTAGCAGTGGAATCCAGGACGCGCGTTTCTTCCTATCCTGGACTCGTTAAGTGGATGTACCTGCATCTCAGAGTTGATGTTCACTCTGCGACTCGAACCCAGTACCATTCGCTTCAAACGCCATCGCGTTATCCACTCAGCGCATGAGTCCTGACAGCCACTTGCTTATGCAATGGGGTGAAGTTTAATTCACTTGGTATTGTTTTACTTGAATCTTCCCATTGATGTTTTAGGACTGAAATTGATCAGCCACTGCTAGCCACTATCCATCTTTGCTTATAAAGTTATGCATAGTTCTAATCAATTATAGTTTCTAAATGTAATCCATTAAAAAATTTCTATTCAATAATCAATTAATTCTTTTTAAATTATAAAAAACACATTTCTATTTATTCACAGATATTAGTTCAAGCAACATTACATGTTTACAAATTGTCTATATCAACATTTTTACCAACACCAGCTAAATCCCATTATATATTTAATTTACGTGATTTTGCAAGAGTTATTAAAGGCATACGTTTAATACCATCAAGTAATATGAAAGAAGAAGATAAATTAATGCGTTTATGGATACATGAGGTAAAATAATTGATATTTATCATTAAGATGGTATAATAATAATAATATTACTTCATTGGTAATTTTGTTTTACTAAAGTTTCGAATAAACAATATATATGTATTTAAATTGATATCATGAATGGATCAATGCTAGACAATCATTGAAGACCTGGAAGTACTAAACAGCCTTTTCATCTTACTATGGGATTCCTCAGCAGTGTATACTCATGAAGATGAAAGGGTTGTGGATGCGCACTGCTCAAGAGTCCCATCCTAGGATAAAATGACCGTCCAGGACTTCCAGGTTTTTAGTGGTGGTTGAAAATTGATCCATTCCTGATATCAATCTAAACGCAGTAAACTCCACAACCCTATACTGATATAATTTGTATTATTTTAATATTTTATTTCATATATAGGATAAGTGAGACTTTATTCAAATAAAAGAAGGCATTGGTGAGGGGAAGAAAACATTAACCATTTAGTGTTAATTACAATATATTTTCAGATTTAAACAGATGGATATTGATAGTTTATTGGACCCCAAATGCCCTGGTACGGCCGAGAGGGGAGAGAGTTAGCTCTCTCTCTCTCTCTCGAAATGCTCTCACATGGCCACACGCACATAGCCTCTGCCAGGGAAGTCCTACTCATTGCATATTCGTGGAGGGGGTGTTGTTTACGAAATTGAGAGGACGAAAAGCGAATGTCTGGCGCTTTAACTTAGTTGGTGGTCACGGAGGATCCACCTACAGGAGTTGGAAAACCCTGATTCCAAACCAATGGTGTAAATGGGCTTCAGGATCCTCAGGAAAAAAAAGAGTACGAACCAATCGTTTGTCACCAGCTACCATGGGACTGTATCTCCTTACGTTGCTCCACTGTCTTATGGATCAGTCCTTCAAATCAAAGGCTCGGGGTGTGGCCCTCTTAAGGAGTCCACCTTCTTCGGTCTGGGCACCCGAGCAGTATCCCAGCACTCACACAAATCGGATGATTTATGTGGCACATATCTGTTTGGTGCCTCCTTGTATCAGTATTTATTTGTTCAAATAAATAAATAAGATAGTTTATTGATAATTGTGTAGTGATCAATGTCATAATTCCACACAATATACAAATAAAGCATCTCAAACCATTGTAAAAATCCTAATATATATCCCACACATTTTTCTAAAATTTCTATTTTGAATTACAATCTTTCTGGTGAACAGTAAAATATAATCATGAGTCAAATACTGACATTGATAAACTATGTTCCATATTTTTGACTTATCGTTACATATTGATTTAAAAGAAATATAACCACATCACTTCATTGTTTTGTTCAAGCTACAGGGTAAGGCAGGTTTGTTCAGTTCCACCATTCCCCTTCAACTTTGCCTTTTTATTACGTTCTGGAAACACCACTGATGAATGTAAGTAATGATGATGTGGGCCTGTTACCTGGGGAAAGACTTTTCAACCTTGAGTATGCGATGATGCCAAGCCATACAGCCAGCACTTAATCATTTGACAATCAGTGTCCGTAGTTGTGGTATGTGCTCTCCATCCTCTAAGTGAAAAGTGCTTGTGGTGCTCGGTATTCGATACAATCCTTAAACTTCGTATACAGTTCGTCTTGATAACCGTTCTATATAACGCCCCAACGGTATATTAATCAGAAGGCAGATACGAAGCGTTGATTACGTTTATTATGAGACCACACACATATATCCAAATGTACAGATGCATTAAACAAGCATAGAAGAGTTGTGCCGAAAGGCAAGCAAGCGAGCGAGAGCCAGAGCAAAAGCGAGACGAGAGTGTGTGTTGTTTATGAATAGCATGGACATAATATATATACCATGTGAAATGAATGAGTAGTCGAATCAAATAAGCGGTTAGTAGTAAGACTAGCAGAGTGAATAGATGCGTAGGCAGTAAGCAATATTCAAGCATACGTATTTCATACAAGCACAATAATAATAAGGGTACAATAAATTGTTATAGTGCGGATGACTGTCCGCTAAATAAGTTAGCAAAAGGGCTTAACTGAGTTAAATGAGAATAAACTCAATTGCACGTGAGTCGCTATATGCTTTTACAAGACTATCAGGACCCTGTATCTACATTTTTTCTTGATAGTTAACATTTGGAAGTAGTCGAGACCTTCTATATCTCGATAGTTGTGCTAGTGTTGGTGGTGGCTTGGGTAATGAGATCATTTCACGTATAGCGAAAGCCAGACCGGCTTATGCCAATCTGGGACATCTTTGGTGCCTTCGTGATGTTAATCTAACTGTAAAAGATCGGATCTACAACTGCTTCTCTCATTCATCTTTTTTTTCACTATCATACACTAATTCATTTTGTTTATATTCTTATATTCACCTTCCCTCTTGATCTCTTCAAAGTCTCATTTCTATTGTGTGGCGCATATATATTTTGGCGCCCCTTTGTACTCATGTTTATATGTTTAAATAAATAAATAAAAATAAACTGATTTGTGTCGGGGATCCTAGATCCTCTAGATGGTGGTTGGAGGTAGTCAACAGGAAACCCTGGACCCGGGTTTCGTGCTACTTGGCACTCGTCAGCAAGGTGTACCTGTAATCTTGAGGGAACTGGTGCTTCCTGGCGGATTCGATCTCGTGTCACCCAGCTTCACAGTCAGAGACGTTACTACTGAGCTATCCGAGCCGTGACTAACCTCCTGTAGGTACCTGACACGCATGACATTGATCACCACCCAGTGATCAATCAATTGTGATTACATCTCAGTTCTACAGGAGGTTAGTCACGGCTCGGATAGCTCAGTAGTAACGTCTCTGACTGTGAAGCTGGGTGACACGAGATCGAATCTGCCAGGGAGCACCAATTCCCTCAAGATTACAGGTACACCTTGCTGACGAGTGCCAAGTAGCACGAAACCCGGGTCCAGGGTTTCCTGTTGACTACCTCCAACCACCATCTAAATTTCGATACATAGTGCCCGCAGTGTCGAGTCACCTAGACTGGTGGCCACATTGCAACATGATCGATAGCATTCGATCTGCACTAATAAGGACTAGACAAGCATGATATTGATCGCCACCCAGTGATCAATCAATTGTGATCCTAGATCCTCAAAACTCACTTGGTAAACGTCTTATATTTGTAATTTTATTTTGGAAATTTGAACTTTCTATTTTCGCTCCAAAAGCGCCTATTTCCACTTTCATGTCATATTTCCTACTCGGAAAGATTTTAAATGTTATTGGTTCGTTGTCTTTTAATAGGCCTTTTTGTATCGTTTCCCAAAGACATTTTTATGCTGTATTTGCGCGCTTGAGCTGTGCTTGTTGTTGTTTGTGCTTCTGGAATACATTTTCCTTCTTCTGAACCTGGACTTCTCTATCAAATTAGGAGGGCTGGAACTCATCGGAATAGTTAGCTTATTTGGTCATTGTGTCTCTGAGTCTTCGTTGCATTCGCAGACTTAAGTGACTTCATAATCTCTTCAAACATAACAATTAGTATATTTAAGCATAATGATACACATAAACAGTTGATGAAAAGAGGCAAGAGTTATTCATGTAATCTCAATCTCATAAAATCGTTTTGTACATTGAGTGAATTTTCTACTAAACAACCTTTTGACCACCTTTTTAAATTGCTTAAAAGTTTAAAATGATTATGAAAAGTTATATTTTGCAACCATACATTACAAAAAATAATGATGAACGCAACAAGCGTTCAATTACATATTGGCAGATTGTATATAACAGGAAAATCACCACCATCTCTGAATCTTAACACTGTAATAAACTTTAACCTGGCTTCACTATATTTTATGGATGAACTAATCGGATACTGCCTTTTTCTTTTACATATTTAATTCATTTGTCCATATACCTACAAAGAATTTTTGTACTATAGTTGATATCAAGTTGTGAAAACTCTAACCCTAAACCCCTAATCCTTACCTTATATACCTCAGTCCGCCAGTCAGTCAGCAACAACGTAGAACTTCGTACGTACGTATATCAGTTCGAGTTGCCTTACCACATTAGCACAGAGATACCTAACAATAACCTAAAACATTTTAGAGACTGAAAATCTATTTGAGTTCAAGTGGATAGATATAAATTATATAAACTACATCTATTGGTATATTAACCTATAGAAGACTTTAATAAGTTTTCCTTCCTAAATAAACTATTTATCTGCAAAATTTGGTTCCTAATTATATCAGAAGGGTTTTTGTCGATATTATACAAATTTCAATGGTTGAGATCATGAGTCAATTGAAGATAGACAACCATGGAAAACCTGGAAGTACTAGAGGGCCGTTTCTTCCTATTGTGGGACTCCTCAACAATGCGTATCCACGATCTCGCCTCACGAGATCCGAACCCAAGACTAATTAGCTAAGAACTAACTAAGAATTCATACTTATACTATACGAATACCGAATAAATGATTTCTTATTTATATATCATTGAGTTTGTTTGTTTTTTCATTCTCTATTAACTTATACAGGTATATCGTGTATTCTATGATCGATTAACAATGACAGAAGATGAAAATCATTTCTTTGATATTATTCGTCAAACATGTTCTGATATATTTCGTACTAATATTGATAAAATATTAAGTCATTTAAGTTTAAGTGGACGTGTTACTGATAATGATATTAGAAATTTATTATTTGGTAATTATATACAAGATGATAGTTGCTATGATGAAGTAACTGATTATAAATTACTTATAAAACGTATGGAAAATTATTTAAATGATTATAATACAATTTCTAAAACACCAATGAATCTTGTTATGTTTAAATATGCTATTGAACATATTAGTCGTGTAGCGCGTGTTTTATTACAAGATAATGGTCATGCATTATTAGTTGGTAAGTTATGTGGAAAATATAATTTCTTTATTCTCAATTGATTGTTGTTGTATTTTTTCTAAAAAAAATAATAAGTATCTGCTTCTTAGAAAGAATATGTACCAGTACTAAATTATTCTCTTTACTTTCGTCATAGACCTACTGATGGAAATAACGCTCTCATCGAGTAAATTTTCGGGCATTGATCTATGACTAGGAGGTAAACTTATCGACTTAGAATACGCAAATGATATAGTCCTGTCTGGTGATGATTCTGATATAATACAGAGTCTTTTGGTAGCACTGAACAACAATGTCAGGATGTCTGGAATGCAAACTGTTGCTTCAGGAATGGCAGACGTCAGCACTTGAACTATGGATAAGGAGGGAAGTAGTCGAACACGTTGACAACTTCACTTATTTTGGAGGTCTGACAAAATCTCAGCACGGATTCAAAAAGCTCGCTTGGCGAAAGCAAAATGTCCGTCTATCAATTAAAGGACGAATATGCTGCTCAGCAGCTCGTTCTGTTTTACTTTATCGCCGTGAAACAGGGCCATTAAGAGTAGAAGACACTCGTAAGCTACTAGTATTTGACCACAGATGCCTTAGAAGTATTGCTTGCATCTGCTGGGATCACCGGGTAAGTAATAATGACGTTAAATACGGGGTATTGAAGAATGATGGTAAATCAGTTGATGAGGTTGTGAGTCTTCATCGACTGAGATGGTTGGGTCACGTGTTACGTAAGCTTGAACACCAATTACCACGACGCCCAATCCTGAGTTGCATTGGACACTGTTGGAAGAAAGTTGGAGGCAGTCAAACCAAAATGTGGCATCAGTGCTTGAAGTCACTAACTTCTAGTTTGGGCCATGTTATTAGATGCAGACTACTTGGTTGGTGTCTGCGTGACTGTCGTAACTAATGGCTGGAGACTGTGGGTGACATGACTCAGAATCGATCACTATGGCGTAGGTGTATACACTCTCTGTCTTCCTTTAAACTATGAGATTAAAATTGTTTCATATCTTTCTTTCTACGAGCTAATTCTTTCTTCCTGTACTATATCCTTATACACATTCTTTCTTTAATATATTACCACCATTGAATTAACTACTTCTATGAATTCAGTGTTCGTCTTGTTGTGCTAATGAGATATTGCATCTTGGAATGATGCACATATGTGCCTGGTTCCTACGTTGTAGCTGACTGAATGAATTTCTGCATTTAGTTTAAAACTGCTTCAACATTATTTCAAGTTAATATTTTGACTGATAAAACTCGATTATTATCACCATGATTAAGTTTGAACATAAAGTAGGATTGGGATTACATTAAAATCATGAACCAATCAATTTTAGATCACTATTGGAAACCCTCTAGCACTGGAAGACCGCTTCGTCCTAGTAAACCATCCCTTTTCAGTGCACACCCGTGGTCCTTCAGGAGAAAGTCTAACACAGGGCCCTAAGTTTTGCGCACAAGCGCTCAACCTTTAGAACACTGAGTTGGCTCCCAACGGTGCTAATCCGTAATCAAACCACGACACTTCTTGACCATCTTCCGCTGCACCACGCCTGACATGGTCTGCTTCACTAGTCACGAATTCTCATTAGAATCCATATGATTAAATGATGTATAGACTAAAAATATTGACAGTTAATTAGTATTAATCAAAAATGAACTCCAATAATGTAATTAAATGTAGACATATGAAGTTAATTTTGCATGCACCCAATAACTTTAGCCAGTAAAATCCATGTGTTATAATTAATATGAAAATGAGTTTATTGTCACATGATCTAACTCCATTGCCTATTAACGATAAATGAGCCATAAGCATAAATTTTCCGTTTGATTTCATAAATATCTACTTTGGCTAACCTCGTTGGTGTGAAGGTGGTAATATAAACCAAATACGAATTAAGTTGAACGACGCGTCAACTTAGTGAGTACTCTCTCTAAGTAGGAAAGAGATACAAGTAAGTATACAAATACATCTGTACAAGCATACACAGATGTACAAAGTATGCTTAGGGTTACACATGAGTAACTGGAAAAGACAAACATATGAATGATAAGACAAATAAAAAGATTAGAACAATTTGTCTATTCAAAGGTTAGAACAAATTATGTAAGCATGTGATGATAAAGATTTACTATAGGTTCTACTGTTGGCTAAATCATCATGTTCACAATAGCTATTTACTTCTGTTTCATCCAAATATTCAAATGGTTTATGTCACAAGAATTATCAAACGCAACGCTTTTATATTTCATCGAGTAAAATCCAAATTAAATAAAAAGACTTCTATGATTGATAATCCTTGACTTTAACGAATTAATGATACTGCACAACAGGTACTCAGTACAATAAACAAATCTCCATCATCACAATTGATTTAAATGCTTTGATATCTATTATTTTAAACTTTTTTATAGAAATATATAATTAATTACAAGGCACTTTATTTTCTATTCAGGTGTCGGAGGTAGTGGTCGTCAAAGTGCTACACGTTTAGCTAGTCATATTGCTGATCATGAATTACTTGTCATTGAAATAACACGTACATACGGTGTAAATGAATGGCGTGATGATATTAAACGTTTATTACTTAAAACTGGTTTAGAAGCTAAATCCACTGTATTCTTAATTACCGATAATCAATTAAAGCATGAATCATTTATGGAAGATATATCAATGTTATTAAATTCAGGTGATGTACCAAATTTATTCCCACCAGATGAAAAAGCTGAATTAATAGATAAAGTACAAAATATTGTACGTTTAGAAGTAAGTCTAATATTAGTGTTTTTGAAAAACGCAAGCTATTGTTTTGGTCGTACGTTGATATACTACTAGCCAATATAAGTAGTTAGTCACTTTACACAAAACTTTATATATATAACAGTCTAACAAGTTTGTAGTAGTTACCATTCATTTGCCATTCGTTAGGATAAAGCGAATTCAAATACTCTCATTTAATCATCTGCTCTGTCGGTTTGTTTTTACTCGCTAAAATCACATTCATTCCTGAGAATTAGAAGCATATTGAATATATCAATATTCAACACGAATGTCAGTAATTTTCGTAACACCAAATTTTACAAAAACTATCTTTTATTACTAAATTGTAATTATTACAATCCTCTAGAAATGCTCTCACATGACCACGAATATACAGACACACGTAGGTAAGTCCTACTCACTGCATTGTCATGGAGGGAATATTATTTACGGAATTGAGAGCGCGAAAAGAGAATGTCTGGCTCTTTAACCTAGTTGGTGGACACGGAGGATCCACCTAGAGGAGTTGCAAAACTCAGATTCCATACCACTGGTGAATATGAGCTCCAGGATTCTAAGGAAATAAATGGCGTATGAACCAATCATTTGTCACCAGCTACCATGGGACCGTATCTCTTTACGTTGCTCCACTGCCTTATGGATCAGTCCTTTAAATCAAAGTCTCAGGGTGTGGCCCCCTACGAAAACTACCTGCTTCGGATTGGACGCCCGGAAAGTATTTCAACTCTAACACAAACCATTTGATTTTTGTTGCGCATATTTGCTTGTTGCCTGCTTGTACCAATGGTTGTGTGTTCGAATAAAATATATAACAAATTAAAAACTAATTTAGAGTAAAATAAAATTGATATTTGAACATTTAAAAGCGAACAACCTAAAAAAAAGAATTACTGATCTGAAGTACCTGACACACATGATATTGATCATCACCCAGTGATCAATCAATTGTGAATACATCTCAGTCCTACAGAAGGTCAGTCGTGGCCCGGATAGCTTATTGGTAACATCTCTGAGTGTGGAACTAGATGACACGGGATCGAATTCATCAGGGAGGATCAGTTCCTTTACGATTACAGGTACATCTTGCTGATAAGTGCCAAGTAGCAGGAAACCTAGGTTCAGGGTTTCCTGTTGATTACCTCCAACCACCATCTTATCTCAACATAGTGCACACTCAATGTCGAGTAACCTAAACTAGTAGCAACATTGCAACTTGGTCGATATCATTCTACCTGCTCTGAAAAGGACCTGACACACATGACATTGATCATCATCCAGTGATCAATCAATTGTGAATTATTGATCTTGTTTTATTTTTATTTATTTTATAAACATTGAATTATAGTTTTTAATACTACTAATCATAGTATACTACTTGCAATTAATTTAGGCAAAAAAAGCCGTAAGTAAATTATTCTTTTATAATTCAATTCTAAATTATTTGTTTATATGAAGATATAAATGTTCAATTTGCACAACTAAGTTTGACTCAGTTTTATGTTATTTTATCTACAAATGAATAAACGTGAAAATTCCTCAGGATCATTTCTATCTGTCTCTCTCTCTATAGTTGTGCTCTCTTTCACCTTTTAAGTTAAAATAAATCTACTTTTTCATAAATTTATTAAAACTTAACGGATAAAGCCAGTTCTTCATAAGGGTGCAAGCAAAAGGTTGATTGAAAAAAGCACTAGTTGAAATGAGCGCATATCAATAAAGATGAGAATTGAAAGAAGAAATAAGCTTCTGAAGTGTGTAAACCACTATTTAGTGATCGATTAACGTGAAAATTTTAACTCTCTAGTGTATAAATTCCTACTCAAAAGCCTGATGGTAGCATCTCTTAGGGAAACGGATTTAAATATCATCAGAAGGGTTACTTGTCTACACATCGTAAATATTTACTTACCGAAAAGTATGAAAAAACAAGAAGCATGTAAGTAGTACTTTCAATCATAATTAACTCTACCACTAGCATAAAAATATTCAAAGATCATTCTTATGATGTTATAGTTGTCATCTTGTTGTTTATATTATTTAATCACAATTCAAATAAATCTTGGGAAAACAGAAAGAGTGTGATGCGCTGAACCATGTGGATTTAAACTGAATGATAGATGAGAGAGGTTGACAAGGAAACATTATTGATCAAGATTTGATTTGACTCTCTAAGGAAACAGATATACGTTATCGGTTGAAAACCTGACTTAATTTTTTGCGGGAGTACAGATATACATTTTAAAATAAGCTGAACAAATATTTTTAATTCAATTAACCAATTAAAGCTTTCTAGTCGATTTCGGTTTTCTCACTCCAGTGACTTGTTAGGACAACCATACAGAAAGCATATATATCATTAGCAGATTAAAACGATCAGACAACATGGAATGGCCAAGCAAAATCCTATTAAACTAGATGACGTTAAGTTCTTCGGAAGATTGAAAGTCACTAAAACTGATCAGTTATGTAATAGTTTGAACTTGTGCTTACTATATTGCTTTCTTAAAGCCCCATAGGATTTCATCAGAGAAATAATCCGGTTTAAATAGTTGAAAAAACTCTGAAAAAAATTTAGTATTTAGACGGTGCTATGTATTTCTTACCATGAATAATTATCTTAAAATGATTATATTTATATCTACAGGTAGAGGTACGCTGAAGTCATACTTTTTCTAGCATTATTACTTATCAGTATGAGGATTTGTGGAGATTGTAGAATTTTCAAAGTTGGAAGCACGAGTCAATATAAGCAAAACTACCACTGAAAACCTGGAACCACTGGACGGTCACTGATCGATTTAATTTGAATATTAACATCGTTGGATGAAGGCTTAGTGGTCTACAGGTTTAGTGTTCGCGCGCCAGATCGAAGCTCTCAGGCTCGAGTACCACGTGGAGGATCGTGGATGTAAACCACTGAGGAGTTCAGTACTGAGACGAGACGGATGTTCAGTGCTTTCAGGTTTTCATTGATGGTCTAGATTATATCAACTCGTGAGTTTAACTATCATTACGTAATTTCCGATGTTAGAGAAAAAAAACAGAATTACAAATCATCTTACAACACAAACAAATGGTAATGTTAAATATAAACTGTAAATTATTCAACATGATCAGATCATTTTAAACTCTTTCATCAAAAATAATCCACTAGACGATAATCCTTCCCACTAAAACTCTTTCATGAGAGTCACATATTAGTAAAAAATTTAATGCAATATATTATTATCTTCTCGTTTGATGTACCTCAAGTTTTATTCTAACTTACTTTTTATTCATTATTTAAATATTAAAAGAACATCCCTTTCTTATTCAATATTACATCTAATCAGTTTATTCATGAATCTTTTTATAAAGAAATTAAACAAACACTGGTAACTTCACCTTCACAAGATCCTGTTTTTTCTCATATTAGTTTGCTTTTTTTAATTATATAATTGCATGTGTACTGATTACATGTAAGTGTCATGTTCTATTTTAATAGCTTTGTTAATATAACATAGTTTGAATCTTGTAAATGATATGTATAGCTCCCAAATGCCCTAGTACGGCCGAAAGTGGAGAGTGTCAGCTCTCCATCTCCAAATACCCTCACAAGGCCACGCATATACCGACACTACCAGGGAAGCCCTACTCACTGCATTCTCACGAAGGAAATATTGTTTACGAAAAGTGAATGTTTGAAAATTTAACCGGGTTGACCGACACGGATGGTCCATCTAGGGAAGATGGAAAACCCTGATTCCAACCAATTCTGTAGATGTTTTCCACGATCCTGAGGTAACAAATGGCGTATGAACCTACTGTTCGTCACCAGCTACCATGGGACTGTATTTCCTGACGTTGCTCCACTGCCTTGTGGATTAGACCTTTAGGTCAAGGTTTCGGGAGTGGCCCTATAAGAAAACCACCTGCCTCGGTTTGGACACCCGGACAGTATATGAACCTTGACACAAACCATTTGATTTGTGTTGCGCATATATATTTGGTGCCTCCTTATACCAATTCAGTCAAAGATTTTATTAGCTGCAGTTTGCTTCAGGGATTAGTACATATATAAGAAGTGAATTGAATATAACATTATAATAAATATATATGTATATAGAGATACTCATTATTCAATTATAAAACTGTAACATAAACTCCATGACTTTTTACCAAACATGATAGTGTATTTATAAACTGCATGAACAGTTTGTTGGTGTATTCTCTTAGTCGTAAACATATAATATTCTGAGCGTTCTTCAACTGAGACTACATTTGATAAGATTACTTATTTACTTACGTCTATTAACCCTCGTGGAGGAGCATAGGCCGCTCACTAACATTCTCCATCCAACTCTATCCAGGGAAATGCTTCCAAGTTCTTTCCACCTTTTTCATATCTGCTTCCAGTTCCCGACGTAGCGTGTTCTTTAGCCTTCCTCTTTTTCCTTTACCTTCATGATTGCAAGTTAGCGCTTGCCTCGTGGTACAGCTTGATTTTTTCCTAAGTGTTTTTCCTATCCACTTCCGGCGTCTTTTTCTAATTCCCTACTCAGCTTGAAGTTGACTTGTTCTGTTACACACTAGGCTGTTGCTGATAGTATCCGACCGACGAACATTGAGTATCTTACACAGACAAGTGTTTATAAATACTTGCATCTTCTAGATGATGGTTGTAGTAGTTCTCCAAGTTTCAAGTTCAACATACACCATTGTGTATGTTGAAGCCTACTGCTACAGACGCATCTGCTACAGTGTTTGTTTTGACCTGCATTTGTTGATGTGTATGGAATAGAAGGGTCCATGTCATCTGCAAATTCCAAATTGTCTGGTTGCATTCAACCTGTCCACTTTATTCCGTGCTTTCCCTCAAATATGGAGGTCACTATAACTGTGACAACGGACCACCGGTGAACTCGAGGAAGCTGTGAGAGGCTCAGAAGGAGCCGAAGACGTTTCATTCAATCACCTTTTAGAAGAATATTCTAGAATTCCAACGCGTAGCTTCCCGATTGGATAATGCTAATAACCCCCTGCATGAGGATTGGAGGACTGTAATGATGATTTCGTTCTCACTAAAAACTATAAATACCTGACAGTTTTGTACTATGATTGACACTGTTAGGAATAATATTCCTTTCATTAGTCTTCTATCTTCTTATTGCGACTTGGAAGGGTTTTGGTGTTCTAGTGCTCTGTTATACGCGGTATATCGAGAAATCAACTTTCAAGATATAACAATAACCAAGTCAACCACCAGAAGAAAGAGAAAGAGGGAGAGCAGGCAGCCTTGTCTGCCTCCGGTCCCTACTTGGAATGCACGAATTTGCACTGTAGTCCGTCTTACGAATTCCGGATGATGTTGACAATTTTATCAGGTACACCATAATGCCGAAAAAGTTTCCATAATGTTCTCCTATCCATACTGTCAAACGCTTTCCAATAGTCAGTGAAGATGGTGAATCATGACGAGTTCCACTCAAGTGATTGTTCAACGATGATCTGTATTGTCGCGATTCTGTTCGTCCACGTCTTATCATTACGAATCCAGCCTGCTGATCTCGAATTTGGGCTTCTATTGAATCTCTCATCCGGTTGAGCAACATTCTATTGAAAACCTTTCCTCGTATCGATAGTAGCTCGATGCTTCTATAGTTCTCACATTTGCTTGGATCTCCTTTCTTTGGTATCTTGATTAGGTATTCTTCTTTCCAGTCCATAGGCACTTGTTCTTCCTCGCGAGTCTTCATGAACAAAACGTTGAGCATGCTTGCAGTTGCTTTTGTGTCTAACATTAGTGCTTCAGCTGATATATTGCTAGGTCCTTTTTCTTTCCCGCTCTTGATTTTTCTGATGGCCATCCTGATTTCTTCGATCAAAACAGCAAACATTATCGTTCAATATCGGTAATAGACCGATGAATAACTTCCAATATTCACATTATGCAAAATAAACTCGCCAATTAGTTTATTTGTAAAATTTATCATCTAATCAAACGGTATCAATGCATATTAGATGATATTTAAAATACAACTTATTATCTACTTCTTTATATTATAATACAATAGTTTTAAAATGCTACCCTTTCAATCAGAATTCACTAGTTAATTTGATATTTGATTTACAAGCTTTTCCATAGTTTAAAGATGATTTTCATTAGAAATTTCATTTCCATACAATGAACAAGATTTATAGCTTAACAGAGAAGTACTAAAGATAAGTTGTTTTCCTTGAACCGTCTAGCTAAATTGTGATGCTTCCATTGTCTTGCTAGTTAATACCATATGTACATATTTCATAATTTATGTTGACAAAGCAAACTGTCAAGGAATCGGAAACAACTTTTTGAAGTATTTACTATTAATATTGTCTAAAAAGACGATGAAAGCTTCAGGTTTGGATTATTCATTACCGAAAACACAAAGAAACAATCAATATCCAGCAGTATTGATTGGTTCTTTTTCGACAAGTTACCCATTTCTTACTTCTTGGTCGATCTTGATGATAAATATTGTAAATGGTCACCAGTCATAAGTTAACAGTCCACTCAATCGACATCTAAATAATTTACATTCTTTTCGCTGCATAATGTCAGCAACCACGATATCTGTGATTGGACCTTTTGTTATTTGTACAACGGAAGGTTGTATACTATTCAGAAACGCACCTGAATACGTTATGCGATTAATAGTCATAATGATGCATTAAAACAAACAAAATCAGATAATTTATTGAAATATCTAGATGGCAGGGACAGGTAACTCAGATGTTTAAGCAGGCCGCCACATGTATTTTGAGAGAGATTTTTAAGTGTTATATATTTTTAAACACGAATATACAATTATTCATGAACAACTCTTTAATCATCAATGAGAATTTACTCCATATTTGTGATTTCTTACTTAGTTCTGTCCTTTTTTTATCATCAAAAAACTACATTGAATGAATTACTTTTATTTTCTTAAAAGGGTGTTAAAATTGAACCGGATCCATTAGCAATGTATACATATTTTACACAAAGAGTTAAAAAGCATTTACACATTGTATTAGTAATGAGTCCGATTGGAGATGCTTTTCGATCACGGCTACGTATGTTCCCATCTTTGATTAATTGTTGTACAATTGACTGGTTTCATGTAAGTTATTATCATAATTTTATTAGGTTATATATATATATATATATATATATATATATATATATATATATATATATATATATATATATATATATATATATATATATATATATATATATATATGTTTAAGTACATGATTGTGGTGATTGTTGAGGTTCTAATTGAGATCATGAACCGATCAATGTTAGACCACTATTGAAAACCTGAAAGCACTAAACGGTTATTTCGTCCTATTGTGGGACTCTTCGGCAGTGCGTATCCAAGATCCCGCCTCGCGAGATTAGAATGCAGGACCTATCGGTCTTTTCTGATGATAATCAGCATATGCTCACTAGTGACTAGCTTCAAGAGGTATTTTCTGGAGTTGTATTGAGAAGCAGTGACCAGTGCTTGAGCTTCTGGGCTACCTGTTCCTGCCATCTAGATATTTCAACAAGTTATCTATTTTTGTTTGTTTTAATATATCATTATGTTTATTAATCGCATGACCTATTCTGCTGCGTTTCTGAAAAGTGTACAACCTTTCGTTGTCAAAGTTACAAAAAACTCAATAAGAGACAATGTGGTTGCTGGCAATATACAACGAAAAGAATGTACATTATTCGGATGTTCATTTACTGAACTGCTAACATCTAACTGGCGATCAGTCAATATTTATCGCCAGGACCGACCAAGAAGTAAGAAACGGAAACTTGGGCGAGACTCTAATTTAGCGACGAGCCAATCAGAAGCGTTTGAGCAGTTTCAAGGTCACGGAGCCAAGTTCAACACGCGATGCTAATATACGGTCGGTTCACAGCGGATTTTAGAGAGGAGGTGATTAATGAGAGGTTGAAACAGATGGGACGGCTAAACTCTAATTTAGGGACGAGCCAATAAGGAGCGTTTGAGCAATTTCAATTATTAGCCAATCAGAAGACAGTATAAAGTAAAAATATATTACAAGAAAGTAATGAATTACAGTGGATATTCTTCTTTTACATGATTTAAAAACTTGTTGAGGTTTGATAAAGGCTCAGAAGTTCTGAATTCATAATGCATATTGTATAGAAACTCGCCCATATGGTTAGGGTTTGGGGTTAAGGTTTAGGGTTAGGTTAAGGTTAAGGTTTGGGTTTAGGGTTAGGTTAAGGTTAGGGTTAAGGTTTGGGTTTAGGGTTAGGTTAAGGTTAGGGTTTAGGGCTAGATTAGGATTAGGGTTAAGGTTTGGGTTTAGGGTTAGGTTAAGGTTAGGGTTTAGGGCTGGATTAGGGTTAGGTTAAGGTTTGGGTTTAGTGTTAGGGATAGATTAGGGTTTTGGGTTAGGGTTAGATTAGGGATAAGGTGCTCACATGCGATCGGTTTACATCGGATTTTAAAGATAGGTGTTTATTGACAGGCTACAACCCTAACCACTAACCCTATGGACGAGTTTCTATACCGTATTCATTAATCGTTCAGAGCCTTTGAACCTTTATCAAACCTTAACAAGTTTTTAAATCATGTAAAAGAAGAATATCCACTGTAATTCATTACTTACAATATATTCTCACTTTATACTAACTGTCTTCTGATTGGCTAATAATTGTCAAGGTCATTCAAGATTCGTTCAAAGGTCGTCGCTAAATTAGAGTCTCGCCGAAACTTGTTGAAATACCTTACGCTGAGAATTCTATATTGTGCCAAAAATATAATATTGAATAAAGCTGATAATAATAATAATAAAAACCGGGTCTGTTGTGAGATAGTAACTCACTGAAAACAATGGTGGATGTGTCACTCAACTTCGTGGATTGGTTGAAGCTCCTGGGTTCTTGTTAGGATAGTCGGAAAAATATACCAATAATTATCGTGTTAAGTCTACGGTGTCCTTGGACCTTAAATGTACATTTCCTATTGGTCGATGTTTATTTCACTTGTTAAATATTTTGTAAATGTTGTTTCCTATTTTATGGTACGATGTGGTATGCTTGATTGGTATATAAACAAAGTATGCCCGAAATACAACGATTCATAACTCAGAGGCTGTGACTTGCGTTCTTCACTCAACTGGCTGGGACAGACTGCGAAGCGGGACCAATCAGGGCTCTAGGTCGTCCGTCCGTGTTTACGTGTCCACTGTCACAGAGGCGATCGATAAATACGCTGCTTATCAAAACCTGCAGTCTCACACCCGCGTTACAACAGTTCTTATCCCGTGATGCGCACTGATGAGGAGTCTCACACTAAAACGAAACGGCCGTCCACGGCTTCCAGGTTTTCCATGGTGGTGTAGCTTCAATTCACTCATGATCTCAACCATTGAAATTACTATAATATCCACAAAGACCCCTTCTGATAATAATTTATTCATTTTAATCTTACCAATACAATTAAGGTTTGGCCTGAAGATGCATTAGAAATGGTTGCAAATAAATATTTTGAAGGTATTGAATTCGCAGAAAATATACGTGAATCATCTGTTACTTTATGTAAATACTTTCATGAAAGTGTAAGAAAATTAGCTGAAAAGTAAGTGGTTTCTTTAAATTACATTATATATTCATTTAAAGAATAAGCCTGATCATTCAGATAATCAGAAAAATACTAAAATAAAAATAAGTCTTGATTTCCACTGCTAGCCACTATCCATCTTTGCTTACGAAGCTTGTGGATTAAGGCAATAACGAGGCAATACGCACATTATGCACATATGCCAATAATAGACTGATCAATTGCAGTCTTAAACCTCAATGGAAAGATTCAAGCAAACAATACCAAGTGAATTTTCATTCTACTTAATGTTAGGAGTTTTCATTTTTACTGATTTTACTGACTACTGAAATACTTATTACATTTATTATTTGTATGTGTATCTCATCGTCATTTTTGCATGCACAATTTAACCCCGTTAATCAATGATGCTTCATTCTATAACTTTAAGTTTGTACATCTTACCTGGATCAGTTTATACAGTCATATTACCTGAATACAGCGAATTGGTGATAAATTCTGTATGATTTATAAAAGTACTGATAAATATGAGATCTTGCCCATAAAATTCGATTGTTTGTTAAATAAAACAAAGCACTAAAAATGCCGAATTTTTCTTGGCAACTTAATATGCAGTGTAATTTAATATGGTTTTTCTAAATTATTTACATTACATTTAACAGTTTTTCCTCTAACCCAGAATATTCCTCGAAAAAAGCCTAGAGGGGTCCTAAAAACGCTGAGAAACATTTTGTCCAATCATCATTAAATAGAAGTTTCTCAGAAACATCGAAAAAGTGAAGAGTCACGTATCACATTTCTGATTGATGATGAATATCTAAACTGATACTATGTCTAGTAGGGCTCCAGAACCTAGAAGCTCAAGGTTACCTGTAATGCTATAAATACCCTCTTTTTGTGAAGCTTTATTTCTATATTTTGCGCCTTTCCTCTCATGTTCAAGTTTTCGTTTAGATTTAGCCTAGAGTTATTAGAAGAGCTTAGGAAACCTATTCAAACGTTCAATCAGAAGATTTATCATTATTACGTTTAGCAGCGTTCAATACAACACAAAATTGTAAAGATATTCCATCAATTAGACTGAGAACTTATTAAATGTCAGAAATGATACTTGATCATAAATTGTATGGGTTTACACTTTCCTACCATTACTATTCATGACTGTAAGTATCCAATCTTTCTAGGGAAATTAGTTTCCTGCATGGACATCTTAACAACCCTAGAATTTACAGGTAAATTTACAATTTTAATCAGTAAATCCTTCATAGTCAACATAAGATTTGTAAAGAATTTCAAACCTGTTATACACATTTGGTTCAACTTGGGATAAGTCGCGAAAAGATTAAAGTTACTACGTGGATTTCGCTGTTAGCCTCCCATCGAAAATGTTATCAGAAATAATATTTGTCCATGAATGGATTGAAGTTTTACATTAAAACCGTACGATATCGGATAAGTAGGCTAGATGTTAAGTGTACTGTTGTGGAGTCCTACACTAGGATGAGACGTCCGTCCAGTACTTCCAGGTTCTCACTGGCGGTCTAGCTTAGATTGACTCATGAATTCAACTTTGAAAATACTTGTTCATCCATTTTTTTCTTTTTTATTATTTCCAAAATAGATTTTTAGAGGTATTACGTCGACATAGTTATGTAACACCAACATCATATTTAGAAATGATACTTACATTTAAAAAATTATTACATCAGAAACGGACTGAATTAACTACAATGCGTAATCGATATTTAACTGGTTTAGAAAAATTAGAATTTGCTGCAAATGAAGTTGGTAAAATGCAAATTGAATTACGTAATTTACAACCATTACTTATTGAGACAAGTACAGAAACTGATAAATTATTACATAAAATTGCACAAGAATCTGTTGAAGTTGAAGCACAACGTGAAATTGTTGCATCCGATGAAATGATTGCTAATCAATCTGCATCTATATCGAAAGCAATTAAAGATGAATGTGAATCGGATTTAGCTGAAGCTATGCCAATATTAAACGATGCATTATCATCTTTAGATACATTAAAACAAAGTGTAAGCTTATTATATCATTTTTATAGGCATAGTTTGTATCCATACCTTATAATTGAAAACTATTTAACAGTTTTCCTTAACGGTAAATCTCATTTCGCTTCATTTGACTATTAATGTATTTTTTTTCTCTAGAAATTAACCTTAGTTTTAAAACTATTCAGTGACAATGAGTGTAAGACGGAGTGATGACGTATGCGATGAAGGAACAGTTTCAGCCTTTTTTTAGTTACCAAAATCAATCTTATTTTAGCTGAGTTAATATTACTTTCATTGATAATCACTAAAAGGGAGGGATGTTAGATTCTGTATGCATAATACTGAACAGAGATTTGCTATGAAAACATTAACTCGACAGATAAGCTATTAATTAAGTTCAAGAATTCTGTAGAGGTAAAATGACTTAGACAGTAATTGTATTTAATGTTCTTAAAACTAGAAATATCGAATAGTGAAGTGTGCAGTCATCTGTTATTCATTAAAAGTCACAATCATTTGGATAGCATCCAAGAATCTCTAGAAATAAATTCCACATAAGCTGATACTCATCAGTAGAGAACCTGTATATTGTAGTGAAAACCAAGATTTTTGTGTGAAATTCAGAGCTACATCATTAAATTTGACGATTGGAAAGGTCAAGCTGCGACTAATCTCCAGTATAATGGAGATTTTGACAGTAATTAGTGACTGAACAATATTTTGCTTAATTCCCAGTACTAATCAATTTTTTTCGAATCACGAACCGATTTAAATTAGGCAATCATTGATGCTCTTCATAAGTGCGTATGCATGACCCCTCCACAAAGAATCAAACCCAGAACCTTCGGTCTCGCGAGTGACGCCTTAAACTCTAGATCACTGAGTTGGCATCCAATGATCAATAATTCTAACTATACTCAATCCATGATCAGTTAGAGATAAGATGAGGATAAACAATCTGTCAGAAATCAATGAAATTATTCAAGCGTACTAAAACAAAATTCGTAGAGGAATGTCAACAAACACACTAGTAAGCGAAAATACATAACTACAATCAAATGAGACTTGACAGTAAGAGTACAGTTAGGATAAAGTTTGCATGCAAAAATTAGGATAAAGAATTCATGAAAAGATTAATGTTTTTTAAATGGATGGCAGATAATCAATCAAGAGCAGTATGGGATCTGGCACAAATCGTCATGGATTCAAGTTACCACAACCCATGTCGGAACGGAGAGATGGAATTATCGAGACGAACTCCGGAGTAGTAGAAGCGGCAACAGTATCAGAAGTACTAAATGTCATTAGATGTATGAGCTGAAATACATAAGTACTTAATGACATATATTACGTGCACTGGGTCAATGTCACCGATTCTAAGTGATATCACTCTTCATCTCCAACATTTGATTATGATAATTGAGGGACCCCAATCAAGCGTGCATCTATCTATTCAGCTCAGTTAAAAAATCAGTGACTATACAATGATGTCAACTAGTGGTTCCACCACTCTTTTCTTTTGATCTACTCTATCACCAATCATTATATCCTGCTGAGTGTGCGGGTGGTTCAGCACACTAATATATATCCTAATCACCTCAGTCAAGGAAGACTCACTTTCTTATCAGTTGATTCATCATCCTTGAGTACCTTATGCTTAGCCTCAGCATTTACCACTTGATAATTCAAGCATACCCAAATAATCCTACAAATATGCTTAATTCATAAATATCCCCTATTTTTACCAGTCACTTTCCACAGTAATAGAATTGAGCTGAACTCACTGTTACACAGTATTCTTTTCCTTTGTTTATCAATATGATCTACTAAAATTCTTCTATCATGTCTTTATATTGATATTTGCTTTTTCCTATCTATTCACACTACAGGATATTACATTAGTTAAATCAATGAAAAATCCACCAAATGTTGTAAAATTAGTTATGGAAGCTGTTTGTATAATGTTAAATGAAAAAGCTGATCGTAAACCAGATGGTACAGGTCGAATGATTGAAGATTATTGGGGTCCATCATTAAAATTATTAAGTGATTTGAAATTTTTAGATCGTTTAAAAAATTATCCAATTGATAATATTTCTATAAATATTATGAAAAAAATTCGTGATAATTATATACCAAATACAGATTTTGATCCAAAAATTGTACGAAATGCAAGTACAGCATGTGAAGGTTTATGTAAATGGATTATTGCATTAGATAAATATGACAAAGTGGCTAAAATTGTTGCACCGAAAAAAGAAAAATTAGCTATTGCTGAATCTGAATTAAAAGTCCAAGTACGTTATATAATAGTAATAATAATAATAATAAGGCTTGCTTTACACAATTTCTTGTGCTACGTTACATTAATACACTTTCCAATACTAAATACCTTATATTTCAACAAAACGTCTGTCTAATGTTGAATTAGCTTGTTGATACTCAAAGATATAAACATACATTCTCGTCAAAGGTGATAAGATGCTACTTATAATTTCTCTTTGAAGTTTTCTCGATCATTCCTATCATCCTGCCATCACTTTTTCGAAGGAAAATTACCCAACTTACTTTTATTTATTTATTTATTTATTTATTTATTTATTTAAACACATAAACATTGGTACAAGGAGGCACCAAATAGATATGTCCCACACAAAGCATCTGATTTGTGTGAGTACTAGGATACTGCCCGGGTACCCAAACCAAAGCAGGTGGTTTACTTAGGCGACCACACCCCTAGCATTTGACTTAAAGGTCTGACACACAAGGCAGTGGAACAACGTGAGGAGATGCAGTCCCATGGTAGTCGGTGCCCAATAATTGGTTTATACGCCATTTGTTCCATGTGCGCGATTGAGTTGTAATCAGGGTTTTCCAACTGCTTTGGGTGGACTCTCCGTGTCCATCAACCTAGTTAGAGTGCCGGACATTCGCTTTTTGTCCTTTCAATTTCGTGAACAACAACATTGCAGTGGAGCAACGTAAGGAGATACAGTCCCATGGTAGCCGATGACCAACAATTGGTTTATACGCCATTTATTTCCTTAGGATCCTGGAGCACTTGTGCACGATTGGTTTGTAATCAGGGTTTTCTAACTCCCCTAGGTGAACTCTCTGTGTCCACCAACCCGGTTAAAGCGCCGGACGTTCGCTTTTCTTCTTCTCGATTTCGTAAACAACACCCCCGCCACGAGAAGGCAGTGAGTAGGACTTTCCTGGCAGAGGCTATATACGTGTGGCCATGTGAGAGCATTTAGAGAGGGAGAGCGAACTCTCCCCACTCTCGGCCGTACCAGGGCATTTGGGGCACCCGACTTGGTAGAAAAAATGATTTGGCGTCTTTATCTGAACCTAGAATGAAGTTTTTAGTAGGATTTGTTCAAAAGTTCGATTATATTGATCACATTTTCACCAAAGCCGCAATTTCACTTTTCTCACCATATTTTGAATTGCATAAATTAGTGTATCTCAATCCACAAGATCCAGTAAGTCATCTGTTACCAAATCCCAATAAAAAATAAACTATCCAGATAGAAAAATAACCATTGATTTCCTTTTTTTCAAAAGAGAAATTACTCCATACTAATAATAACCAGTAATTATAAAGACTAAAATGTTAATTGTCAAAATATCTTAGTTCAAAAATAAAATAACAGATCATGATCACTAGAACAATCTAAAATATCATCATTTTAGTACTCGAGTAGTTTGAAAACTCAACCTCGATAAGGTGATGGATACGCACTGATGAGGAGTTCCATATTAGGACAAAACAATTGTTCAATACTTTCTAGTTTTCATTGGTTGTTTAACTTTGTTCGATTCATAATCTCAATAACATTTGATAATGTTCATAAAACCAATGTAATAAAACTTCAGAATTGTTCCACTTATTAATATTTTCATATTAATATATATAGCTGGCTAAATTAGCTGAAAAGAAAGCTGCGTTAGATGAAATTCAAGCGAAATTTCAAGGTTTACAAGATCAATTAGAAGAAATGCAAAAGAAGAAACAAGATTTAGAAGATAATATTGATTTGTGTAGTAAAAAGTTGGATCGTGCAGAAAACTGATTAGTGGATTAGGTGGGGAGAAAACACGATGGACTGAAGCTGCTGCATTATTAAAAGTAAGAATTAATAATGAGATTATATTCATTCAAAAATGTTTTTTTTAAATTTTAGTTTTTTTAGTTTTAATAAAACATCCATATAATTAAGATAACTGAATTGATCTTGTATTTACCGACTGCATTTTTGATCTCTCAACTGATACCGAGGGATAAGACTACTGGCAAACTGATCAAATATGTTTGCCTCTCTTCGCTTTCAACCATAATACCAAGTGAATCAAATAAACTCGAATTAATCAGTTAATTGTATGCTTAAATGTAGGACTGACATGGAATAGTAAGTAAGTAATGTCACAATACTTAATTGTCTTGCATTCTACCCTTTTACTTCTCTTTAAATCAGTCATGTTAAGTCAAATATGTTGCGATCTTTCTAATGTCTACATGGGCTCATTCTAACTTCTGTACAGACAAGTCAGTTTACCATTATAGGTTATTTTTTATATTTGCCCTTGTAAGTTATTCACTTTCATCAGCACTTGTTTTCATGTATGTGTGTGTGTTTTGTTTGGATACTGTTTATAAACAACTGAAACACCCTTTTATCCATGAATTTCGACTGTAACTTCATCATCAATACTCGCTAATTTAATTTGTCTGTTTACACGATTATTCGAAATACACATATTCTAAACACATTCCATATTCAACTGTCTATTTTTACGTTATATAAGCGTGGCCAGTTGACAGGATATAAACGAAGTAAGATTGAATTTATATTTCATTCATCCCTCAATATAAAGGCCATAGATGTACTGCGTTATTCAAATTGTGTTTGTTGGTGTATGTTCTCTATATTCAACGTGAATGAAATAACGCTGAAACTTTTTCCTTATATCCTTATTTATCCAATTAAATCAAGTCTTTAAATATTATTTCATACATCCTGATCCCTTGGTAAATTTAAATAATTTTAATAGTTGAATTCATGAGTCGATCTAAGGCTGGACCACTATCAGGAAACTGAAAGCACTGGACAGCCTTTTTTGCCCTAGTATGGGACTGCTCAACAGTTGACGTTAGACATTAACACAGTTCAATGCCGGATCAGTAGACTAGATGTTAAGCGTGCGCGCGCGAGATTGAAGGTCCTGGATTCGAGTTCTGTGTTTGGGACCATGGATGCGCACTGTAGAGGAATTTCATACTAGGACGAGAAGTCTATCCAATACTTCCAGGTTTTCCGTGGTGTTATAACATTGATCCATTAATGACATCAATCTAAACTCAACAATCGCCACAACCCTATACAGATGTTGTTTTCTCTTGTTTCTTAAGTTGTTTCGAACTGAATTCCATTGGTTGTGGTATGGAATAACATTTTTTTAATAATAACATCTCTATCGTGAATTTAAGCCATTTTCAGCTGGCAAGAAGCCTTGAAATACATTCAATTTATTTTATTCTACCAATATCGTTCTTCACGCTTTATCTATCTGAATAATTTGAAACTGTATTCACTAGAAAACTTGAAAAAGTAAATTTTATTTTGTACTAATAGACAAATGATAATGAGATACTACAGGGTTTAAAAAGCGATTAACTTACTTATTGAGTATGATGTTTGTATCATTGTTAGTAACAGTTTGAAGTATCCTGTCCATTTAAAAAACTTGCGATAAACTGTTTATCTTGGAGCTAACTACACAAAATGCATATATGTCATTAAAGACTGATCATAAATTCCATCCTAGGATAATTTAAAGCCTTATTAATAACCACGAAGTTTTTAGATTTAACTGTACAGTTAATATACCTGAACAGTTTTTTATTTATTAGGCTTTTTAAACTCGACTTGATCACAGTTGATTGATCACTGGGTGGCGATCAATGTCATGCGTGTCTAGTCCTTATTAGTGCAGATTGAATGCTATCGATCATATTGCAATGTGTCCACCAGTCTAGGTGACTCGACACTGCGGGCACTATATATTGAGATTAGATGGTGGTTGGAGGTAGTCGACAGGAAACCCTGGACCCATGTTTTGTGCTGCTTGGCACTCGTCGGCAAGGTGTACCTGTAATCTTGAGGGAATTGGTGCTCCCTGGCAGATTCGATCTCGTGTCACCCAGCTTCAGAGTCAGAAACGTTACCACTGAGCTATCCGAGCCGCGACCGACCTCCTGTAGAACTGAGATGTATTCACAATTGATTGATCACTGGCTTGAATTTGTTTAAAAAACATTTCCAATTACAACTTGTCAGGTCCTGATAAGAATAATGAATGGTAACTTTTGGGATCCTTTTATGGACCAATACTAAACGTTTATTTTTATCGTATAATTGTTAAATAACTAAACTATTCATATTCATGTTCCTCTTATTATAAACTTTATTTTGGCCTATGAACCATTATTATACGTCTTAGCATTCTTGAATTATGCTCTGCCTATTATTAGTCACTGCCTCCCACATTCACAGTCACATTTGGCCGAATTTTGTACAAATTTTATTTCCTATTTTATGCTACGTTGTGGTCTGTTTGATTGGTATATAAACAGAGTATGTTTGAAATATAAGGATTCATATTGCAGAGGCTGAGAATGGTGTTCTGGACTTAACTGGATGGGCTAGGCGGCAAGCAGGACCAATCAGGACTCTAGGCTGCTCGCACGTGTTTTACTTGTCCTTGGTCCGATCGGTAATTCGCTGCTTCTGATTGGCAGCTTTGGGTTGTAACACAACTTGACTTTGTGATTATCAGAATAGGATTGTGGAGATTGTTGCGTTTTAACTGAGATCATAAATAGTTGTGCATTAATGAGGAGTCCTATACTTAGACGAAATGGCCGTCCATCACTTCCAGATTTTCAACGAATTTCACGATATTAGAAGTCAGGAATCAATTTTTAACATTCCGTTTACTGTGAACTGATGAATCATTTGAAGGAAAAAGATTATGTTCAAAATTTGTTTTTAATATTACTATTGAAACATATTTAACATTAATAATTCATCCATAAGATTATATGTTGATAAATTTTAAAACCATACACTCGTCTTCACATTGATTTATTTTTCTAGGAACGATATGAAAATATAATTGGAGATGTTCTATTAAGTGCTGGTGTTGTTGCCTATCTTGGGCCATATACTGTTGATTTTCGTTCTCGAATACAAAATGAATGGCATGAATTATGTCAAAAATTAGAAATTCCTTGTTCTGAAGTGTTTCGTATCTCTGATACATTAGGTGATCCTGTAAAAATTCGTTCATGGAATATTGCTGGACTACCAGTGGATAGCTTTTCTACTGATAACGGTATAATTGTTACAAATTCTAATAGATGGGCATTATGCATAGATCCACAAGGTATATTATCAGTCTATATGAGATTTATTTGATTTTTTTCGCATAAATAATGTTTCATAAAAGAAAGATCAAATTTAATGTGTAAATATAAGCCTGGTCCCAACAACTGGCTGAGCATGGAATATTGATATGTGTTAAAACCGATGTTTAGATTATTACTTCAGTTGTAATTTTTGGAACTTATCAGACAAACTTTATCGATAGGTGCCAATTAAAATAACTCATTAATTCACAACTTTCTACTGATAACCATCTCCTATCTAACGAGTTATATTTCAGTGGTGTAATATTAGTAAATGATAGACTAGAAGTAGTATTAGCATCAGGGATACCCTTTTGTTCATATCATAATAAGACTAAATAATTGTTTTCATTAGTGAAACTTTACAACTTCATTCATCGAGTTAACATTTGATCCTTAGTACTTTGTGAATAACATCGGTATTGTGGTGTGTGCTACTAATGTCGACAGCTATACGTACTATGTATTAGTAATCGAGAGCGAAATACGCAGTGGTAGAAGGTTAAGAAGATCGAAGAGAACGAGAATAGAACGTGATTAATATGGAAATGATGGAACAATGAAGTATGAAACAATTGATTGACATTTTGCAAATGAAGTATTTACTTCATGGTTCTCTGATTTTACTAAAAGATTCTGTAACCATGTATTAAGATACATTTGGCTGTCCCAGCCTGTGTTCTTCATCACAACAATATTATTTATCATTTAATGATTGACTCATGAACACACTTCTGACTTGTTTGGAAAACTTCCAACAATGAATTTCATTCAATGTTTAACTTAATGTAAATTTTCAGCCGGAAGTTCTATAGAGTTTAGTTTGTCTTTTCCTGTCACAGATCCATACCGATCGGAAAGTTATGAATGAACTATTAAGTTGTTATTTCCTATTACGGTAGGCTTTCAAATATGTCACAAATGAGTCACTTACTTATCAATGATATCAGATTATTTTATGCTATATTATAAATTGATTAATTGAAAATGATAATGTAGAACACTGAAGTTCAGATCACATATATAAAGTTAGTTCATTCACCATGAAGTCTAAAAGATAGTTTTTTTGGTTGGAGAATAGAGGTTATTAAGATATCTTACGCTTAGTCAAAATACCTGTCTATCAATGGTTTTCCAAATGTTATTGGACTTCAAGATTAAGTTGATAGAACATTTGTCATCTATAAAAGATACCAGAAGGGGGTTTTATGGAGATTGTAGTAATTTCAATAGTTCAAATCATGAGTTAATTGAAGCTAGACAACCATAAAAAATCTGGAAGCACTAGACAACCGTTTCGTCTTCTTGCGGGACTCCTCAATACTGCGCATCCACGACCCCACCTCGTGGGAATCGAGCCCAGAACCTAGCAGCCCCGCGCTCGAGCACTTAACCAATAGATCACGTTTTATAAATTCAATTATTATTTGATTTCTTCTAAAGTTTTCTCTTTTCACTTTACTTTTCTCCCAACTTCGAAAAAAAAACATGATGAATAAAGGTCAAGCTAATAAATGGATTAAAAATATGGAAAAAGATAATAAATTACAAATTACTAAATTAACTGATACACATTATTTACGTACATTAGAAAATGCTATACAATTTGGTATGCCTGTATTAATGGAAAATATTGGCGAAGAATTAGATCCAATATTAGAACCAATATTACAACGTTTATTATTTAAAACACAAGGAAGTTGGTGTATACGCCTTGGTGATAATATTATTGAATATAATTCAAATTTTCGTTTTTATATCACTACACGATTACGTAATCCAAATTATTTACCTGAAATTGCTGTCAAAGTATGTTTAATTAATTTTATGATTACACCAATTGGTTTACAAGATCAATTATTAGGTATTGTTACAGCGAAAGAGAAACCAAAATTAGAAATGATTAAAAATCAATTAATTATTGATACAGCTAATAATAAACGTCAATTAAAAGAATTAGAAGATCAAATATTAGAAGTATTAAATACATCACAAGGGAATATATTAGAAAATGAAAATGCTATTCATATATTAAGTTCATCAAAACAATTAAGTAAAGAAATAATCGAAAAACAATCTATATCAGATAATACACAATTAGAAATTGATTCAACACGTAATGTATATCGTCCAGTATCTGAACATGGTTCATTATTATTTTTTTGTATATCAGATCTATCAAATATTGATCCGATGTATCAATATTCATTAACATGGTTTATTAATTTATTTATATCAGTAAGTTGTTTTGTTTTTTGTTTTTTTTATCAGAAGGGGTTTGTGGAGATTTCTACAAATTTCAATAGTTGAAATCATGAGTCAATTGAAGCTAGACCACCATGGAAAACCTGGAAGCACTGGACGGCCGTTTCGTCCTAGTATGGGACTGCTCAGCAGTGCGCATCCACGATCCCGCCTCCCAAGACATTCGAACCCAGGACCTATCAGTCTCGCGTGCGACCGCTTAACCATTAGACCACTGAGCCGGCATCCAATGGTGTTAATGTCTAACTTCAACCAACCCACGAAGTTGCGCCACCGTATACCATTTTCTTCAGTGAGCTGAGATCTCACAACAGACCTGGTCGAGCACTGCTGAGGAGTCCATACTAGGACGAAACGGCCGCCCAGTGCTTCCAGGTTGTCCATGGTCGTCCAGCTTCAACTGACTCATGATTCCAATCTGTGAAATTTTGTTTTGCTTTTGCTTTTTTTTAAAAGTCTTTCTTACATTGATTGTAACATTGTATCGTATTGCATTGAAACAATTATATTAAGTAAGAACTTTCGTCTAAATTTGAACGAATAGTTTCACAATATTTGGGGGCCGAATTAATGTGAGACATTAAAGAGGAAGAATGTTGTATTTGCAAAATCTCAGCGAATGAATTTTTAAGTAAATCCAACGTTTCGCCTGGCAATCTGGTCAAAGATTTTTCAAGGAAGATATAATCAAACAACAAAATTATCGAATATAAATAGATACATGGTTCTCTGGTTTACTGTATACTGAATAAGTCATCCAATCAAAGTGTAAAATGATTAAAGTATGTATTTACATTAATGTGTAAGAGATATGTGGTGTGAAACGAAAAGTGTTAAGATAACAGATTGTGTGTATACATAAGTGATTTGAGAAGAAACTTCATTCAACTATATATTGTCTTCGGTCAGTAAAATATTAAGTAAAACATACCATACACTCGATTGAATCAGGTCATACAGTTGATTTCAATGGCGCAGGAATCATTCAAAAAGGATTTAATTCTTACAAAGAACGACTAACAGCCAAAGCCCTAAATATATGGGCTAATTCAAACAGTATTAATAAGAGAGATGGAATACAACTAGCTGTCCCATGGCAACTAATAATTTATAAGTAAAGCTGAACTCCTTATTCCATTTGATCAGTCTATATCATATTAACTAATCAACGTTTTCAAATCAGTTAGCTTATCTGAATATTTAGAACAACATATATAAGCGAACAATATTGTTTTCGATTAGATCCTCATCAGGCTTTACTCTAATATACAGTAATATTTATATGCATATACGAATCAAGGTAGTTTATAAGTCAATGATAACAATGGAAAAGATTACATAATAAGTAAAATGTGAAAATTACAAATTGATGGTGTGACAACAGGTGCATTAGTTTTTGATAAGCAATAATAATAATGGTTCAAATCAATGTTACATAATCTGAAATAGGTCAATGATTAGAAAAATATAGAAACTGAGATAACAATTATAAAATTACACGATGACGTAATAAGAAATGTTCAGATAATTGGACCATGAAACGTATAGTTGAGAGAAAATAAAGTGGTAGGAGGGTGTGAAGAAAAATAATAAACGAAGAGAATAAATAAATAAATAAATACATTCATTTATTACTTAAGGCCAAGGGAGAGATAAGGGAGTTACAAATTTCTTCTGGACACAAAGACTTGGCTTGTTGGCTCGGATTCCTATAGCTTCTGCTATGTGTAAGAGACGAGATCGAACACCATAAGGAAAACTAGTGGGAATCCGATAAATAACTTTGAACGACTTGTTTCTGTCCACTATATGACCGCTATCGATCAAGTGTGATAGAACCGAACTGCGTATTGTTTTGACATAGCCTTTTCCTAACCACGAAGGGAGGTGTTCACTAACTCGTTGGTTCAGTTGCCTGGTAGTGCGCCCGATATAGCTTTCTCCACAGGAGCAGCTGAATTCGTAGATACACAGAGAAGTGGCATAACCAGGTAACTTATCCTTCAATTGCGGAATCACCATCGATCGGGTCGAATACGATAGGCAGAGGTTGGCAGCATTAAACGTTCTCTTTACTGATTTAGTCAATCTATCTCGTAATACATCGCTAGCCACATCACCATTGAATTGCAGTTTCAAGAAAAGTGGTTTCTTATTAGCCGTCAGGGTCACTATTTTCCTGTTTTTTACGCGCAAGTGTTTCTTCAGGAAACCCAGTGGATATCCTAGTTCAATCAAAATATTATGAATGTGTTGTAATTCTCTATCGATAGTGTCGACTGAGCATATCTTAAGAGCTCTATTTGCAAGGCATTTGACTAAGTTTCTCTTATAATGAAGAGGCACAAAGCTTAAAAAATGTGTGTATTGGCCAGGCTGGATTAGTTTTGTTCCCAGTTTTTCTGATCTACTTTTTGCCACCATGTTATTATAATCCATAAATTGTGATTTTATTTCCGGTGGTAGGTTGTCGAGCATATATTCTCTTTGTGAAAGATTTCTTTCTAGATTGTTAATGTGTAATTTTAATGAATCCGTTCGGTTAAGTGCATGCCGTTTAAGGGTTCTGGCATTCGGATAAACTTTGTTCCGGCGTAAACATTTCCAATATATTTTAGGATATCTATCATTCCGCATACAATCATTAATAAATTCCAACGATATAATCCAGCCTGGCCAATACACACATTTTTTAAGCTTTGTGCCTCTTCATTATAAGAGAAACTTAGTCAAATGCCTTGCAAATAGAGCTCTTAAGATATGCTCAGTCGACACTATCGATAGAGAATTACAACACATTCATAATATTTTGATTGAACTAGGATATCCACTGGGTTTCCTGAAGAAACACTTGCGCGTAAAAAACAGGAAAATAGTGACCCTGACGGCTAATAAGAAACCACTTTTCTTGAAACTGCAATTCAATGGTGATGTGGCTAGCGATGTATTACGAGATAGATTGACTAAATCAGTAAAGAGAACGTTTAATGCTGCCAACCTCTGCCTATCGTATTCGACCCGATCGATGGTGATTCCGCAATTGAAGGATAAGTTACCTGGTTATGCCACTTCTCTGTGTATCTACGAATTCAGCTGCTCCTGTGGAGAAAGCTATATCGGGCGCACTACCAGGCAACTGAACCAACGAGTTAGTGAACACCTCCCTTCGTGGTTAGGAAAAGGCTATGTCAAAACAATACGCAGTTCGGTTCTATCACACTTGATCGATAGCGGTCATATAGTGGACAGAAACAGGTCGTTCAAAGTTATTTATCGGATTCCCACTAGTTTTCCTTATGGTGTTCGATCTCGTCTCTTACACATAGCAGAAGCTATAGGAATCCGAGCCAACAAGCCAAGTCTTTGTGTCCAGAAGAAATTTGTAACTCCCTTATCTCTCCCTTGGCCTTAAGTAATAAATGAATGTATTTACTTATTTATTTATTCTCTTCGTTTATTATTATTTTTCTTCACACCCTCCTACCACTTTATTTTCTCTCAACTATACGTTTCATGGTCCAATTATCTGAACATTTCTTATTACGTCATCGTGTAATTTTATAATTGTTATCTCAGTTTCTATATTTTTCTAATCATTGACCTATTTCAGATTATGTAACATTGATTTGAACCATTATTATTATTGCTTATCAAAAACTAATGCACCTGTTGTCACACCATCAATTTGTAATTTTCACATTTTACTTATTATGTAATCTTTTCCATTGTTATCATTGACTTATAAACTACCTTGATTCGTATATGCATATAAATATTACTGTATATTAGAGTAAAGCCTGATGAGGATCTAATCGAAAACAATATTGTTCGCTTATATATGTTGTTCTAAATATTCAGATAAGCTAACTGATTTGAAAACGTTGATTAGTTAATATGATATAGACTGATCAAATGGAATAAGGAGTTCAGCTTTACTTATAAATTATTAGTTGCCATGGGACAGCTAGTTGTATTCCATCTCTCTTATTAATACTGTTTGAATTAGCCCATATATTTAGGGCTTTGGCTGTTAGTCGTTCTTTGTAAGAATTAAATCCTTTTTGAATGATTCCTGCGCCATTGAAATCAACTGTATGACCTGATTCAATCGAGTGTATGGTATGTTTTACTTAATATTTTACTGACCGAAGACAATATATAGTTGAATGAAGTTTCTTCTCAAATCACTTATGTATACACACAATCTGTTATCTTAACACTTTTCGTTTCACACCACATATCTCTTACACATTAATGTAAATACATACTTTAATCATTTTACACTTTGATTGGATGACTTATTCAGTATACAGTAAACCAGAGAACCATGTATCTATTTATATTCGATAATTTTGTTGTTTGATTATATCTTCCTTGAAAAATCTTTGACCAGATTGCCAGGCGAAACGTTGGATTTACTTAAAAATTCATTCGCTTAGATTTTACAAATATATATTCTTTATATTAACAATGATTCATTTGAATATAAAAGTATACTATCCTAGCAATGATCATATATGTGTTAATATGTAAATAAGTAATATTGTGATATTCAGAAAAATATCCCAAAAATGATCCTTTTAAGTCTAATACTATCCTTGAACGTGAAATTGTGTCATTTTCCTATTGGTCAATGTTTATTTCATGTGTCATTTTCCTGTTGGTCAATATTTATGGTAGTCCTAACTGCAGAAATATGCATTTGTCAGTAAATTCTTCTTCTTCTCCTGACCCCATAAACAATTTTCATCTACGGTTCGTGTTCTAATATATTGGATATTGGGTAACAATATTGGGGTCGCACTGGGATATCTGAATTTGGTCAGTCGGTAGAAATTAGAGTAGCCACCCCGCGGTCCACAATATATGTAAATAAGTAATATTGTGAAATTGAAATCTAATCATTCTAAAATGAAAAGATATTTATAATTATTTGGGCTTGATCTTTTCTATTTAGTGATAACAGTATATTATTACGCTGGATATAAGGTAATGTAGTGATGTGAACAGAAAAACACAAAAAAGCTATGACAAACTATGAATACTATTTTTTTGGGAACGTTATTTCATTTAATTCAAAGCTTGTAAAACACTGGTATTTATGTTTTGTCTCTAGTTTATTCTACAAGCTATAAGGTTTCGTTTGATATATGATACATTGCCATACGTCTATCCGTTCCAATACTATTGTAATTTAAACGTAACTTTTTGTACTCTATTTTCTACCTTAACCCCCAGTTTTGGATATAAATGTATTTTCCTAATTGTTTGTATGTTTTGGTCATGTATCTTTTTTTCACTAATCTGATTCGGAATCGTTGCTGCTACATTGATGTGGTGGTCGGCTTTGCCTGTGCACTGAACCAATCGACCTATACTGGTTGAAACAATCGTTCCTCAAATTCCTACTATACTAGAGAGGTTGGTTGAAGAGCGGTAAGAGTAAAAGCAGCAAACTCAAGGTCCGAGGGCTAAATTGTACTGCTGACTGTACAGAGGTGTGACGGCAGTATCGTGTTTCCTTCAGGCAACCAGCGTAACAGCGGTACTGCCTTCGCACAAGGAAGGGTGAGGTTAGAAAATGTCGACACTAAAAATGCACATCTAGCCATATCCCACGGATATCTGTCTCCGGCGGTAAGGTCCCAATAAGTACGGAGCTAACACGAAAATTACTCACAAAAAGGTCATGTATGACTACTTTGTAACTGACTGATTGATTTGTAACCGAATAGGAACCGGGAATATATCGAATAGTGCTCCCGTTGACTCATCATTTTTCTCGCGCGCGCTTGTGAAGCAATCAGGTGATAGAATAGTTCTCGTCTCTCTACTCAATTCAGTTAGTCTCAGTTAAAACTCGCGCTGTCCTAACCTCAATGTTAAATTAGTCAGCCTATCATGTGAAGGCCTTTATCTAGATTGAGACAACTTATCTTTTATACATTAGTGGGTAGAAAAATCAAGGATGTAACACGTAGATTCGGATATGACCATTTAGTTAAACATTGCCATCTTCAAACATCTATCATAGATACGTCTAAATGTACAGTTTCAATGGTCTTCACATTTATTATTATTATTAACCTATTATTATAGAAGACAGAGGAAGATAGAAATACACCTAGCTAGGTCTTTAATAATTTAATTATTCTTTTTACTTAATAAACAACAGATATTATGCTTAAGATGATGATTTGTTTGTTTCCTTATAAATCTTTAGTCTATTTCTAATAGTGAAAAATCACCTATTTTGGAAGAACGAATTGAATTATTGAATAATCACTTTACACTTAGTGTTTATCGAAATATATGTCGATCATTATTTGAAAATCATAAATTATTATTTTCTTTAATCATGTGTTATTCACTTATGAAAAATAAGTAAGTTTCTTTATCAATATGAAATCACAATGATCATCATTATTAATTATTTGAAGATCATTGAATAGATGACGTATTTAATATGCAAAGATGGATAGTGGCTGGCAGTGAAATCCAGTTTGACACACGTTTCATCCTATTCGGGACTCGCCAGTCAGATGTACCTACATCTCAGAGTTGATGTTCACTCTGGGACTCGAGCTCAGTACCGTTCGCTTCAAATGCTATAGCGTTATCCACTTAGCTACTGAGTCCTGATAGCCAATAGATTGTGCAAGGGGGTGAAGTTTAATTTCACTTGGTATTGTTTATTTGAATCTTTGATTGATCAGTTGTAGTCCTAAACATCAATGGGAACATTCAAGCAAACAATACCAAGTGAATATATTTATTAGTTTACAATTTGACTACTTATAAGTAGGTCACTAATTATGAGAAAATAAGGTTATATAGAATAATTTATAATGGATAAAATCAGAATCGACTTCTGATTATTGCAGTGCAGAGTCAATCTTTATTATGTTAAATTGAAACTGACTGAAGCATAAATAGATCATAGAACTTATTGATCACTGATTATTGATCAATCTGATGTGTCTGATTGTTTAGTGGCACTAGAATTCTATCGACCAATTCGCAATTCTTAAAAAATATCGGTATTACAGCAATTTATTCGCTGCTTTGATAGATCAATAGCAAAGCATATGGCTTTGAAACTTGGTAATATGGGTTCGAATCCTATGGCAAGCGTTAGTTTCATCAAGATCGTGATGAAACCTAGATAAGACAGGTTCTCTTGTCTAATACCTTCAAAAACGTGTTCTTGACTCTAACCTATGTCTTTGCATCTGATAACTGTGGAAATGTCGTATAAGGACTGACGAGATAAGCCTTCAGTTTCTGTTTATATTCTCGTTTCTAATGAATTGTCCTTTTGTTGTTGAAATTTTAATCAGATTCCTCTTTATTATGTGGTTATGTAAAGTGTAAACACTTCAAATGAATCGCAGTTACACTACTTCTTATTTCTGCACAAAGGTGTTTATTTGAGGACTTTAAAATTCAAAATCAAATCTATGACTGATGGTTATTAGTAACATTATAGGATTCCATAAAACATTTCTCTAAGTTTTAATCAACTTGTGATTGCAATACCCTTCCCAGATTGTGTTTTGTTAACGTTATAGATTCACCATTGTGCAATATTTTTAATACATTGCCCAAATACCACTTCATAAATGATTGATACGACTGATTATTCCTTACAGCACTGTGACTTAGTTACATCTTACTGATAAACCCTAAATAATGCAATGATTGCTTCTTGGGTTGTACGCTCAGTTACTATTAATGTTCATGTTCATGTGAAGAATATTGAAGCATCCGTTCAAGAAGTACTAACAGGGACTGGTTAATTCAGTCTTAACAAACATCAACGGCAAAAAATGAATTACTGAATTCAATTTTTTTAGAACGAGACATTGTGAAGGTAGACACAGACTTACTTCCTACGAATAAACACTGTTAACCAGCAAGCACTGTACGCTGCTTCATCCTAGTACAGTATTCCACAGCAGAGCAGAGCCGCGACTCCAGTAAGCTTAAAACGTATGACCTTCAAGAACCTTACTAATAAGCACTATCCAAATTATAATCAATTTAATTACCATCACTACTTATTTACTTTAATTAGTCACTTGATTTAATATAAAAAAATTTCAAATTAGAGGGAAAGTAAATGAAACAGTTTGGCGTTTTCTACTAACCGGTGGTGTTGCACTTGATAATCCTTATCCAAATCCATATCCTGATTGGTTATCAGATAAATGTTGGTCAGAAATTGTACGTACTACAGAATTACCAGGATTAGAAGGATTTATGGATAGTAAGTAGTACAATTATATCAAATATTATATAAATATAGAAGTAATTTTTCATATGTTAATATTGTGATAAACGCGAACACAAGAATTAAGAATATATGGCAGCTAGATTATTTCATTCAGAAAACAGAACATTTTCCTATATATATCAAAGTTAGAACTCAAAACAACTGTCAGCCAACATCAAAGTCAGAATCTTCAATACGAACGTCAATACAGTCCTGTTATACGGAGCGGAAACTTGGAGAACTACCACAACCATCATCAAAAAGGTACAAATATTCATAAACAATTATCTACGTAAGATAGTGAGTGTCCGTTGACCGGACACCATCAGCAACAACCTACTGTGGGAGAGAACAAACCAACTTCCGACTGAAAAGGAAATTGAGAAAAGACGTTGGAAGTGGATAGGATACATATTGAGGAAAACATCATACTACATCACAAAACAATCTCTTACCTGGGATTTTGAAGGGAAACGGAAACGCGGAAGACCAAAGAACACATTGAGTCGAGAATTGTTTGCAAACATGAAAAGGATTAAAAGCAACTGGAAAGGACTGTTCAGGATAGAGTTGGATGGGGAATGCAGGTAGATGGCCTATACTCCTCCACAGGGGATAACAAACGTAAGTAAGTATATATATATTACAGTAAGCTCTGAAGGCATCTCTTATACCTGAATTGAAAAAAACATCTTAGCGGTGTACATGTGTATTCTCACATGGTTTCCAATCCAAATTATTTTCTGCTAACACTTTACTATTGAACTAATGGATCAGAATTCAATGGTTCACAATCATGACTAAAAGGAATTTCAAATAAAACGATCCCTCGACCATATAGCAACACCCAGATTACAGTGTTTCATAAAGTCTAACCCTTGTGTATAGCACTATGATAATTAGAAGCATTCCAATTATAGTATAAACTAAGAATCCCATAAATAACGTAATCGGATCAAGAAGTACTGGATAAGCACGAACGAATATACTGTATTTGGAATTCGAAATCAAGCATTCAACAAGTACGAAGGAATCATTAGTTCATTCAAACACCACAAGTACTTTAGTTTTAATATAAGTAGTTATGTCAACTATATGTAGTAAATACAGAGGTATTTCCGACATGCTCTTTAATTACTATGATTTAAGGTCATTCCTTTTATTTACTTTTGCCCAAAATCGTAAGCCATAGTTTCGTTTCTACATATATTATAGTTCCACCACATTTATTCTCTACTTATTTGAATAAGTTTTTGATTGCGTAACCAGTACTTAACATTAAACATTTATATCTAATTAATAAAACAAATTGTTTCAAGATACTTGGTTATATTGTCCACAATCTTTTATCAACCGTGTATAAACAGATATATACAATGAATAATATTTATCACAAAGAAAAAAATTGAAAAAAAACACTACTGTGAAGGAGCATTCTCTTTCTTCTAGTATAGTGATTGTTATTATCTAGTACTTTGTTGGAGTTCTAACTATGGTTCTAGGCTTGGTACATCAACAGTCTGAATGTCATTAGGAAAAGAACTCGATGCCATCCTGAAGGTTTAGATCAATTTCATGGCTTAGATTTAATTACTATCTGTAAATCAATTCATTTACTTTAACTAACCAACTACAAGGTCACAAATATCACAAAATTTCTCAATGGTAACTTCATCTAGTGTGTGAGTAATCTTAGAAAATCTATATAGCTCAAGCGACATAAAATCAGCTAAACGTCACAAGTACTCTTAGCTTACCATTAATAGTTAGTAAACACTAAAAATGTTTCATATGGATCGGATATTTATTTGCATATATTCACTGCATTTTTAAAGGTGTACAATCTGCTCCAAATGAATGGAAAGCTATGTATGATGATTTAAAACCTCATAGATTTCCTATTCCTGGAGAATTTTCAAAATTGGATGGTCTTGAAAAATTGGTTGTACTACGATGTATACGTCCAGATAAAGTGATTCCTGGAGTTCAAGTAAGTTTTGACTGTTTGTAATAATATTAACATTAATAGTGAATCAAACTTTCTTACAAATCATTCATATTTCCAAAAGTAGATCAAATTTATTATATACGCAAAAACACTACTACTCAATAAAATCCCGCGAGCGGGATCGTGAATGTGTACTGCTGAGGAGTTCCATAATAGGATGAAACGGCCTTCCAGTACTTCCAGGTTTCCAACTGTGATCTAACATCAATTGGTTCATGATCTTAATCAAAAACTTAATAATCTCCACAACCCCTACACTGGTAAAACAGAGTTGATTTCATGCCATGATTAAATGACTAAAATGTATGAAAGTAACTTAGATATTTGTTATACAGATTACTTCAAGCTTTAAAAGAAATATTTTTGGCTGAAAAGATATAAGATATACTGAACAGTATTTCAAGTGAATACATTATGAATTCCTATTTAAAACTATTTCTATGATTATAGGAAAATTAGAAACTAGATCCTGAAGAAAAGGTTTACTGAACTATTTTTCATTGGCATCGTGTACATCATATATTATTACTGGTAGGATTATTTCGATCACTTCTAAATGTAACTGTAAACTTAATTAATTTAACATTTTAGTGTATTCTAATTTCCATGATTCATGAAACTGTAGGGTTATTCAAATGTCAAACAAAGAATTAGTTCTATAGTTCATTTCTAGCCAACATCCATCTCTGCTTAAAATGCTTGTGACTCAATCCACACACAACGCATATATGCCAAAAGAAACTTATCAACTGAAGTCTTAAACGTCAAAAGAAATATTCAAATAATCAATAGGAAGTAAACTAAGCTTTACCTCATTGTACAAGTTACTGACTATCAGGACTCAGTAGCTAAATGGATAATACAATAGCGTTTATAGCGGACGGTACTGAATTCGTGTCTCGGAGTGAGATCATCAAGTCTGTAATGAAGGTACATCCAGCTTAAGAGCCTCGCATAAGTGGAAATAAAGAAGAACAATTTAGAAGATGAAGTTATAAATTTGATTAGAAACCCTAAAATATATAAAACGAAATCCTACATAGATGAAAATGCTTCAAGTTTCAGAATGTGCATCTTTGTTACTTTTAAGTTACAAATATATTTCTCTAAAGATTTCAAATCTCAAATCAAGCAGAAACAAATCTCGATTGTTTTTTATTGAATAATGACACCTATTGCAGTTAATGTTTTTTTAAAAATTCCAAACACTAAGAGTTATGAAAAGCGTTTTATTAGCTCCAGTTGTGATGTGTGCTAGTGATGTCGACAGATATCAGTAGTATGTATCATCAATCGAAAGTTAAATACCTGGCAGCAGAAGGTTAAGAAGATGGAGGAAAAGAGAGAGAGAACAGAGAATGAATACTGTGGAAGCGAAGAAACAGTGAAGTCTGAGACGGTTGATTGGCAGTTTGTAAATGGAAACGTTACTGTATGGTTTTTCAGACTTTAATTAGAGATTCTATAACTTTGTGTTGAAATACATTTCGTTTTCCTCACTTGTTTTCTCGTTCCGTACACTGTGAACTGTTTTAAATGTCATTCATAACATTCTCCTGGTGAAAACTTCCATATTCTAGAAATTTTCATCATTTAAATAATTCAGTCCAATCATTATTATATTGCTTAATTTATTGTATAAACAGAGACAGATATGCAAAAATAATATAGGCGTTGGAATAATGATTTGGTTAACAAATCGTTATTAACCATGCCAAATAATATCATTCATTATCACTGGACTTGATGTTTCTGTGCTCATTACAGAAAATCAAGTCTTTTTTTAATTTTAGCTTCACCGATTGAAAAACCCTCTCCTTCTTTCAAAATCCGTGCCTGACCAAGACTTACATCATTTATAGGTTGTTTAAAACCTTTTCTCTTAAAGTAAACAGTGAATTTTGTACAGTTCTATTCAGCGAATACAAAACTAAACAAAGTAGCTAGAAAAAGGCTTCTTTTTGAGAGCTCTTTTATCTATACGAAAGAGATAATCAAATTGAAATGTAAGCTTTAGTCCAAAACTGTTACTGAGTTCAATGCCATCAATGTCATTATTAACAAGAATTGTAAAAAAAAACTATTCATGTCGAAGTTATTTTTTTATCACAGTTCGATTAAAGTTGGATAAACATTAAAAACCCAAAGTACACTGAACAATTTTTTTTCAACCAAACCTGTGACTCCTCAGCTACACATGTGTACCACTCTGAAAGCTTCACATCTCTTAACATCTACGTAAAATTGCATCACAGAGACAACGGATAAGATTTGACCCTGTAATTAGTGAAGCACATAATTGTATAGATGATGACAATGGTAGACGGTGTCACAACTTCGTGGATTAGTCGAAGCTAGAGATTAACTCCATTGAATGCTGGCTCAATGGTCTAGAGGTTAAGCGCTCACACGCGAGACTGATAGGTCCAGGGTTTGAGTCTCGTGAGGTGGGATCGTGAGTGCGCAATGCCAAGGCGTCTTATACTAGGACGAAACGACCGTCCGGTGCTTCCAGGTTTTCCATGGTGTTTTAGCTTCAATTGACTCATGAATTCAACTACTAAATTACATAATTTTATGTTCATATTTGTGATAGTTCTGTAAAAAGAACACTGTTGAATCTAATTAGTCTCTGATGTTAAAGTTCATAATAATTTACACCTTACACTTTCATAATTAGTGAATTATTGAAATTATTATAGTCTTTTCTTCTCAAAAATAATTAGGATTTTATTGTACAAAATCTTGGTCAACAATTTATTGAACCACCAACATTTGATTTACCCAGTTCATTCGCTGATTCCAATTGTTGTTCACCATTAATATTTATATTATCACCAGGAGCTGATCCAATGAATGCTTTAATTAAATTCGGTATTGATATAGGATATACCAGGGATCGTATACAAACAATATCACTTGGTCAAGGTCAAGGACCAATAGCAGCGAATATGATTTATCAAGCTATTAAAAATGGTACATGGGTTGTATTACAAATTGTCATTTAGCTGTTAGTTGGATGAAATCATTAGAGAAAATTTGTGAAGAAACAATTATACCAAATAATGTAAACGATAAATTTCGTCTATGGTTAACTAGTTATCCATCACCTGATTTCCCTGTTACAATATTAGAAAATGGTAAGTGTAACTTTGTTTTAATAATGACCATCAAGGTCATTAGTGAGAAAGATTTTTCGCAGTGAAACTTAAGTGAAATCAAAACATATGAGTGCTTGTTATTACAACATAGAAATTTTGCATTTGATTTTTATCACTTATTAAATCTAATTTAATAACTCATTACTGTAAATAAACGGATATAATATGGGGAGAAAAATGATTGAGATCATGAACCAATTGGTGCTAGACCACCAGTGAAGATCTGGAAATGCTGGATGGCCGTTTCGTCCTATTGTGGGGCTCCTCAACAGTACGCATCCACGACCCCGCTCGTGGGATTCCAACACAGGGCCCTCAGTATCGTGCACAAACGCTTAACCTACTGAGCCGGCATCCAGCAATGTTAATGTCTAACGTCAACCAATCCACGAAATAGTGCGACCATCTTCCATTTTACTGAGGTAGATACATGTCTATCCTACACGGATTAGCTGCACTGGTCACGGCTTCTCACTAGAACTCCGAGAATTCCATCACGAAGCCAGTCATCAGTGAGCACATGGTAATTATCTGTATAGGGTTGTGGAGATTATTAAGTTATTGATTGAGATCATGAACCGATTGATGTTAGACCACCATTGAAACATCAATCGGTTCATGATCTCAATCAGTAACTTAATAATCTCCACAACCCTATACTAAAGAAAAATGACCGATTACTTAAATGCCATTTTCTTCAAGTGAAATGACGAAATTTGTCTACGAAATAGTATGCAAAAAGAAAATGAAATGATTAAGTTATTTGAAACAGTTGATTATATAACATAGGTTTCAAGGGTCACTCAAGACCCTAATACGAAACCTAATCCTTGCCTTTCATTTCAATTATATTATCGTCAAAAATTATTATTGACTTTAGAGTATATATCATTGACCATAGAAACTATAGCCTTTCATACAGTCGTTTATAGTTGAAGAAATTATTTAATGAAAATTAATCATAAAAAAATAATTAAAGGCTAGAGTATGTGATATAAAGCTTAACCAGCTCATATTTGATGTAGTTTCTTTCTCTGAGCTCGATGTTCCGGCTCTTCTATTACACTTTAGATTATGGAACTGTACAACTTTATGAAAATAATTTTTTTTCCCCGGCTACCAATTGAATCTGACTGGTTTATGTATATTCAGACTACTTGATTAGAGTCAGTAGTCGGATACATCCAGTGATTTGATTGAAATGCTATATACGCATACTTTTGCATTCATTTTGAATAGATATTATTGTTACTTTCTTCCTGTTCAATTTGCAATGTTTGTACGACCACTGTTTTTTGTTTACGAAACAAGTAATCAGTCTTCTAGACCTGCTTAATCAGAGTACAGAACATATCTACAAGTAAAACAACACCAAGTAAATTTGAACTTCACCCATTGTACAAGCAAGTGGCTATCAGGACTCAGTAGCTAACTCGATAACGCTATAGCATTTGAAGCGAACGGTACTGAGTTAGAGTCTCAGAGTGAACATCAACTCTGAGATGTAGGTATATCCGACTGGCGAGTCCGAATAGGATGAAACGTGTGTCAAACTGGATTTCACTGCTAGCCACTATCCATCTTTGTATAGACAGCTTATGACTTAAGGCAATATCAAAGCAATCTGCACAGTATGCATATATACCAACAAGGGAATGATTAATTGCAGTCCTAAATAATAATCAGAAGATACGGGTAAAAATAATAAAATTACTTATCTTGTTGAATTATCAAGATTTTGTAAAAAGGACTAATTATACACTATCATCTGTATTCACTATTTTTCTTTTCACATATTTCATAGGTGTTAAAATGACAAATGAACCACCAAAAGGTTTACGATCAAATTTATTACGTTCTTATTTAAATGATCCTATATCAGATCCAATATTCTATGATGGTTGTACAAAAGTAAGTGAACAACAGACATTTATAAAAACAAGATGAATAAAATATAACATCTTCCCAGTACTCTACGATGAATAGTAATTAGCAAATGAATATTATTTATTGACAGAAATCCCATTCTTTCTTATCCCCTGAATATAACATGGTGACCTTGTAGTTAAGCTTTAAGATTTCAATAAATGGATCAAAGGTTAAAACTTCGCTCCACCTAATTTGTTATGAATAACCAGGTATTAATGTCAAGCCGTCACAATATAAAATGTGATAAAATACTGGTGAACTAAACTTACAACAAAATTATCCTCACTGTTAACAATTAAAAGGCGAAGTGATAATTATCAACTATTACTGGAAACTTTTAACCACTGAATATGCAATCGGATAAATGTTTGACTATAAACATCCCAGAAAACATTTCAGGTATTCCTTAGTTTACTTATATTTAGGCCGTCAGCCACATATATTTCATGAATGAGCTCAGTGCCTTTGTGAAACTATTGTATAGCACTTTGTAGATCTACCTGATCTTAAAATCATTTCAATTACTGAATAAATCTTAATATTTGGATAGACAATTAAAACAAAAAAACATTCTTCATCACTTTGTTCATAATAGATTACTGTGACATGGCTCAGAATCGATCACAATGGCGTAGATGTATACACTGTCTGTCTTCCTTTAAACGATGAGATTAAAATCACTTCATATCTTTCTTACTATGAACTAGTTCTTCCTTCCTGTACTATATCCTTATATGAATTAACTACTCCTATGAATCCGGTGTTCATCTTGCTGTACTAACGAGTATGTTAACTTGGACTGATGCATATATATGCCTAGTCCTACGTTGTAACTGACTTACTTGTAGTATTTCCAGAAACTCTTATCATTTCATGAGTCTTATAGAATTAGACAATTTCTCGACTAAAATCATTCTTTAACATTCCTATGTAAATCAAATGAAACATATTTAAATACCTTCAAAATTAGTTCTACATTATATCAATTTAAATATAATCATTAAATCAGGAAATAGTTTGTTTCTTTAATAAACAGATCCTTTTCAACAAGTTTATTTTCAAAAGATGTACAATTCTATTTATATATGATAAACTATCGATCAATAAATAGTTATATCGAAATGGGGATTTGTGGAGATTGTAGGGATTTTAACAGTCGATCTAAGCTAGACCACGATTGAGAACCTGAAAGCATTGAATAACCGTTCCGATGTATTATGTCTAACTTCAATCGATCCATGATCTTGTGCAACCCTTCAACCGGCTCAGTGATCTAGAGGTTAAGAGTTCACGTGTGAGACCTATGGTCCGAAACTCGAATCCTACGTGAGGGACCGCGGATGCGCACTTCTTAGGAGTTCCGAACTAGGATGAGACGGTTGTTTAGTGCTCTCACGTTTTCAATAGTGGTTTAACTTAGATTGACTCATGAATCCGATTGTTAGGATAATCATATGTCAGTTAAAATTTGATTAATTATTAATGTGTAAAAAATAGTTATTAAAGGAGAAACTATACGAAATATGAGAAATATGTAATCGATAGGGTGAAAAGTGAAATGGTAGGTATTTTCACATTGAAATAAATATGTGAGAATGATGGCCAAGATATTTTAGTTGAAACAATCTTTAATAAATAAACATAATAATTGTTGTGACTTTATGGCCCGCTTTTTATCACGTAATTTATTCGCCAATCGAAATACGACTTATTAACTCTTTCACTGTACTAAACCAATGACGTTCGACCAGTATGGGCAGACTAGCATCCTTATTGGTTCTTTACTTGCCTAGCCCGTCCAGTTGAGTTCAGAACACCAATACCAGCTTCCATTATGCGGATCATTTATTTCAGACATACTTCGTCTATATATCAGTCAAACAGACCGCGTCGCACCATAAAATAGGAAAAAACAGTCAATTAGTGTGTTGTTACGTGTATGAGTGTAGATATCACTTCCCGGCTGCCCACACTGTGAAAGGGTATTTCTTGGGGAATCTAGAAAGGAAGTTGGATTAGTGTTGGTCTTAACGACCTGGGAACGTGACTGCAGAGCCCGAGGGACAACTGCTTGAGGCCGGTCGCGAACGGCCTTCTGTAGAAGGTTTTTAACGTGTTAGCTCCGTTCTTCAAAGGGCCTTACCACCGGATACGGAAATCCGTGAGGTAAGGTGAGGCGTGACATTTTTAGGGTCAACCTTTTCGAACCCCTCACCTCCTTGTGAGAAGGCAGCATCGCTGCAGATGCTGGTTGTCCGATGGAAACACCTTACTGTTGTCACATCCCTCTACAGTCAGCAGTACGACTTTTCCCTCAGACCTTGAGTTGCTACTGTTAGTATTACCGTTTTCCGATCGACCTGTCTAGCATGGTAGAACCTGCAGGAACGTATATTCCAGCCAATATAGCTCGGTTAGGTCATCACTATCGGCAAGCCTGACCACCACGTCAAGGTAGCAGCTACAGTTGGGATAGGAAATAACATTTATACAAGATCCAGCCAAAAAATGGCTGTAAATGTGAGAGACTGTAACCAATAAACTGAACATAATTTAGGAACAGTAAATGGTATAATAATCTACAGGTCAAAATGAAGCTTATAATAAAAGGAATATAGATATTTAGAATCTAGTTACTGAATAGCTGTACAATAGGAATATATATATAATATTAGTCCGTTATTAGTTCTCGGAAGTTACTCGTAATTTAATCTTCGCTAGGATATAACAATAATAATAGAAAATTACAGTCATTTTATAAATATAATAAAGTAAGAAGAGGGATGACAGTTAAGTACACAAAATAATACTGAAAACTGAGACTGTTATAGAAAAAAACAGATCATACAAATTGTTTTTATACTCATAACTCAAGTTTTAAATTATGGATAGTTGAAACTTCTGCAATGTAAGGCGAGTAAAGATGTACATCTCTTGGTATCTTTGTTGGGGATGTCAGATCCCTAGAACTCACTTGGTAAATGCTTTATTTCGTAATTCCAATTTAAAAATTTGAATTTCTTGTTTTTGAGCCAAAAGCGCTTATTTTTATTTTATGTCGTATTTCCCATTTGAGAGGATCTTAAACACTATTGATGCGTTTTATCTTTTAGTATGCTATTTCTATACGCTTCCCAAGGACATATTTATTCTGTATACATAAGCTTGATTTGTGCTTGTTGTTGTTGTCCGTGCTTCTTGCTGCTTATGGAATTCATTTCCCATTTCCGAACTTGGAATTCTCTTTCTACTTACCTGGGCTGGGACGCATCGGAATAGCTAGTTTATCTGTCATTGTGTCACAGTCTTCGTTCCGTTCTCAGATTAAGTAAACTCGTCACCAGTTGCGAATATTCTTTATCAATACTTTGTTTAATTATCGAATGTTCTGAGGATATTTCAGTAAAATTCTTATTTTCTTCTGACTTCTTATTTGTTTTAGAATCCTATATGGCATAAGATGTTATTTGGATTATGCTTTTTCCATGCACTGGTTCAAGAACGACGTAACTTTGGTCCACTTGGTTGGAATGTTCCTTATGAATTTAATGAATCCGATCTACGTATCAGTGTACGACAAATGAAGGTTAGACTAAAGAGTAGATCACATTAGCACACTTTTCATGTCCCTTTTTAAAAGATGATTTTCCTCATGGACTAATATACGTTGAACAAAATTATTAAAAATGTTGTATTGTTACATTTCGAACAGAAAAATGTGTTAATATAGAATGGATGTAATGTGGTTAGCATAGAAATTCAGGACATGCCTTTGATTCTATTTGAAGGTGGGTGTACCTGCATCCAATAGTTGATGTTCACTTTGGTACTCGAACGCAGAACCATTCGTTTCAAACACCACCGTGTTATCCACTTAACTACGGAGTTCACATAACCACTCACCTTTGCAACGAGTATGGGTTTTAGCTCAATTTAAAAAGATTTAGATTATTCCGTGGTTAATATTTTGACTGAGATTTGATCAGTCTTGGTTAGCATATGTGTATTCTGTGCTGATTGTTTCGATATAATCATTATGGCGCAAATTAATATATAACTGATGGAATGTGTCTAGAAGTAGAAAAATGCATGTCCTATTACATGTTAAGCGTACACTGTATAGCTACAGGTATTCAGTATAAATCCGTTTGCTATAAGAAATAGTTTAACAATAACGTGCATGATGTTGATAACCGTAATGAAATTACTTCGACAATGGAGATATGGTGTTTTTTTTAAGCATCAAAAGTTGTGATATATAAGCGTAAGACTCCAATGTCAATAATTTTCAACCATATAACATAAAAGTAAGTGTTTCTAAATATAACTCACTGAATTCAATGATCACGTTTAAACTTTGAAAGATCAAGTTCAAAAGACCATACTGACTTGACAAAATAATATTCGTACATTTCAAAAATCATTTACGCCATTTTCCTTCATATTTTTTAAAAATTCAAATACCTTGAGGAGCATCAGTTACCTCGACTTTGAATGCATCTCATTCTAAAATTTAGGATCATTTAAGCTTCTTGTACTTTACTTCTAATCATGTTACATTCAAACACAATCCACATGCAATAGTTGGTCAATAAAACTATTGGGTACACAACCACTACCACTGTCTTGACAAACACGAAATTTTTCACTATTCAATGATCATTTAGTATAAATATATTGGTCGTTTAAAATCAAGTTGACAGTTTTGCTGTAATTTTATCTAATCAATTCATAGTTACAAAAATGTACATTTAAAGTAATTCCTCATTTCTTAGTCTACATCATGAAGTGACCTAAGCTAGACAACCTTTGTAAACTACGATGCACAGGAGAAGGTTCCATCCTAAAAAAGGACTCTTAAATAGTTCGAATCCAAAACTCTACTAGTAATCGAATCCAGTATCTTCAGGTCTCTCAGAGAGTACTTAACCTTCAGACCAGTTAATTGACACCGTATAGTTTGCATTTCTAACTTTTTAGGTCTCAATTTTCGTCTAGGGTCAGTTCATGTTTTAGACTAAGAAACGCAACAATCTACACAAACTTCTTGTACCATACTATTGATTTTTTTGTTTTATTTAAAAAAAACATTTACTAATTTAGATGTTTTAGATCAGTATGATGAAATTCCATTTGAAGCATTGACTTATCTTACTGGTGAATGTAATTATGGTGGACGTGTAACTGATGATAAAGATAGACGATTACTTATTTCATTATTGGGTATATTTTATAATAAAAGAATTATTGAAGAAGAAAATTACAAGTAAGTTATACAATTGCTTTTTCATTATAGTGGAACTTGATAACTCGTTGACATATTAAACTATTTAAGAAGCGCGACTACAACCAAGTCTTTTTAATTAAATAATTTAATTACTACACAAAAAGTTACTTAACATGCATTGAAAATAGTTGGGGTATAAATGAAAATTTGGAAGTAATTGACAGTTGTTTTGTGCTACAATAGAATTCCACATTAGTGTACATTCAAGAACCGGCTATGGATTAAGCACAAGTATCGCAGCCACAAAATTGGAACTCAATGGTTCATATTTTAACTTTAACAAATTTGAGATATATAAACGTTTATTTGAATCGAACAAACTGTTCATGAGTCCCTAATCATAATGTGATATAACCAGTTGGGAATGTATTTCATAACCTTAGGAAGTTGAATCATGAAATGTCATCAGTAATAAGTAGCTTAACCTTAAATTACACTCTAAAAACACCATTTATAATCTGTCATTGTTAGAAGTTTTGTGGACGTTTGCTCAACTGAACTGTAGCTTACTACTTAATTGGATGGTAGATAAAAAACAAGTAGTGATATATAATTTCAAAATAGAATTAAATATCCGCTAAATATCTTTAAATTCTCAACCAACTTCTAGTCCTGTGTATAATGTTCAATCAACTGTAGTACCGAATAATTTGAAAAAAAGTAAATTTTCTTTCGCCGAGATTTTACAAACATCTTCATCCTCCTTAAATTTTACAGTTTTCTAAAATGATATTCTTTTTTCTTTTGTTGTTAACATATTAATTAGTGATTTAGTAAAGTAGCCAATTTCTAGGCTGGAATCCTAATCCATTGAACTTGTTCTAGAAGCATGATTTATATCCAAAAGAGATATGTAGAATGACCATTTTATACATGTGTATGTCTTGTTCTTTTGAATATATTATAGATTTTCACCATCTGGTATATATTATTGTCCTGATGATGGTACAGCCCAACATTTTATTGATTATATACGTTCATTGCCATTAAATCCAATGCCAGAAGTTTATGGTCTTCATGATAATGCCGATATCACTAAAGATAATCAAGAAACTTTCCAAGTAATTAATTAATCAATGTTTATTTCATTTTTAAAAAATAAATCAATAAGAATTTGTTTGAAAATCCTCATTTGATATAATATAATCAAGAGGTATTTCTTGGAGTTCTAGTGAAAAGCAGTGACCAGTAGAGTTCAATCGGGTCTGTTGTGAGATAACAACTCATTGAAGACAATGGTGGATATATCGCTCAATTTCTTGGATTATTTGAAGTTAGATATTAACACCGTTGGATGCTGGCCTGCTCAGTGGTTTAGTTGTTAAGCGCTTGCGTGCGAGACTCATAGGTCCTTGGTTGGAATCTCGCGAGGCGGGATTAATAATAATAATAATAATAATAATAACACATTTTTACATATTTTTAACCAATCTAAAGTCATGATAGAAAAATGACTAAATACTTTACGCTGATTGGTTTAACAGTAGATTTAACCAACCAATAGAATTCTTGAAATAAAGCAATAGAATGAATCAAAATTTGAAGTAAACAAACTCTTGATACACAGGCCAACAAACTGAAATACAAATATCAAAGTTACTCACTAACTGTGTTACGATTATTTAAACTACATTGTATCCCAGTAGTAATTGAAGGATTGATCAACCGGAAGAAATTTGAGTAATGTGAAGTGAGAGAAACTTGAAATATTTCAGAGTGATGAAACGAATTCAAAGTTCTACAGCGGGATTTCAAAATTAATGTAAAATATAATTTCTATCATGAATAAATTTGAAGAATGTACCTTTATAAAGAGTTCTTAATATTAATGAAGACGAGGTTAATGCATCAACTTGGAATGGAAATGATACTACATGAATACCAAGTACTGTGAAATGTTTACTCACTCTATTACGAATGGTTATTGCAGCGTAAACCGATTAAAACTGTTTTACTTTTGATTAATCTTATGTAAACTCTTAAGCAAATCGTGATTTTAGTAATTTACTGGTTAATTGACACTTGTGACATGCACACTCGTTTACATGTTTGTTTTTGTCCCTTGGGAAATTATGCCTGTCAAAGGTTTATAGATTCCAAGTGAGAGCTATTTCTCTGCTGACCATCTGGACTTAACATTTGGTAATTTCTGGTTAACCCATTGTATCATTTACACAAAAGGAAAGTGTTGTGTCTAGAGAAATGGTTATATTTTTAGGGATAGAGATTCTAATCCATATCATGGACCATACTACAAGTAGGATCAATGACCTATGTCACAAATATACACACCAACCAATGAATCACAATCATGGCCTTAACGATCCACTTCCCACCGAGTAGCCGAACAGAAAATGCGGACAAGAAGTATATTAGTTTTCTATAGTGCCCAACTCAGTCATAACTTAAAACGCATATAATAATATACGTGAAATGACTGGCAACACAGAACAAATGAGAAATTATGCTTTATGCACAATCATATCACTATTGGTAGAGGGAAGAGCGAAAAGTATACAATAAATTTGCAGTAATTTGGGAAAAGTAGAACGCATAATAGCAGTCAATAGGTTCAGTAAAAGCTTACAGTAAAGATAATATAAAAATGGAACTATACAATTATCTATCATCTATACATTATTAGTATACATATGTATATAATACCAATCTGAATAATAGCTCTGAAGTTTTCAAATTCCCTAATGTTGTTTCTGTTACAAGAGAAGTCAAACTGTAGATGAAACCATTTAAAAGACTAATTATGATATTATAAAGGTTTTAAAAAGACGAAATAGATTTATTTGCCAAGACTGCTTTTATTTATGGATTGAAGTTAAACATTAACAGTGTTAAATGCCGGTTCAGTGGTCTAGAGGTTAAGCGTTCACGTGTAAGACCGAAGATTCTGGATTCGAATCCCATGTGCGGGATCATGGGAGTGTTCTGTTGAGGAGTCCCATACTAGGACGAAACGGCCATCCAATGCTTCCATGTTTTCAATGATGGTCTAGATTAGACCAACTCGTGAATTCAACTATTAGGATTGGTTAACTATGTGTGAACCACAAAAAGTTACATAAATCTCGTCTAGTCACTGTGTATTTCAAGTTTTTATTTGATTTTGAAAATAAACTATTGTTATGACTGTAGTTTTGATACTATACAGAGCCCGGAAAGCTATTCTAGCTTCTGGACAGATCAATTTATTCATTCTTCTCTAGCTATATTTTGACTTTGTTGATTTTTCGCATATTAACCCCAACTGCTTTTACATGATCGTATGTGTGTTAATTACTTACCCTATTCATCAAGTGTATGTAACTTATTTTTGGTCTGATTATAAATATTGAGTTACGCTTCCCCGATCGGCTTCGCTTTCCCACTTTGTTTCTCTGATTGTCAGTCTGGATCAACAAGTATATGAAATATACGTATCGAAATTCATTCTTGTATTCCGTTATTCTTTAATGCGAATTAAGTCGATAATCACATACAATGGCTGACGACATATACATTTCGATAACAATCATTCATGCGATCTAACTGGAGTCAGATATAGGTCCACCAAATTAGTGAGCCCGATGTGATTCGAACACGCAGCTTTCTGATATACAATCAGATATTGGGCCAATAAATTACTTTATCCTTATGCTTATCAACTGTTCAAGGTGATTATAAGTTTATGATCATTTATATATCACTTATCAGGTTCATCAGCTAATGTGAGATAATCAATGACATATTGATCTTCAAGCTGGTAGGCGGGGGTATTCTTTTAAGTGATACACAGGTTTTGAATTTTACTACCGACTGGATAGGTCACAACCATCATCAGTTTACTAGTTTACTTACTTACGCTTGTTACTCCTCGTGGAGGAGCATAGGCCCTCCCACTAGTTTGCTCTACCACAATTTCAACTTTTATTATATTGAAAAACTGTTATTACTTTTGATCACATAATTAAATGTGTTTACCTACATTTTCTCTTCTTCACTTTCATTATATAAAGTTATTTTCTGGAATTTTATTAACATTACCAAGACAAAAAGATACAGCTGGTAAATCACCAGAATCAATTGTACAAGAATTAGCTGCAGATATTTTATCGAAACTTCCACCAGATTTTGATTTGAAAGAAGTGAGTTCAACTAAGTGTTACCCATTTGTTACTTATTTGTATTTAATAGTGGCTAGCAGTAGAATCTAGAATTTGTATGATATACTATCTGGGACTTGTCAGCTATATGTATTTACGCCTGTGTTGGCTTCCGCCTCAAATATCATCGATATGAGCACTGGAGTGTAGGTACATCTGACTGACGAGTCCCGAACAGTGTGAAACGCGAGCTCTCAATTTTACTACTAACCACTATCCGACACTTTAAAATGCTTGTGAATTGAAATCAGTATTAATGTAATCCATTTATGATGCACAGTTGCCAAAAAGGACAGATTAATCACACCCGAAAACAGCAAAAACAGGAAGATCTAAATGACTTTTATAAATTAATTAAAATCCTAATTGCATAGTAATTTGCTTTAAATATGAGGAAAAATAGACTGAACGAGAAAAGAGAGTTAAAACTTCTATTGTCTAAGCAACAGATATAACACTTCAATGAGATTTATAACACATTCGTTTCATTGGATAGCATATTTGTCATGTCCTTATTTTAAACATAATCCCCACACTTACTGATGAACCACTATTCAGAATGAACTATTGCGTATGATTTTGACTCTCTTTGACTGAACCACATTAATAAAGCTTCTCTAGTCACAGACAGATATGATTTTACCTTAGCAATTAATTTCTGTAAAGCGTGGTGTTGATCAGAAACTAAGTATGCATTGTTCTTGATAAATTGGTGACTAAACAACTTTTCATTTACCTGATGATCATATACTATATTGATTTAGGCGGCTTTTGTAGACTGGCATTAAATGTTAAAACCAATTTCCAGTACAAACGGAAGTTATCTGTTGTAATATTTTGGAAGTGTGACAGTTATAAGTCAGTTGCATCCCATTATACTCATACCATGTTTAGAAATAATGTGAGACAGTTACCCACCGAAGACAATGGGAAATGGTCGTGCAGTATCGTGGATTCTTTGAAATTAAACACTAGTACCACTGGATGCTCAGCTCAGTGATCTAGATATTGAAAGTTCGTGCGCAGGTTCGAGGGTCCTCGGTTCGAGTCTCACAAGTGGGGTCGTGGATGAGCACTGATGAGGAGTTCCGTACTAGGACGAGATGGCCGTCCAGTGCTTCCAGGTTTCCAATGCTAATCTAACATTGATCTATTCATGACCCCAACCAAAACTTAGCAATCTCCACAAATCCATACTGGTAATATACTTGTTGTTATATACTAATGTCCTGAGTTCGATCATGTTTTATATTGAGAGGTGATCACTGCTAATGAATCACAAATAGTTTTTCACTGATGCTTGATTCTCAGTGTTTTTCCAGATGTCTTGAGCTTTTTACAAAAAGTTTCCTCCAAATAATTAAATTTCTCATCAGTTACAAATAATAAATTAAACTTGATAGGTGACATTAATATTACGAATGAAATCCCGATATCTAAAAACTATACTGTTCCGTAAACAACTAAAGCCCTATGAACTGTTAAGCTTTGAATATTGGGATTTTCAAACGCCAGTGACGCCAAAAATGTAAGGTTCGAAGATGAAATTTTTCCTTCAACCATGTAAAAGAGTTAAGTTTCTACGTGTGCTTTCAATCAAAAGAAGTACATGACACACTGGTTCGAAATTAGACAAGTGAACAAAATGAGTAGCGGACTACGAATAATTGGAAACTAGTTTGCTATGAAAAACAGACACAATGCTTTAACAATAAAGGAACAATAAAAAATCAATAGAAATTACCAAAATACTTGATATTATTAAGTAGTGTGATTACGAAGATTACGTAAGGAGGAAATGAATCTGCAATGTGGGAAACACACTTAACTATCTATATGTACCTGGATTAACAGTTTTGCGGATATCGTTTTGATCTTTGAGTGATATTTTCCATGAATTGGTCTTACTTGGTGTACTAATAGGTACCAGAGGATATTTAATTCATCTTAGTCTGGGATTCGTTTCTAATGTGTCCCCACCAAGGGTTGAAACCATAATCACCAGGCCTGTTGATCAAAGTGCTGGTCGAACTCACACTCATAGATTCTAATTAGGTCGGAAGACCTGTAAGTCGTAAACACGATCCATTGAGGAGTCGCATATGCATGGTGAAGCGGAGTTTCACTCAAAAATGAAATAGATATCTAGTACTCTCTAGTATTCAATGGAAGCTGAACGGATATCATTCCATGGTGAATGTCGCTTACAAATACACTTAATAACATAAATACCTGGCGAAATAGGTTTTTTTTTCATCAGTTACACATTTTCACTTCTTTTATGTGCATGTTTTTGTTAACAGGTAATTAATCATTATCCTGTCAAGTATGAAGAATCGATGAATACCGTACTTAGACAAGAATTGATACGATTTAATCGCTTAACTAGCGTTGTACGTACAACATTAATAGACTTACAAAAAGCTATCAAAGGATTAGTTGTTATGTCAGCTGACTTAGAAGATGTATTTAATTCAATATTAATTGGAAAACTACCAAGTGTTTGGGCAGCGAAGTCATATCCATCACTTAAACCTTTAGGAAGTTATATACAAGATTTACTATATAGGTAATCAGTTTGTTTATTTATCTTTAAACAATAAAAATGTGATAATCAGTAATTTGATAAGAAAGAGAGTTTCAATAGTTGAAATCATGAGTCAATTGAAGCTAGACCACCATGGAAAACCTGGAAGCATTGAACGGCCGTTTCGTCCTAGTATAGTACTCCGCAGCAGTACACTGAGGTGGTGGTCTAGCTTCAATTGACTCATGATTTCAACTATTGAATGAAAGAGAGTATTATAAACTAATAGTATTTGAACTTTTGAGCTAATATACCCTCTCTTATCAACAATTAGAATAGATTAGTTAACAAATTGTTTCAGTGATTTAGTAAACCCATAAACAAGGTTCCTAAAATCAATATAATTGAATTCATTATGTTATCATTATGAACAAAGATTTCAAATTGAGATTGGTATTGTAAAAAGAAGAGATATCCAAGGAATTAGGCATTATTTTTCCTTTTCTTTTTTCACTTATTATTCAGGTTGGAATTTGTTTTAAAATACTTCTAATGAGCATAATCATAAGTCCAGCTATTGAGGGAATATCCTATTTCAAAGACGTATATAAAGTTGTTGAGGGTTGGATTTTACTTTTTATGAATTACTGAAATAGTTATCTACCGCAGAATATTGTTTTCGAGGCAGATTAATTGGAAATAAAACTATGAAGCGAATCATGTTGGCTCTAATATATGTTAGTATTTTTTTCAATAATAATATTAGATGTAGAAGAGGTTAACGGCTACCGCCGAACTCAAGGCAGGGGATAGAGAGGAGTTAATGAATAGTGAACTAATAGGAATCAATCTGCCGGCTCAAGGTCAGTAGTGATGGATGGGCGTGCAATTGGACGAGTCAAATACAGTGATTTAGAGAATAAATAAATGACCAAATTAAAAGTAGAATTCAGATTAATGACTTGACACATGATTTCTTTCAGCAATCCTCAGGAGAGACAGTTTTTATTGTTATATTATTTTTGTAGTTTAATATGAGAATCTTTCTTGGATTGTTCAGAATGATGAAGTAAACTGTTGGCAACCTTTTTCACTAAAATGATCACTAAGTAGCTGCTTACTTTTAGACTCATGTAAAATTTGTCTCTAAGTCATTGATCTTTTAATCACTTTACTGTTACGTCCCTGATCTGTCTACCCACATTTGGTGCTGAGGATAACTTGTCGAATCTAGATTAAGACCTTGACGTGATAGGCTGACCGGCTTAACCTTGAGGCTAGTACGCGTGAGTTCGAATTGGGGTAGAGGGAAGAAAACTATTCTATCACCTGATTGGCTGACAAGCCCACGAGTAAGAGAAGACAAGTCAACTGTAACACTACTCGATTTATTTTCAATTCCGATCTGGATCCCGATTTCCCGACTTTCAGATTAGTGTGAAAAGGTACGTAAATAGATAGATGACCAACCCGACCATATCGTACAATAATTAGGAAAATACAGTTATGTCCAATACTGGAGATTAGCGTAGAAAAATCGAGTACAAAATAATACGTTTAAATTACAATAGCTTTGGAACAAAAAGGGCTATGGTAGTGAATCATACATCAAATGAAAGCTTATGATCTGTAGAATAGACTACGAAAAAAAATAAATGTTTATGTTTTACAAGCTTTGCATAAAATGAAATAACGTTCCGATAAAATAGCTTCCGTAGTTTGTCAAGGCTTCTTCTTTCTCTGTTCACATCATTTATATTACACAGGTAACGTGTTTATTTTTGTTTAAAATGTTGATAAAAAATATTTCAAACTTCTCCAGTAAAAATCTAAAACTAATCTTGCAGAGATGGGCAAAATATTCTAAGAAAGTCCATCTGAACTATTAAAAAGATAAATATGCAATTGATAGACAGATTATTCAAGTAATCCACAAAATCTCAGAATCATTAGGCAAAATACATTTGAAACTAGTTAAAACTAGACATTGATAATGTCAGAAATAAATGTGGAATTACTTCTAAAGTAAAACTAGTGTACTATAGACATTTCACACTCATGGCTATCAATAAAGTTTATCTTTGTCACACATTAACCATTAACAATCATAATTCGACTAACAAGATAATCTACTACTATCTTTTAAGTTTTCGGATTATTTTTTAAATAGTTGAATTCATGAGTCAATTAAAGCTAGACTACTATGGGAAACCTAGAAACACTGGATAACCGTTTCGTCCTAGTATAGAACAGCTTATCAGTGCGCGTACGTTCACGTGAGAGACCGATAGCTCCTAGGTTCGAATCCCACAAGCAAGATCGTGGATGGCTATCAATAAAGTGCTGATATGAGACAGAAGGTCATGAGTTCGAATCCCTCACTGCTAAAGAGTCTCATACTAGAATGAAAAGGCCGTCCCATGCTTCCAGGTTTTCCATAGTAGTCTAGCTTTATTGAACTGATGAATTCACCTATTAAAATTACTAGATTCTTCTCAAAAGCCCTTTCCGATAATTGTCATGACTTTAAGTCCGGCTAGTATCACGTGATATAGTCGCGGATCAGATTACAACTCATAAAATCTTAGCACTGTGCCAAACCAATGACATTTGACCAGTATGGGCAGACTAGCGTCCTTATTGGTCCTTTTTCATCCTAGCCTTGCCAGTTGAGTCCAGAACGCCGACAATAAGGTCCACTATGCGAATCATTTATTTCAGACATACTTGGTTTATATACCAGCCAAACAGACCAAATCACCAGATCAAGCTAAAATGTGGCTGTGAACGTGGGAGACTGTAATCAATAAACTGAACATAACAACCGTGAATCGTATATTAGTAGTCTATAGATCAAAATGAAGTTTATAATAAGATGAATGTAAATATACACAATCTAATTACTGAATAGTTATACCATAACAATATATATATAAATATTAGTCCTCACAATTGATTGATCACTGGGTTGTGATCAATGTCATGTGTTTCAAGTCCTTATTTAGTGCAGATCGAATGCTATCGACCATGTTGCAATATGGCCACCAGTCTAGGTGACTCGACACTGCGTCCACTATATTTTTGAGGTTAGATGGAGGCCAGTCGCGTCCCGGATAGCTCAGTGCTAACGTCTCTGACTGTGAAGCTGGGTGACATGGGACCGAGTCCGCCAGGGAGCACCAGTTCCCTCAAGAATACAGGTACACCTTGCTGACGAGTGCGAAGTAGCACGGAACCCAGGACCAGGATTTCCTGTCGACTACCCCCACCCACCATCTAATCTCAATAATTCTAGTCCATTAATAGTTCACAAAAGTTACCCATAATTCAATCTTCCCTATGATGATAACAATGATATATTTTTTTAAATTTATACTTTATTATAAATAATATAGATTGAAATTTTTTGCTGATTGGTTAACTTATGATACACCACCGGTATACTGGATATCAGGTTTTTATTTTACTCAATCATTTTTAACTGGTATATTACAAAATTATGCAAGAAAATATACAATACCAATAGATACAGTTGGTTTTACATTTGATGTCACATCAAATTATTTAAATACAATTAATATATTAGACAATATATCAACTATACCAAAATATCCTAAACAATCATTCAATGAAAATAGACGTACATCATTAATTATGAATAATGATGTTAAATTACAAAGATCAAATGAACAATTTAGTGATTTTATTAAACCAAATGATGGTGCTTATATAACAGGATTATATTTAGAAGGTGCACGTTGGGATTTAATGAATAATTGTTTAAATGAATCAAAATCAAAAATATTATTTGATATAATGCCAGTTGTAAGTAAATTAATTAATTTTATCAGTATAAAGGTTATGGAGATTATTAAGTTTTTTTTTTGTTTTTTATTGAGATCAAGAACCAAAAGTGATCTAACATCAATTGGTTCATGGTCTCAATCAATTAATTTTTGTTTATAATAAGTGTTAGATCTATCGAAGCGTCTAGGTCATCCGATCGAGATACGCGCGAAACCGAAGTATACAATAGCGGTTCTTTATTGAATAATACACTAAATTTAGTTACAAACCTCAACTTGTGAGGTGTCTGGGGCGTTTAAACGCGTCTTTCAAGTATGAAATAAAAAGGCTTCCTGTTACAGTAACACAAAGAATGATTACGAAATACGATAGTACAAAGGACAGCTGATAGCTGTGTCTACGTTTGTAGCATTGTAGCATTTGTAGTGTTGTACAAAAGCCTTCAAGGACGTATACTAAGGTTTATTGAAGCCTTGGCTATACGGAAATTGAAACCCCCTTTATGTGTTCAAAAACAATTTGTACTTACACTTAACCTACCCTGGTAGTACTGATTTACTATCCAGAGTGGTAATCACATTTGTTTTTGTGTACTTTAATATGTTTTCCTTTGTTATGACTTACCCTTAACCTGTCTAGTTAACCTTTTAATTTTTCATATATAAATGTTCTTAACAAGTATATGTGTGATCAGATTGTTCGAAATGTATTGCGAAAATATATCACATAATTCTGATAAACTACGTCTTCTCATTGCATTATCGAAATTTATCAAAGGGACTAATTGTTTTAAATATGGAAACTGTCGCGTTTAAACAAATGCACAAAACTGTGGATAACCGCTACAGTATTTAAAATGATGAATACAATGATAAGTACAATAAACGTTATAAATATATGTGAACATTTCAGAATATTACAGTACAACTTGCGTTACAACATAAGTTTGAAAATTGTTGGTAATACAACTGCTTACTGAATGTAAACAAGTAGTATAAAACAATATACAAAGGAGTGGAAAGGGAGCGATTAGGAACAATGTAAGACAAACTTAACAATAAGTGAATAGAATTTTTTTCAAAACACTAGCTTTAATTGACTCATGAATTCATCTATTAAATTACTACAGGCTCCATAAACCCTCATTCTGATAATAATCATCATGTGCTCACTAGTAACTAGCTTCAAGGTGGATTTCTCGGAGCTCTAATGAGAAGCCGTGACCAATCGAATCCAATCCATGTTGGATAGAGACAGGTATCTACCTCAGACAATTGGATAAATATTTGCGCAAGATTATCGATCGATTGAAGCTAGACATTAACACTGTTGGATGTCGGCTCAGTGGTCTTGAGATTAGGCATTCACGTGCGAGACCGAAAGTCCTGGGTTCAAGTGTTGTATGTAGAGTCATGGATGTGCACTGCTGATGAGTCCCATACTAGGTAGGAACGACTGTCCGATGCTTCCATGTTTACAGTGATGGTTGAGCTTAAATTGACTCATGAATTCAACTATTAAAATTGCTACAATCTCCACAAACCCCATTCTGATAATATTTTCAATTAAACGACATTTCCTTTCCGATGTTATCATATAAATAAAATAATTACAGTGTTTAATATTATACTTTTCGTACAGCGGTAAAAATGTGAAAATAAATATTCAATAGTGTATAAGAGAAAAAGGTACGTTTCATGATAGTCTAAAAGCTAGAAAAGGTAAGAAATTATAAAGGAAATTCGTATTCAATATTGGATATGACCTTTTCAATCAATTATTGAAATGTGAAATTGGTTAAAACTATGGAGTAAAACAATATGATATTAATTACTTCTCAATGACCGATTAATGTTAACATCTCATCACAACAAATTATTGGTAACTTTACTGGATGTTACATGGGTACGAACCCTACAGAGAATATCAATTCACTTCAAAATAGTAGATAGATTGTGTTGATAAGCAGCATCTAATAAGTAACGTACAATTGTGGCTTAGTTTCAATTGCTTAAAATCACCTAACGTCAAATAATTTGATTGATCCGTATGGTTTAGAAGTGAAAGAGAAATTGTATTATTTATACAGTTGCTTTGAAGTAGAGGTAAGTCCTGAAAATTATGTCAGAAAAAGATTTCAAAATGAATCGAACAGCCTATAAGTAAAGTAGTCATCAATAGGACTAATAAATGTCAATTCGCCTCATTACTTAATTCACTTATTATTAACTGACTGATTTATAAATAACAAAATAAATGATATTTCAAGAAGAATTATCTAATCTCTTCAAGTAAATATTAATTTCATTGATGCTTTAAATATATAAGTACCAAAAAGTACACAACTTGTGTCCGAAACCTCGTGTTGATTGAGTTCAATATTTGAATGACAATCAAAGTATACTGTGATATCAAATCTGTTAGTATGTCTATTATATCACAAACTTTAATAATCAAATTCAGTCTATAATAAAGGCTATCATTCTAAATAAATGAACAAGTTCTAATAATCTACTTTTGAAACTAAACATTATAACATATAACTTTTTTTCACTTTTTTCTGTACACATTAGATCTGGCTTATTCCAAAAAAGTTAAGTGAAATCAATCGTGAATCAACTTATACTTGCCCAGTCTACAAAACATCTGCTCGACGTGGTGTTCTATCAACTACAGGACATTCAACAAATTTTGTATTATATATTGATTTGAAAACAAATCAACCACAAGAGCATTGGATTAATCGTGGTGTAGCTGCTTTATGTCAATTAGATGATTAGAAAGTGACATCCGAAAGAATATATGTTTAAATGAATAACAAATAGTGATATGCTGAATGTAGAGAACGTAGACAGTGATATCTATAAATATTAGAAGTAATAGGAGGAAATTCATTTCATACAGTATTTTTTACATTAAAGTTGAAGGAAGAATTCAGTAATGTAAAATGACCTGAAATATAATTTAGATAAATTTCTTTTATGATTACTGTTCCCAAGATTGAGTGCTTTCCAAGAAATAGTTTTTAAACGACACTACTTATTATTAGTTAGTAGTGTATTATCATTCAATAAAGATGTGCATATGTCACATGAATATTTGAGATGTAACCAATCGATTTAAATAAATATTATCGAACCCTTATAGGACGTAGATTTTCAAGAGTTCCTATTTAGGGTTAGCGGTTCTAATCACAAGTTGATATTACCTATAATATCGAATTGCTCTGTAGCCATAAGAATGAATAAACACTCAAAAATACAAGAAGTGCTATCCGGTTAGTCCATATACAAAATGTAGTGCCATCAGGTCAATGTTTGTCTCAGGATTAAGATTTAGCTGTTATAGATAATCTGAAAAGACGGAACTAAACATTTCATACGTTTGACACTTTTACTGTGGTAATAGAAATAGGAATTAATATGGTATCATTCGAAGTGTCTTAAACAGCATACAAAGGCAATTTTTCTGCATACCATGCACATTTGAATTTCACAAAAAAAATAAATATCGCGTCCTCGATTATGATTGGCTCGTCCCTAAGTTATCTTTCACAGGATAACCTCGATGACATTTCCCTAGTCCCTATTACCGCAATAACATATGCTTTGATATGATTGGTTGTCACCACTTTTAGTATGTTAACTTCCTTATGTGCCCGAATGTCATTGCATGTTACTACAAAGAGTTGTTTGTTTTCGATTTTCGGCTTACTTAAGGAATATAAATTCATCTTGAAAAACCATTCTCTATTAGAGTGTGAATTACTAACATTGAAGTATCGTTGTATGACAAACGTTCGTTCTATTCGAGTTCCCATTGATTGAGTCGTTTTAGAAGAATCATTAATTGTTCGTAAGTAAAATTTGCCGTAAACGAACCGAAAACCCAGTACTTCAATCTTTCTTGCTACTAGATCAACGAGAAAGCGCCCACTTTCATACACTAATCGAAACGGATATCCCATCCAACAAAGATTGGTTTCTTGATTTCCTTCTCAGCAGTAGTCGCTTTTCAAATCTAAACCGGTGAAACAATCCTATATTGACAACCTTTAGAGACCCCAAAAGTGATCCTTCCAAATTTCATCCATCTATTAGTCAGTCTGAATGCAAGTGTTACAAATCAATAACTTGTCACAAAATAAAAAACACTAAAGGTATACACTAGTTTTACATTATTAATAAACTTATTAAGGCCTAGTATTAAAATCAAAGCAAGTTCAACACAAATAGTCGTCCATATAACTCGAAATTATTTTAACTATAGAGGCTCTATATAAAAATGAAGATAGTACCCTAATCTTTGCCAAATTACTTCGATACTATTAGAGCGAACACTACCTACAGGATCGATAAATTGGGGTGTATGAATGACAGTCTGATAATTATAACTGTACCTTAGTAAACAAATAAACGCTCTTTAGTCGTCCATCTAAGTGTTAGTCCCCGATTGCATAAACCATACACAAATGAATGATTTATCTGTTTTAGTTGAGTCATAATAGGTGTGGTGGCCTAAAAGACCCCATAAACACCCTTGACTATGTTCGGAATCTTCTTTAAAATAAGGTGCTTCTTGTATATTAACTTTCACATTATATTTGCTATGTCATTGCATAATTCATATACTTGACAATTTTCAACTTTTTAATAAAGTACAAGCTATCAGTCACTAGCTCTCAAATGTCCTGGTACGGCCGAGAGTGTGGAGAATCAGTTCTCCCTCTCGAAGTGCTCTCACATGACCACGTGCATACAACTACTGCCACATAAGTCCTACTCACTGCCTTCTCGCATTGTTGTTGTTCACGAAATTGAAAGGACAAAAAGCGAATGTCCGGCACTCTAACTAGGTTGATGGACACGGAGAGTCCACCCAGAGCAGTTGGAAAACCCTGATTACAACTCAATCGTGCACATGGAACAAATGGCGTATAAACCAATTATTGGGCACCGACTACCATGGGACTGCATCTCCTCACGTTGCTCCACTGCCTTGTGGGTCAGACCTTTAAGTCAAATGCTAGGGCTGTGGCCGCCTAAGTAAACCACTTGCTTTGGTTTTGGTACCCGGGCAGTATCCTAGTCCTCACACAAATCGAATGCTTTATGTGGCGTATATCTATTTGGTGCCTCCTTGTACCAATGTTTAAGTGTTTAAATAAAATAAATAAATATCAGTCACTTTATATTTGATTTCTCGCAAGAATCCAACAGTCACCATTTCAAAATCTGATTAATTTGTCAGTTTAGTAAAGTTTCACCACTAAACCTAAACTAGCAGGCTAATTCACTTCATCAAAAATTTAATGACTAAATATACGTAGTAGTATAGTAGGTTTTATCCATTTCAGTCACTTAAAATTCACACGTTTATTTCACTAACCTATAATTATTATTCTAGGGGAAAATTCTCTATCTAGTCTGAACATCTAGGTGAAAACAATGATTCCATACTGTTAGAACATTACCATTTAATTTTCATCAGTAAATGAAAGAAATAAAAAATAAAAATGCTGAAGGAGTCAGTGAGTATACACTATATAAATGTTTAGAAAAATCATGTCAAACAGTTAAGATTTGATTATTCTTTTTAACAAGATATTCAAATTGAATACTATTTCTTTTTGTTTCGAAAAACAAAAAAAGAAACTAGATAATAATAAAATGAAACTGGTCAAAGTTTATAAATACATGTCATAAGTTGTTTTTATTCACAATTAACAGTAGTTGATTGGTGAGTTGAGTTAATAAGTCAGATAAGATTACAAAAGCTTTACATACACACACGAAATACAGTAGGAGGAGAAAAATTATTCATATAATATATTACGAAGGTGGTGGTGAAGGAGATCTAGGAATAGCAATATTACTGTTATCATGAGAGGCATCTGGTCGATGTACAGCCGGAGATGGGCATGAAGCATACAATGTATCAGTGGCAAACTTATTTCTTTGCTGATGAATAGGATTAGGCGAAAGAGGAGTACGGAATTCCCTTGAAGAAGATGATGATAACGATGATAATAGATCAGGTGAGGGAGTAAGCTTTGGTAGTTTACGTAGACTCGGCATTTGACCTTGTCCAATATGTAGATTACTTAGGTGAGGTGTAGCTCCCATTAGACCTGGATTAGTAAGAGGTGTTCCAATAGGCAAATGTAAACCATAAGATGATGTTGATGATGATGAGTAACACGATGATAAGCTGGTACCAGTTAATGATGTACTGCTATTATTCGATGACTGTAGTGAATCTGCACCAAAACGTGAATATTTATTAGTCGATAAAGGACTACGAGGCGATGGAGCAACCCATGCATCTGGCATTTGGAAACCAGTAAAGTTTGTTAAGAGATTTGCTGATGCATTTAATGATGACGCTGATAAACTATAACCACCAGGTCCAGTTTTAATTCCAACTAAATTTGTCGGTGTTAACGGTGATGCAAGCGAATTCTAGGAAGAGAAGAGAGAGAATGAACAATTTTGGAAAAGAATGACTATTTCCATCACAGATAAATATATACATGATGTTAGGATAAGAACATGAGATCACGGGATCATTCAATTTTTGTCAATAATGCTAAAGACTTACTAATAACGGGGTTTTGTATGAACTTTGCCCTTTTCTAATTGGTTGTCATTAATCTTAATTCGCCAATATTCAGTGTGTCTCAAGGTCATCCTTTCGTTACTTTATGCACTGAGGTGTGTTGTTCCGAGCTACTTTATTTGGATATCAAGCATTTCCCGTACTTCCATTTTTTTTTGTTAGCGGTCAATTAAAAGTGTTGTGTTCCAACTTCCATAATTGAGTCTACAATAGGAGCCATTTATATTAGCACAGCTCAATCACTCTTTAATAAATAATCATAGGCTCGTAGTAAAACCTCAAATGACGAGATACAACACTAACTCGGTGTGACTCCCATTCAGTATCATTTCTGTTTTCTGACTGTGATGATTGTTTGTGGTTAAGGTTATCAGTTATACTTTCAGTGTTCAAGTAATGTGTTGTACCTAACATTTCCAGTCACCTTTCGGTTCATTTAGTAAGTCATGAACAATAAGGTGTAATTTCCATTAGAGACTTAATTTCAAGCACTAACTTTCAATATGTTTGTGAATTTTATCCTGTATCTTCGGCTGCGATATGCTGATATATTCATAGCACATAGTTGCGGATAATTCCAGACTTGTGTGATGAAATTTTTGGTGAGAATTACGCTTCAACGTGCAACACTCGCCCAAGAGTGAAGAGAAAAAGGGTTGAAGGTGCCAGGTATAATATGACTTGAACATTAAAAACGTGACGGATAACCTCAGCTTTGTTCGCTATAACATTAGTTTTGATTTAGTGTCATTTTTAAAGACTTCAAGTATCAGTCCTACGCAAGGTATGCCACCCAAATATGAGGAAAAATTATTTTTCAGTTAATAAACCCATGTGTAAAGTATTTCACAGTTTCGATACGCCTTAATTAGCACTTAAGACTAAACAAAATGACATTGGTTAGTATAATCTTACAAATTAACCTTAGTTCTAGTTGAATGGGTTTTGTGGAGATGAGTTTGATTTGTAAATCATATGCCCTACACATTGATCTCGTATAGAGAGTAGCACTGAGAACCGGGAGCACTGGAAAGCTTCTTTGTCCTATTGTGAGACTCCTCAACAGTCCTTGCTGTCGACCACACCAGAGATCAAAATGAGGATAGTTTTAAAAAAACCACGATATAGAAGTAGACAAAGGATAAATGCGTCTGCGCCACTGAGAGTCACATCCCCCATAGCCTAAAACTATTTGTCATAGTAATCGTGCGGACTACGACCACGTAGCTTGGAAGTAAAAATATGGCCAAGATCATCAGTTAAAGATTTTATAACCGAATATAACAATTTGGTTTGACCTTAACTTCCTCCCAACCTACTTTACCGCAGACAATATCTAGGATCGAGATAATCAGTTGTTGACCATACCTAATGCACATCTTAGCCACCTTAGTCAATAAACATTAATAGTTTTATCAACTGACTCCTTACATTTTTCTAATGCTCAACGTCTAACCTTAAAATTATTTACTCGGTTCTTATACCAAACGCGAGTAATCCTTTGAAAATACCTATGGTCAAACACTAGTGAACTGTAAATTTCAAATACTTCTAATGGTCACTTTCGCACCTATACGGTAAAACAAGGTGGACTGATGTGCAGTATCCTCACTACTCTACTTGGTTGGTAGATGAAAAATTCCGTCTACTATACACGTGACGCATATTGGTAAGAAGCTGAGTACGTATTTTGAATCTATAACGAGATCTTACCAAGTATCGATCAGTTATAAGTAATGTAGGACAGATAATAAGTATGCAACGCTCCAGGTTGTCATATTTTATACGCACACAAAATAATAGGAAACTTACAAGATAAATAACAATGAAGTTGAAATAATCACTATTATTTGAAGTAGTGAATTAAGCTGTGGAAGTGTAGTTCGAAAGAAATGAAGAATATAGAATAAAAATAAAATTTAGATTCAAATTTAACGATGAATGCATTCAAATGATTATTAGAGACATAAAGAAAATGTCACTAAAGGTATTCAATTGTAAAATACAGTTATCTTTCAGTTTAGTCCAACAGTCAATAACTTCATGGACGGATACCATTTTAATCTCATCACCTTTAGACATTTTTAAACCTACCCTTCTATATTATCTAGCATAGTATGTCAGAGTAAGTGATGTTTAGACAAGATTACCATGTCTTAACTCAATCATAAAAGTGGATAGTATCACTAATTAAGCTATCATCTTTATTAATTACCTGAATAAAAACACAAAATATTCATGATTGTACGTATGTATAACAAATAGTAAACAAAATGACAGAACTCACATGGGATTTTTCAATATCTTTACGCAGAACATCCAAAGCAGCTAAAACGCGTGGATTTGATGATTTATAGCTTCCAGTTGTACCTGCTGCTGTACCAGATTGTTGTGTACCGGATTCAAATAATAAATTCGAATCAGTAGTTGACAATGTACCAGTACTACCAACAGATGTAATGTTACAATGTCTTGCTAATGTATTGACAAGTCTTTCACGTTCACTTAAACTAGGTGCAGCTGAGACAGATTCATTGATACTACTAACATCCGTAGTAGTTGTAGTGACAGTAGTAGTAGTAGTTCCAGAAGATAAAGGATGAATGGAGGATACATTGGTACCACTACTACTAGACATACCACCAGTTCCTAAATTAGTATTCGTTGGTCCAGGTACAAGTAAGGCAACTTGAGCAAGAGCTAATAATTGTACATCATTAATTAATGGTAAACTAGATCTGAGTAGACCAGCTAAATTCGCACGTGTAACAATTGATCCTGTTATGGTAGAGTAAGATTCTGGATTAGTATTTTGACAAGTAGAATTTAGAACATTAGTAAAACCAATAATATTATTTCCTAATTCATTGTTAGAAATTATATTTGACATCATTGAATTTGTACGAACTAGAGATGATATATTAGATGAATTATTATCAGAATCTGATTGACCAGTATTATCATTTAAAGAAGATTCAACAGAACCTTCAGTAATGTGTGTATTTCGATCAATATCCACAAAAGCAGGTGCAGATTGAGGTAAACGTGAAATTCCTAAAACTAAAGCCTAGAAAGAAAATAAAACACAATTCACACTAGCTCATGATTACAATTAAAATAAATAACATTTAACGGTAAGACTATAATTTATGGACGACCTTCGAGCAACGCCGAAATGACTTTGGAATGTCCACCCATTTACTACGGTTAAATGAGGGCTATACATGAGTGTGAGGAATTACAATTAAAATTTATAGTGGATTGTTAGGATTAGGAATTAAATTTAATGTTTACATCACAAACTGACATCAGTTATAATGCCAAAATGGTATTTAGCCAAATGGGTGGATGAATTTCGCACCAAAATCCAAGATCTGTTATCCTAAACCTTATTGGTTCATCCATAAATTATAGTCTCACCCATTTAACATTTCTAGACAATAATAGTAATAATAATTATTATTATTGGTGGCTTTATTCAATATTATATTTTTGATACAATGTAAAGTTCTCAAAGTATTTCAATAAGTTTCTTTTAAAAAAAGGAAAAAAGAGAACGAAACTGATAACTGCATACATATACACTAAAGTTAAGTGGATAAACCTGCCTGCAATCAAATGAAATGTCTGTTTTTAAAAAGATTTGAATCTGTACAACTTTTATAATTACAAACATGTTTAGGAATACAAGTTATTGACCAAGTCAGCTCTAACAAACCGTTCGCTAGAGTTATACCAGTTATGAATGAATTGGATGGTTAGTATCTGATAAAATAACACCTTCCAGGAGTTAACAAGACTTATATGTCTATCCACAACCATATTAATGATGACCCAAAAAAATTAACTAAGCATTCAGACTCTCTATGTGATAAATCAAACAGAAGACTTTCTTCGATAACAATAAAACATGAGATATTCAAGAGACAATAGAGGAAAAACTTACAACAAGATAAATGAAACAGTGTTAACCATAAATCTCCAATGATACAAGCTTCATGGGATTCCAACATGGTGGTTAGGTGCTATTTATGTCTCAGGCTAAAGTTATAAGGACTCTAAGACTCACATTTTGAAGGAAGACAGAGTGAACGAACCTGCGCTATTGCGGATGATTTTGAGTCATATTATTCAAAGCTTCTAATCATTGATTACGATAATCACATATGGGCTATATTCATTTCTCCGGTTGCCCAAACTGAAATAGGCGAAATTCAAACCTTCAAATTAAAAACCTATAATACTACAATCATTTAACCATTCTTTATTAGTGTCTATTTCATGTATAAATTCATTAGATTCTAAGAAGATAAGCAAAATAGGAAATACTCATTTATACAAAATTATGTACAAAAAAACATTATAAATCTAACTTTCTACAGTAAAACATGTATTATGATAAGAAAATAGCTTAAACAAAATAAAATGCGTTATCTTTACGATACAGACATTGATTTTATTCACTATAAATATACAAATAGAAAGAATTTATAGTTTAATGATTTCAATACATAATTATTATCTAATACATCGTTGATCTGAATTGACCTGCTATACATTTATTCTAATTTGAATAGCCGAATAGAATTAGTACCCCTGTAGTGAACTAAAACACGAGTGAGGACAATCGAATGTAGTTGACACAAAATTACAGAGGATTTCAATAAAATCTGAGAATCATATAGTAAATAATTAATTTGCAAAATATCAATCCATCATCTCAAACTTCGCTGTTCCTTTTGCAAATATCAGTCAATCGTCTCAGATTTCATTGTTTATGCATTTCCATACCAATTGCGTTCCGTTCCGATTATTTCCTTATCGATCTTCTGCTGAAATACACTCTATGCCCGACCACCGTTATACACTACTTGTGTGGATATAAGTGATCTACACCACACCCCCATTAAAACAAAACTGTCTCAAATTCAAACTATATGAATTGACAAATGGTTACAGTTACACATTACATTGTTTCCCAAGCTAAGATTTTATACATACATATATATATATATATTAGCAAACAAACTGTAATGTAGTTAAGTAATACAAATTTTATGAGTCTTTATGATTATTCTAAAACTTACTTGTAAAACTTCTGGGCGCCAACGAAAATAACAGATAGGCCAAATTTATTATTATAACTTAATGAATCAGAACATAACACTTTTGTTGGTGTAATTGGTTGAGATTGTGTTGTAGATTTATTATGGTTAGAACGATTTACACGTGATTGTGCAAGTGTTACAGCTAATTTTAATAAAGCACGTAATGTAGCTAATTCATTACGTTCTAAACAAAATAAACAATGATATTGTAAAATTAAATAACCAATTGGATGTGCTAAATAACCTGATGGTACAGTTATATTGACACATTGAGTAGCATCTATGGAAAAAATCGAAAGCAATAATAATAATAATAATAATAATAATAATAATCATAAAAGATTCATTAAACAGTAAATTATAAAAATATTTACGATTATAACTACTGAAGAAATGAAATGAATGGTGAAAGTCATTTAATGGATGAGAACGTTAAGTAATATACAATACAGTTTATTATATTTAAGTAAATTTACAGTGAATGATATTGTACAACCATAATTTTAGTCTATTTCAATCTGATTAGCATAAGAAAATAGGATTACCTAGATTACTGAAGGGTCTAAGTTTGAACAAATAATTGGGTGCAGGTGTGCACCTTTGATGGGAAAAAACAACAATTGTTCAATGATCTTTCAATTTCATTCATCAACCTTAGCTGACATTAATTCATGATGGGAATCATCCTCATTGAATCATGTAATTGCTTGTATACAATATAAATCTTGGCTTATCTCATATGATATTTTACCTCATGATTGATTTACTAGCTTCATTGAAATCACGAACCGATCTAAGTTAGACTATCATTAAAAGCCGGAAATCACTGAATAGTTTTTTCGTCCTGGTAAGGAACTCGTCAATTGTGGTCGAACTTAGATCGGTTTATGATTTTAATGAAATTCAACAATCGTCACTAGTAGCTAGCTTCAAGAGGAAACCTACGGAGTCCTGATGAAAAGCAGTGACTAATGGGGTTCAAACATGTCGGCTGTGAGGCAGTTACCCACCGAAGAAAAAAGAACACGGTTGCGTAATGTAGTGGATTGACTGAAATTAGAGATTAACACCCCTGGATGTCATCTAAGTGGTCTACAGGTTAGGTGCTCGCGCGCCAGAGCGAAGGTCCTGGGTTCTATTCTCTGTGGCGGGGGATCGTGGATGCGCACTGCAGAGGGATACTAAAGACGAAACAGTCGTTCAATGCTTCCTGGTTTTCAGTGATGATCTAACTTAGTTCGACTCATGATTCCAACGAAAATCAACAATCTCTACAACCCCATACTGAGATTTACTGACTATCAGAATGTTTAAAATGTCAGATAAATTACCACTGAACAAATTAATGTATATGTATACACAACAAAAATGAGATCGAGATGAGAAAATCATCAATGAATTAAAAATCACTTAGCTTAAATCAACTTGTACTTTCTTAATTGCCGTATATTTATCATTACAAATGAGACATTGTCAGTAACATAGAACCTGGCACATATGTGTATCGGTTCGAGTTGATACAACACATTAGAACAGAGAAATATCAGAGTACCATAATTAGTAACAGTATTAGTGGTAGTAGAAAAGATTAAGCATAAAAGATATGAATGGAAAAGGAAATAGAGAACATTGAAATAAAAAGGATCGTGAAACACTCAAGAAACTTAGATTCTGAAGTAAAACAATGAATGAATGCACCTGCCCCATTGTAAATGATTCTGATCCTTGTTACTCAAAATCTCTAATCACTTTGGTCACAACAACCGCGCAAATCTCGAATGGAAAATCATCACACATCTTATTTGACACCTGAAAAAACATTTCGTATCATTTAAAGACCAATAAAAGAACAGTTCAGCGAATTCATTGTAAGCTAGATGAGAAATGAAAATCGCATCGAACATAAGAGGGATGAATCTTCTTTTTTGTTTAAAAAGAGTTCACTTTAAATGATGGGGGGTCCAACTATTCTGAGCTAATAATTAATTTTGTCTTGTTTTAGACAAGTTTTTCGTTTTTAATATTTTAGTCTTATTGTGTTGCTCATTTCGGTTATTATTTCTCACTACAGTAATATGATTATTAGACTGACTGATCAAATAGAGTATTGTGATTAATGTAGGCCAATTTCAGACAATCGGTTACAATAATCAATCAGTCCCAGGTCAAACGAAACGTGTATCCTCAATTCCACTGCTAGCAACACACTATCTATTTTGTGTAAACTAATCCATATTACCACTGACTGATATTTAACACCAAAAAATAATTCATTTTTGTATTGGTTGTTGAATCATCCCATTGATGTTTAGGACTGCAACTGACTAGTCTCTTATTGGCATATGTCCATCCTGTGCGGATTGCCTCGATATTGCCTTCAGCACAAGCATTGTAAGCTGAGATGACGTTGGCTATCAGTGGAGTCCAGGACGCGCGTTTGTACAAGCTAGTGGCTATCCGAACTCAGTAGCTAAGTGGATAATGTGATGGAGTTAGAAGCGAACGGTACTGGGTCCGAGTCGCGGAATGAGCATCAACTCCGGGACTCAGATAGATCAAGCTGACGAGTCCCAAATAGGACGAAAAGCGCATCCTGGATTCCACTGCTAGCTATCATCTCACCTTCAAAAAATAATTTCAGTGTGATATGGCACGTATCCTTCCTTGACGAATGACAATGAGAATTATACATGATATTATTTAACACCTAATTATTGGTACTCGAAATATATATAGAGGAAAACTTGTTTAGCAAGTATATGTATGTATGCGCATTTATATACTTTGTTTTATGTCATATCTTTCGAGTGAATTCATAATGCTGAATTCAAGCTGGAGTTTTTAACTTGCCGTCATGCAAAAGTTGAAATTCCACATAGAAATTATTGGTTTATTATTGTTCTTCATACTATAATATTTATTAAATACTGGATACAGATTCGTGTACACTTGAATTTCAAACACAATTTAAATATGAAAATTAGAGATGTGGTGTATGCTACTTATGCTTGCAGATACAAGTAGTATTTAACATTAATCGGAAGCGGAATGTCTGCGAGCAGAAGGTTGAGAAGATAGAATTGAAGAGGAGAGAAGGTAGCTGAAAGCAATCAAGATAACAGCAGTAATGAAGGAACAGTGAAGCTTGTAAGAGACAATTCAAAGATGTGCAAATAATGTATTTGATGTATGACTTTCACGTTTTACTAAACCACTGTGTAATTGTGCATTATACAATAAGTTGATCTCCACTTGACTTCTTCGTTCACTACAGTGAAACTATTGAAGTGCATAAACCAAAATAGATGGAATGCCTGCTTCTAACCTGTAACTTAGTGATTGAATGTTAAATATCTTAAGCATAGCGAGTTCGTTCGACTAAAATATTTCAGACTTGTTCATAAATTTAAAAGTAAAAAAATAATGAAAGAAAGGAACATAATGCACTAATTTATAAGTTTTATTTACCTTTAATACGTTTTTGCCAAACCAATGGTGGTGATGTTGTTGGCAATGATGATGGTGATGATGATGACGATGATGGATTAAATGATTCCCTTGATTCATGAGATGTTGGTCGTTGATTTGTATTATTATTAGATAATGTTAACCCACCACCACCGCCACCACTACTACTATTACTACTGCCAGTAGTATTTTCCAAACTAGTAGTAGGCCATAAATTATTGCTTAATGTTAAAATCTCTTCAGCCACTTGTGCTCTCCATGTTAATACTTGTAATTGTGCAACAGCTGGTAAAATATAACTAATTAGTGCTTTCGATGGACAATTCAATGTAGGATCATCAATATCGGTAGTATTATTACGTTTACTCATAGAACTTTCTTTAGTTTTTAATTGTAAACAAGAATACGGGATTAAATCGTCGCCTAAGCCAAGTACTAATAAATGAACAAGTAAGTGTACTTCAGGTATATCCTGTAGATTTTTTGAAATAAAAAATAAGATGAAATAGAAAGGAAAATTGGTTTTACTTTAAATATGAATAATTGTAATACATTCAAGGTTTGATATGTTGGGGAAACCCAGAAAATTCCTCGAAAAAAACCAAAAGAGGTTCTGAAAACGCAGAGAAACATCTTATCTAATCAGTATTCAACAAAGGTTTTACCAGAAACATCTAGAAAGCGAAGTCACATGTCACGTTTCTGATTAGATGATTACCTATATCGTTACTATCTTTAGTAGCGTTACAGAATTTTCCAGAAGCCCAAGGTTATTAGAAACGTTATAAATACCCCAGATTTTCTTTATATAAATGAACCTTGGAGCAAAGTGTTCTTTTCATATTTCGCACCTTTTTTGTGTTCAAGTTGCCGTGGAGATTAGCCTAGGGGTTACTAGAAGAGCATAGAAAACCGAATCTAGTGTTCAATTAGAAGATTTATCAGATAAACAGGAAAAACTTGAAATTTATGCATAGAATATCCTGTTTACATCATTTAGCATTACAGAAGTATATCTATAGGAGTATAAATAAAATGAATCATTCACAGATAAGTGAATGAAATAAATCTATATAATACGAAAATGTTCAACTTTTAAAGATCTATTTTATAATTTCTTAAATCACTAATACTTAATGTCTTGCAGATATCACTACCTATTACAACGGATCCTACATCCGACTACAGAGTGAAAATCAATAATCCATAATTTTACAGATCAATCGAATAGGCATATTTGAAACAAAGCATTCCTATAACTTTTATGTAACACTACCAACTATAATCTGAGCTATCCCTCTGTTTCCTTTCAATATTGTTATCATTTCTGTGTATTGAATTATTTATTTATTTATTCACGAAGTACTTTTAAAAGACTGAAAGCAGTCTGTTTTTGACATTATTTAGTCATGAATAGATGAAAATAGTTGAAAAATTTGGGTATAGTTGGATGAGTACTAAGGGGTGCAATGATACGGTGAGATCAGTTTTTGTGTAGTGAAACTCATCGGGATTAATCGAAGTTGTTTCTGGCACCATAGTGACGACGATCTTATTATAAAGGTCTAGTAGACAATGCTTCATTAGTGTTAGTTCTATACTGCATATTCATGAAATCTAAGCTATACGAACTAGTGACTTCAATGTTTCGTAAAATTAGGTGTAACAAATTTGAAGTTCAATTATGCCAAATCAATCATATTGATAACTTTTAGTCAACTAAGAAAATTGCCTTAGTTAGAACAATGGCTTCAATCGTTTAAACACATCTCATACATGATGGAACAATTTGTGTATTTCGTATTATTTACTGTTACTGCTTTGAAGACGTTATCAATTTTTTGTAACATAAGAGAAAAGATATTGACGTTAGATTATCAAGAACTCGTTTAACCTGTAGCAGCCTCTATTTTATGATACACCTACGCGACTTACCCTAACTTTCAAACAAATGCATTATACTGATCTTTCCACTTATTATGTCATTTATACATGGGATCTTGCCATGTATGCACGATAGTATGTCTGTGTCCATATGCTGGCTAGTTAGTGTCATGCTTATAAATGTTGACTCATGTTTTAATCACATTGAGAAAGGACATCTGCCTTATTTACTTTTTTCGCTTCATCTGTCTGTCGAATTGAATGTATGAAATACAAACATCCAAAACTCTTGTATTCGACATTTTATTATCCGCGTTGTTATGAAGGGGATTTGCCGACAGAACATATGAGATGTAAGTAGAATCCTTATTTCGTCTAAATGCACTATTGGAAGTTCGATCAATTTGGAGTAAGAACATAGGCACTCCTATAGCAGCGAGCTCCGGTTTGTCAGAGCTAAAAACCTATTGTGCAACCAATAATTTATGCTCCATTTATTGGTACAAAATAAGATACTGATGAGAGGCCTATCAGCCAATCGGAAAACACTACCTGGTTATAAAACATCTAACAGTAAAAAGCAATAATATAACAGTGCAATAATACCTATAATTTGAATAGTCAACACCCATATGTCGAATTATTCTTTTTATTAGAAGGAAAAGGTTAAGTTTACATATTGAGAGTCGAGTCAATGTTATGAGTTAGAGGTTACCACCCCACAAAGCTTTTGCTACCAAATGACATCAGCGATAATGCAAAAAGGATAGGGCCAAATAGTAAAAGATGAGCTCAATTTTTGAGTTTGATTTAGAAATTAAAACTAAGGGTTTTGAATCAAACGGACATCAATGATCGTCCAATACTTTGTCACCCTTCTATTTACAGGCTTAAGAAACTTAGGGTTGAGATTTAAAGTAAGTTTGCAGATGTTTTATTTACATGTAGAAGCAATGAGACGACGATGAAGAGATCTATTCATAGAAAAGACAGAATCACATATTGAAATCAATGTGGATTAAGAAAAGAAATTATATCTAATACTTCTGGATTTTTAATTGCTTCCTCATTTAAAACAGTTTGCAAAATAAACCAAGTTTAAGCGATATATAAATCTCTCAACAAAGCATCTTGGCAAACTGAAAAAAGTCTATTTATTCTGCAATGGGTAATAGTTTAATGGCCTGTTATTTTGACGTCAATTAGATATGACGATGATGTTAAAGATGGGTTCATCACTTTAGTAGCCCTATATCTGATTCCAATTAGATCAGACAAATGATTGTCGTATCTAATTGACGTCAAAATGATAGGCTACTGACATGTCCAGAATAGAAGGAAACGTGTCTGGGAGCTCAACGATAACCACATTCTATCTATTCCTTAAGAAAAAATGTAGGCCTATATATATATCAACAAACTAACTTACCCGAGGTAATTTGTCTTCATAAAGTCCATTAAGCACGTAACGAATTAATGATGTACAAATGGTGTAAACAACCCATGGATCTCGACAAGCCATATGCATATCTCTGTATACAAACATGAAAAATTAAACAAATTAATTCATTTAAATATAAGTCTATCTTAATAAATCCAATACTCTTTGTTATAATGGAGAAACAAATATTTATGACCTTAAATCACATTTCATATAATCCAACTGAATTTACCAACACACAACACAGAATAGTCGGTAAGTGAAAAGAATTCAGTATTGTACAGTTTGTTTACCAATCCTACATGAAGCACCTGAATCCGCAAGATGTTTTTAACATACGTCATAAAGTGTTCTCGCGGGCCAACTTTCCAGGTAAGAAATGTGCCTATTAATATTTTGAATGACAGGTGATTATACTCAACTGAAAATAATATACAGTGCTTTTTTCTTCTCAACTGCCGATCAGATCAATTTGACATATCGTTTCCTTAATTTTATTGGTTTTGACAGGACCTACAAAACCAATAACGAAAATTTGTTTTCGTATCAACCGGGACTTTTAGTCGATACATATGGAATCAGTTGTTGTCTAAGAAACACAAATGGTCTAATGCATTCCGAATGGCTGTAAAACTTCCTGAACAAAATAATATTAACTTCGTTGAGGGAAGACATAAAATTTTGAAGTCCCACAAACTTACAAGAAAAACACCCGTGCTTAGATCCACCTTCAATGTGATGCTTATGGATGGAAGCATGAGTACAAAAATACATATCAAGATGTTACAAGACAATTATTGATCGGGAGCCCTAAATACGTCGTCTTCAAGATAAACTGACACTTTTTGTATGTCAGTTATTGAAACGTCACTTTTCACAGATGTTATAACACCAGTCGACATGTTCATGACTGTTGACGCTACAGGCATTTACAGGATCCTACGGAAATCCCGTCAATCGTTCCTGGAGCTTTTATACGGAAAACGGATTGCCGTACCGTCATGCCAGAGATCCAACAGACAAGTGATACCGACTATCGAACGAACGTGGATTTGGATGAAACGCTAATTCATGAAGATGTTGTTTCAATAAACACTCAAATCAATTCTCATCAAGCCGTAGTCAATATGCTACATGTACATAATTTGAGAATAACAATCATACTGTGATGATAGTAATATTTTTTTATGTTTCATCAAACCTCAATATCATCTAATAAACATTGAAAAATTAAGATAATGATTTCGTCTAGCTGTACACTTACAAGCAATTTGCTATTGACATTACTTAGAAAATAAGCTAAACCGTATACTTTCCAAACACAATAACTGATTCACACTATATTACCTACACAGATAAGTTTTCTTATCATAATTATATACTGGTCAAGTATATAAATTAGACAATGTATAATTGAAAACAATTTTTGTTAATGAATTCGCGAAATTACGCAACCTTTAATTTACTATAGACTACTATACTTAAGAATACAATATTGTGTTTATTGTCAATACCTTTGCATAGCGAAATAAAACACTTCAGGTTCAGTAATCAGTATTATAATTACAAATAATTATCAGTTTTTCTTCAGTTTACTTTTAATGGCATGCATAGTCATTCTCTTGTTATGATAACTGACGACTTCAGTTCCATTTCTATGTGATTGAAAAGAAATTTAATCCCACTTTTTATCTCTCAATATCTTTTCAAAACTAGGAGTATAGTATGGAGGTCGAACAGAATTGATGCCGTTCTTTCGGGAGTGAAAAAACATTCAAATGTAAAAATGCAAATTTTGACATCCAATCAAAACACTTTATGCTACCATGATTTTAACTAATCAGATTAGAAAGAAGAACAATTTCTAACCGAATAAAAAATTATTACAGACAATAAAATGTTTGTTTCTTAACACATAAGTACATACACTCGGAAACAAGTTAACCAATCACTTATTTTGTTAATTACACCACGAAAAATTTCATCACTAGGGTTCATGTATCACAATAATATCGGCTAGGGAATCACATACTTAATAGACTGTAGGCTAAGTGCATGTTTGAGCACGCTCAGTGACAAACCATATTTCAGTTTGTCAGTATGGGGATTTGTGGAGATTATAATATTTTCACAGTTGCATTCATGAGTCGATTTGAGCTAAACCATCACTGAAAACCTGGAAGCATCGGACGGTCGTCCCTACCTAGTATGGGACTCATCAACAGTGGGCATCCATGACTCTACATACAACACTTGAACCCAGGACTTTCGGTCTCGCACGTGAATGCCTAATCTCAAGACCACTGAGCCGACATCCAACAGTGTTAATGTCTAGCTTCAATCGATCGATAATCTTGCGCAAATATTTATCCAATTGTCTGAGGTAGATACCTGTCTCTATCCAACATGGATTGGATTCGATTGGTCACGGCTTCTCATTAGAGCTCCGGGAAATCCACCTTGAAGCCAGTTACTAGTGAGCACATGATGATTATTATCAGAATGAGGGTTTGTGGAGATTGTAGTAATTTTAATAGTTGGATTCACGAGTGGTGGTCTAGTCTAGATCGACTAATGAATTCAAGTATTAAAGTATTTCACTTTTTGATGGAGTTTAATTCTCTGAACTGGATGGTTTTGTCGTGGAGCTTTCATCGTTCTTCCGAACATCATCAGTGCAAACTTCACCTGAGCTACAAATCTCCACTATTTCAAAATATTTTACTTTCACTACTGAACATCACCATGATATCATATTAATCATCCTTCGAATTATATTCGCTATATTTTGTAGATTATGATTAAACCTAAATTACTAACATTTCAACCTTTTTAGTTTATTATTTAATTCATTTCTTATTACACTATGCTGATGTAAAGTATGTCTGGAATATATGATTCATATAACGGAGGCTGATAATTGTGTTCTGAACTGAAGCAGTTGGGTTAGGAGAGAAGCTACTACCTCAAAAGAACCAATAAGAACTCTAGGCTGCTCGTACAGGTTTATGTGCCACTGGTCTGATCGTATAAGTCGGTGTCTCTAATCGGCGATATTATCTCGCGATATATTAACAGGCCACTAGCCATAACGGTTAATAAATGTACAAAAATATTTCAGTAAACAAAAATTTCGATGTACTTTTTAACAAATAATTCAATCACAATGTAGAACCTGGGATATACATGCATAAGCATAAATTATCACACCCCATAATAGAACAGCCAGCTGAAATTATTCCCTCAGTAGTGGAAGTGGTGACAATGTAGATAGTAGTGGAAAGAATTACGCATTAACAATATGATTCGAAAAGAATGAGCAAATATAGACCACTGGATCTCAGCAGCATCTACCGCACTGATAGATGCTCGAAAACTCATTCCATCTGGCTTTGAACATAAAGAAGAGCGGAGTCAGCTTAAGCGCAAGCTGACAAGAAGCCTACGGAATGATGGGTAGCGAAAGCAAGAGAGATGGAAAAGGCAGCGGCAATAAGTAACAGCAGAAAACTGTTCAAACTTGTTAAGGAAACCGGTATTAGGAACCCGACTGTTAGCGAAACTATCTCAGAAAAAGATGGACATACTATACATTCTCAATCCAGGAGATTGGATCGATGGGCAGAACACTTCAGCCACACTTCAGTTTCCCACGATCATCAGTCAATCTGAATGGCAAGTTAATCTAGGTTCTCCATCTCTTTACGAAGTTGAAAAAGCCATAGGAAATCTAAAGCGAGGGAGAGCAGCAGGCCCTGACAGGTTTACTCCTGAGATTTTTAAGGATGGTGGTCCAGTATTAGCAGTGAGATTAACTGAGGTCTTAGGTAGAATTTGGGAACTGGACGTAATCCCATCTGACTGGTCTCAATCACTGATTGTGCCAGTCTATAAGAAAGGACAAAAGTCCTCTTGTGACAATCACAGAGGAATCAGTTTGACTAATATAGTGTCTAAAATATTAGCTTCAATAATACTTCGACGCCTAACAAAGCTCGTGAAGAGCAGACTAGAGAAAATCAGGCTGGTTTTCGACCTGGACGTGGTTGTATAGATCAGATATTCACACTACGTCAGGTTCTAGAACACAGACACACATTCAGACGCCCCACAATGGTAGTATTTCTCGACCTTAAGGCGGCATTCGACTCTGTTGATCGTGAGGTTCTATGGCAGTGTTTGTCACTGAAAGGAGTACCAAAGAAGTACATTAACCTTATAAAGGCTCTCTACTCGAACACAACTGGTAGAGTGAGAGCTTATGGCGAACTGTCATCAGAATTGATTACCTCAAGTGGTGTTCGTCAGGGCTGTCCACTCTCTCCATTCTTGTTCAACTTTGTCATTGACGTACTTTTAGAGATAACACTTTCCTCATCTAAATTTCCAGGGGTTGAACTTCTACCAGGGGAATCACTTGTTGACTTAGAATATGCTGATGACATAGTTTTATTTGGTGAAGACGCTGACAAAATGCAGAGTCTTCTGACCACTCTAAGCAACAATGCAAGCATGTTCGGGATGCGATTCTCCCGCTCGAAATGCAAAATGTTGCTTCAGGATTGGGTTCCATCGACACCCGAACTAATGATAGGGAGTGAAGTAGTTGAGCGTGTCGATCGCTTCACTTATCTTGGAAGTCTCATCAGCCCTTGTGGTCTGGTGTGCGACGAAATCTCAGCACGGATACAGAAGGCTCGACTAGCTTTTGCCAACTTGCGTCATTTATGGCGTAGGCGAGATATCCGTCTATCAACCAAAGGACGAGTTTACTGCGCAGCAGTTCGTTCCGTCCTACTTTATGGCAGTGAAACATGGCCGGTAAGAGTAGAGGATATTCGTAGGTTACTAGTATTTGATCATAGGTGTCTTCGAAACATTGCTCGTATATCATGGGACCATCGAGTAAGTAACGCAGTTGTTAGGAAACGGGTACTAGGTAAGGATGGCAAATCAATTGAAGTAGTGAAACTTCATCAGTTGAGATGGCTGGGACACGTGTTACGTATGCCCAACGACCGACTGCCTCGACGTGCGATGTTCAGTGGTATAGGAGTAGGTTGGAAGAAAGCTAGGGGCGGCCAGACCAAAACATGGCACAAGTCCATGAAGTCACTGACAAGTGAACTGAGTCATGTTGGTAGGTGTAGACTACCTGGTTGGGGACCGCGAGATGATAGCAACCGATGGTTAGAGACCCTGAATGACATGGCTCAAAATCGTTTGCAATGGCGCAGGTGCATCCACTCTTTGTGTTCTCCCAAATTCTAATCTTCTGAATTCTTCATGTCCCTTTTTTTTCTCTTTCCAAATTTATTTCACTGGATTATACTCTTTAAATAACATCTCCAAACCCTAATCTTCCCGATTACTGCTTATACTCTTACCACCTCTACCACTACGGGATTTGAATCGACAACTGCATCTCTGTGCTAATGTGGTGTGGCAACTCGAACTGATGTACGTACTTACGAAGTTCTACGTTGTTACTGACTGACTGATATAAACCAAAACGTATACGTAGGGATTGTAAAAGCAGAGCTGATGGGATTTCTTCATATAATTTCTTTTTTTTTTGTTCATTGACGATGTCACTGGGTTTTTTCAATAGCTATGCTGGCAGTAGCTTCTTCACAAATGTCATTCGATTACTGATGACTATTAAAAAATAAGTCATAGAATTCAGCTTGGAAAAAAACAATTATATCAAAAACATTCTCTAGATAACCGTTAACATCTCTTTAAATTAAATTCCACCTACTTTTCTAAAAAGTTTACATCAGCTGTCTTTTCTACATCCTCTAAATCGCACTGTTTTTCTGTACTTGAAGGAGATTGTTTTCGATTGGTTTTACCACTTTTAGAATTTTTACCGCGAGAAGAACTAGAATGTCCACGTTTAGACATTTCTCCACTGATATTCTCATTAGATTCTCCATATGATTCATGACATTCATCAGCTGTTTCTTTAGCCCAACGACGACGTTGTAATTGTAAATGATAGGCTAATTCACTAGCATGCCTTTGATCGATTCGACGATTGCGAACACATGCATCTAAGCACCAAACAAAACGATGAATTCTATCAGGAACACACAGTCGATCAATTTTTGCTTCGTTTAAACTCATCAATAAATCAAAACGTAGTGTGCATAAAGTGGCTGAAGCAACTGAAGGTTGATTAGGCATAAAAGCTAATGGGATATATGGAATAGGTTGATTAGCTAAACGTTGTGTTATATCTGAAGATTTTTCTTTACTTGATAAACGTTGTCTACTTCGTTTAGCTGGTGGTGGCTGTTCATCTATTTCCTCAGATGAATTATTATTTCCAATTGTCGATTTGATTTGCTGTTCCATAAGTGAATAAGCCGCTTTTTCACATTTTATACATTGATCACGAAGTATGCTTATAGTCTATAGTGAAGAAGAATTAATAAATAAACAATAAACGTCATCACTACTATTGTGGTATATGCTATTTATATCGACGGGCATGAGTAGCATGTCACAACAATCAGAATTGGAATGTCTGGCAGCAAAGGGTTGAAAAGATCGAATTGAAGAGAACAGAAATGTAAACAGAGAGTAATTGGAATAACAACAGGAACGAAGGAATGATGAATTTTGTAAGAGACAATAGATAGATGTGCAAATGAAGTATTTGATGTATGGTTTTCATATGTTATGAGGACATTTTGTAACTTGTACTAAACAACAAATCGGATATCCCTACCAAGTCTTCGTTCACAACACTATCACTACAATACTAAAAATAACTAAACATAACACTGATGAAACAATACACTGTTAATACATTATTATTATTATTATTGTTATTATTATTATTATTAACTCAGTCAGTAAGCCAGGCAAACACAACACAGAACCATGTACATGCGTACATCGGTTCAATTTGCCACAGCCCATTATTTGCATAGTGAGATAAATTTATCAAGGTAAATTGCAGAATAATCAATGTAATAGCAATAGTAATGGTAATAGAAAAGAAATTTCTTATTACCAGGTAAAGATTCATACATTTGACTTTGAGGAGTAATAACACAATCCCATTGTTCAAATCAAAATCGGGGAAGCCTGGTTTAAACCTACAACTTAATGGCTAAACGTTGAACATATTAGCTACTGAACCAATGTTAGTAAAATTCTTTATTTAAATATAATTATAAAGTTAGAAACATATTTTGAATTTACTGTTCGATTTGTTTGAATACAATTATTCGAAAACTAATTATATTCTCACTGATAATTTTACTAACAAGTGTGTAAGAAAGTTAAACCTGGATGAAAAGTTCCGTTATTATAAATGAAACAACAACAAAAAACAGTCTTTTGATGAATAATAAATCGTCACTGTGTAAATAGTATTGCATTGTATATTTTATACCGATCAGAAAACTGGTAGCTAGATCCAAAAAAAACGGTAGTGTAGGAATTTATATATTCTTAGAAGAATTTAAGCGAATATTCATACTGCAAATGTAGGAAAATATATTATTTAATAGACTAATTTTTATCATATTCATGAACTAAGAGAAAATAATGTTTCAGTACAATTGATCGATAATGATGAGGCAAGAACTAAATCTAACGACTGATTATTCACTTCACAGAAGAGTGAATGACCCATAGCAGACATATCCTCTGATCGTTTATTCGTTGTGTTTTGTGCGTACATATGTTATTTTGTTGGAAAAGCCTATTTTACGGGAAAACTGTCTCGTCTCGCGAGCAATTCGATCGATTGACCCCTTCATATCATTGCATATTACAATCGATCAGTAATCCAACGATCAATTTAACAATACTTAAATCTTCGTTCATTAAGTAAAAAAAACCTTAATCCAAGTATCGATTGATCGGTTTAATCTAGAAATTTAAGCGAAAGACGCTAACTGAAACAACAGTGTATATCATCTTCACAAGAGGTAGAGTTTTCGTAACGAAGTATTTTAGTATATACGTCTTACGATATAATTGTTACTATAATTGGTAGTATTATTAATATTAGTTTATATTAGGTTCATTTAAGAATACTAGAACACCAGATAGGATATTCAGTTACTTTATCATACAAGACTTGTCCTTCTCCAATCATTTCAACAATCCGTACAATTGAAGGATCACGTCTACGACGACGAGGTGGCCAATAAAGAATTGGGACAAGATCAGCTGTTGTCGATGCAGTAGACGTGATAGACATTGAAAGGGCATCCAAAATAGCGGAAGACCATGTAGATTGAAATGTTGCTATAACTTTATCTAATTCCTCTTGAAATCTGATTTTTTTTGACAAACAAGAAAATATAATTTGCGTAAACAAACACTATTTAATATATTTAACTAAAAATTTAACGCATACGTTAGTTCACTTAGAGGTATCGCAAATATCACAGGAAGTAATATTTTCAACTATACTAGAACTCAGAACAACCTGCTTTATTATGAGACTTCCTATTTTCATTTTTGAAATACGTGTACATAAAAAAACTCGCCAAGATCACACAATTCGAAGATTCTAGTTTGAAGCAAACACATCTACAATTTTACGAAACCGTAAAACTGCTAATTTATTTTATTTTCAGACATTTCAGGAAGAGAACAGGTTTGCAGTAACAAAGATTTGAACAGAACAACATAAATTCATTTTAAGAGATGGATGGTAGCTGACAGTGGAATCCATGACATGTGTTTCGTCCTATTTGGGACTTGTCAGCTGGATGTACCTATATCCCAAAGTTGATGTTCACTCAGGACTCGGATCCAGTACCATTCGCTCTAAACACTATCGCGTTATCCACTTAGCTACTGAGTTCAGATAGCCACTAGATTGTGCAATGGGATGAAGTTTAATTCATTTTTGTATTGGTTGTTTGAATCTTCCAACTGACGTTTAGGTCTGTAAATGAATATAACTCCGGCGGCCTGCTTGAATATCTGGGCTACCTGTTCCTTCGATCTAGATATTTCTTCAAGTTATCTGTTTTGTTGTTTGTTTTAGCACATCAATATGTCTATTGTGCTCACAATCTATTCGGGCGCGTTTCTGAAAAGTTTACAACCTTTCGCTATACGGGATACAGAAAGGTACAATCAGCGACATCATGGTGACTGGCAATATGCAATGAAACGAATGAACATTAATCAAATGTGGATTACCGAATTCCTAACATCTAACTGGTCATCATTCGAAATTTATCGTCACAATCGATCAAGATATAAGAAAAAGAAACTTGTTGAAATACTTTATGCTGAGAATTCTATGTTGTACCAAAAGTATAATGTTGAATAAAGCTTCTTATAATAATAATAATAATAATAATAATAATAATAATATATTTTATTGGGATCTTGTCAACTGCTTAAATCCTGTAATATTTAAATATTAAAGTCAAAAAGTGAGTTGAAAATACCTACAGAAATAAAATTTTAAAATTCTTTAATTAACTGAGCTCCATCCATTTTATTCTTACTTATCATTAGCGTTTGCTCATTACGTAACCGCTTAATTCTAGCATCACAGTTTTTATTTTTATTGATAATAATGTTGTTGCGACATATTTGTAGTTTTATTTAGTCTCTTTAAATTTATAGATACCTTTGCTACACTATGCTGATGTTTGATTGTAACAACTCTCAAACAAATTCACCTAAATATTTTCGACACACTGTAATTTTAATGTTGAAATATTATGTAATGTAAACAGCTATATATTAACCTAGTGAAATAATATGAATTTAAATTATTTTGTTTTTGTTTCTTCTAAGGCTTCACAGCATTTGTTTCAGGAAACCGAGTACTAACCTACGATGTAAACTGAGAAAGATAATAAGGAAATCTCATCTATGTTCGATAAAACACACTTCAATTGGTCGTCATTGAAAACAAAGGTACATCATAACGTTCCAACCAATATATAGATTGGCTTTTATAAAATTTACTATATAAGCATTCATAGAAATAAATTCCAGATTACCATAGATGGAGTCGATTTGTATGAATTTATAAAATTAGAGTTTTGTTTAGAGTGACATTGATTGGAAAGGCAGACTGACATACTTAGGAAAAATCATTCCCCATCCATGAGAAGTGAGTCCACCTTATAAAATGTGACATTTGCGACTCGAGCCAGTAAAGATCAAGAAATCTCAACGAATAAAATTTATGTAACTTGGGGTTGATGGAGGAAGTACCCCTGTTTTTCACCAGAGCACAAGGGTATGTAGCGATAATCGTCAGTTTTTAGAGACTACATTCGAGACAAATAATGAGCTGGAACTTTCACAGGTTGAAATCATGAGTCAGTTGAAGCTAGACCACCATTGAAAACCTGGAAGCACTGGACGGCCGTTTCGTCCTGGTATGGGACTCCTTAGCAGTGCGCATCCACGATCCCGCACCACGCGGGGCTCGAACCCAGGACCTACTGGCTTCGCGTGCGAGCACTTAACCATTAGACCACTGAGCCGGCATCCAACGGTGTTAATGTCTAACTTCAACCAATCCACGAAGTTGCGCCACCATACACCATTGTCTTCAGTGAGTTGTTATCTCACAACAGACCGGTTGAACTCCACTGGTAACGGCTTCTCACTAGAACTCCAGGAGTTTTTCCTGAAGTCAGTCACTAGTGAGCAGTTGATTATTATCAGAATGGGTTTTGTGGAGAGTTTTAGAAATTTCACAGGTTGAAATTATGAGTCAGTTGAAGCTAGACCATGAGCTGGAACGTTAAATTATCCATTTTTCTGTGACCAAATCAGTCGTAAAACGAAACTCATACTATTTGTTAGATTAGAATCAGTTTCGCAACATGCATAAAGTCATCCAGCTAATTTAAACTATCACTGACTGATAGAAACATTGAAATTATTTATTTATTTATTTTATTTATTTTAACACATATATATTGGTACAAGGAGGCACCAAATAGATATGCACCACATAAATCATTCGATTTGTGTGAGGGCTGTGATACTGCCCGGGTGCCCAGACCGAAGCAGGTGGTTTTCTTAGGGGATCACACCTCGAGCCTTTGACCTAAAGGTCTGATCCACAAGGCAGTGGAGCATCGTAAGGAGATGCAGTCTCATGGTAGCCAGCGACAAACGATTGGTTCATATGCCATTTGTTCCCTCAGGATACTGGAGCCCATGTACACCATTGGTTTGGAATCAGAATTTCCCAACTCCCCTAGGTGGACTCTGTATGTCCACCAACTCGGTTGAAGCGCCGGACATTCGCGTTTCGTCCTCTCAATTTCGTAAACAACACCCCGCCACGAGAAGGCAATGAGTGGGACTTCCCTGGCAGAGGCTATATACGCGTGGCCATGTGAGAGCATATAGAGAGGGAGAGAGAACTCCCCATTCTCGGCCGTACCAGGGCCGATATAGAAATATTGAAATAATATCACATTGGTCCACCAAAACTATTAAATCCCATGGGTTGGTGAACTGTAAAGGTTTACATCATCATGTCAACTGTAGTCAATAATGGAATATGTAATGATGACATTTCTGTGAATACTAATAACTGCGAAACCACATCATGCAACATTGTATAATCAAGCACTCTGAACGATAGTAAATAAAAACCAGAATATACAATGTTATCAAAGGATTAAAACCATAAGATAGTAATTTATTGTTGTTTTTCATCACAGGATAGGTTAGTTTAATAGTTAATAAACCAATTTATAGTAAATGATTTGGTGACAAAACGGTAGGCATAATTTACATATACTTATTGGTTGTTAAATATGAGCCAGGGTAATACCTATATCACTACGATCAAACGTTCGAATTTTCCTGTCGAAGAGATTCATTCATCTATTCTAAGTAACTTATGGAAAAGTGGTTATATCGAGATAATGGACGTAAGATGAAACGCTAACAAATACCGACTAAAATTTATTCCTGAATATCAACAAAGGGATAATTCAAACGCATATTAATAGTAATGTAAACACCATAGTTGTTAAGTTGGTGACTATTTGACTCAGTAGGTCTATGAATAACATACTGATATTTGATACAAGAGGCACAAGACTGAAAATCAACACTGGAATGCAGATATATCTAGATAACGAGTTTTAAATAGAACAATACGCATGTCCTGGATTCTGCTACTAGTCACAGTGTCTACTGTGAATAACAAGATAATACTGCGTGGTCTTTACTGTCAAATGAATTATATTAGTCACTACTAGGCAGCGAATAAGTGTTTAAAACACTCAGCATTCATCCCGTAAATCATAAACTCTAAATCCACTCTACCTACCTCAGTTCGGACGATCATATAGCGCATACGATTTCGCATATGAACAGTCCGGATTAAAGCTGAGTACATAAATCTGAGACAGGCGAATGGCTTAGATTAAGTCAAATTATGCACAACAGTATCCATGACCAGATATATGATGTTATCTGGGAACAGGCCCTACTGTAAGGCATGTTTTATGTATGGTGTCACTTATTAGCATGAAGTGTCTGTAAAAGTGAAGGGAATTATAAGCCTTCATTTTTATCATTTCAGTCGACGATTTCATCTAACAATCTAGCCTATAACTGTCCTCATGAAGAATCAGATTGTGTATTAATTGATTACCAGATAGCTTGTATGTTTATAACAATAAAAATTTACCACATACTTGTGAGGATGAGCAACCCAAATATGACGTAAGACCGGTAAAGGAGCATCATCATATAAATATTTGTTGTCAACAATTAGGTTGACATGCCTTTCTTTAATCGAATTCATTTTACCAAGAACCTTTAAATCAAAAGGAAGATAAGCAGTGATCACATAAAACACAACTATCTTAACAAAAAAACTGTTAGTACCAATTATAACAGAAGCGTCGATCGATACGATATATCCGTATATATAACTCAAGGAACATTAATAATAAGACAGTATTAGTAAGTTCGGTGCTCAGAAACTTGACTGACAATGATACTACGAACACGAGAAAGATTATAAAATAGTATTTCACTATTCTATTATCCACATCCCTTGTAGGTGGATTACACACATTTAGCAATCGATTTTACCCGGATCTTTTAGTTCAATAGTCATTTAGATTGTATGTATAAGTGACACAATTACATTATTTACCCGCACCAGTTTAATAACTTGAAGTGAGTTGAAAATATTCAATAACAGCAATAAAACAGACGACCTGAACCTCATAATTTGTTTGTACTGCTATTTTTGATATAAAAAAGGTCTGCATCAACGACAAATCCCTAAAGGCAGTAGTTACAATGAATAGTGATTACAGACAGAAATATCAAGGATGAGTACCAATTTACATAACCATGTATCTAACAATGGTATATATCGGGTGATTAAGACGAGTATACTGCTGTTTGGTGAAGACGCTGACAAAATGCAGAGTCTTCTGGTAGCACTAAGCAACAATGCCAGAATGTTTGGAATGCGCTTCTCTCCCTCTAAATGCAAGTTGTTGCTTCAGGACTGGTCTGCGTTAACACCTGAACTAAGGATAGGGAGTGAAGTAGTCGAACGCGTTGACAACTTCACATATCTTGGAAGTCTGATCAGCCCTAATGGGCTGATATCGGACGAAATCTCAGCACGGATTCGAAAAGCTCGTTTGGCTTTTGCCAACTTACGTCACCTGTGGCGAAGGCGAGATATCCGTCTATCAATAAAAGGACGAGTATACTGCGCGGCAGTTCGTTCTGTTTTACTTTACGGCAGCGAAACATGGCCATTAAGAGTAGAAGACACTCGTAAGCTATTAGTATTTGACCACAGATGCCTTAGAAATATTGCTGGCGTCTGCTGGGATCACCGGGTAAGTAATAGTGAGGTTAGACGCAGGGTATTAGGGAATGATGGTAAATCAGTTGATGAGGTTATGAATCTTCATCGACTGAGATGGTTGGGCCACGTGTTACGTATGCCTGAACACCGATTACCACGACGTGCAATGCTATCCGGTATTGGAGATGGTTGGAAGAAAGTTAGGGGCGGCCAAACCAAAACGTGGCATCAGTGCTTGAAGTCACTAACTTGTAGTCTGAGCCATGTTGGTAGATGCAGATTACTTGGTTGGGGTCCGCGTGACTATCGTAACCAATGGTTGGAGATTCTTGGTGACATGGCTCAGAATCGATCACAACGGCGTCGGTGTATACATTTCCTGTCTTCCCTTAAACTAAGAGATTAAAATCGCTTCATATCTTTCTTTCTACGAACCAATTCTTTCTTCTTGTATTATATCTCTATGTGCAATCTTTCTCTTATATATCACCACCTTTGACATAACCACTGCTATGAATCCGGTGTTCATCTTGTTGTGCTGATGCGGTATGGCAACCTGGACCGATGCACATATGTGCCTGGTCCTACGTTGTAGCTGACTGACTGACTGATCGGGTGATTAAAATAATAATTACTTAAATGTTGAAGCTGTCTCACTTTCTCAAAAGTGATTTCGTCAAATCCTATCACGTAATCTACTTGGTTTGATATAATGAATGACCTTAATCAAGTGAGGTTGTGACTTATACCTGGAGTTAAGACTAGTGTTTTTCTAGACTCAAGGAAAATTGTTTGCATCCTTGAAGAAATTCATATAACTATACCTCTTGATATATTTGGACGACACATTAACTAATAAATCCCGATGAACACAAGACTTATGCTCAGAGCTATTTACTGGCTACATAAAAGCATATTATAAAAGTCTACAAAGACATAAAAAATAATGCATACCTGCATGATTAATGAACGCATATATGGGTGATGAATATACACTATTCCCGTCTTGATAAGCTTCTGCCAGAGTTTTTGGCATTTTTTCTGGTCACAATCATCAGGCTTCGAGTCAACTCTAGCCTTAATAGCATCCATAAGGCGATCGTTTATGCTCTGAACAAAGATAAGTAACAATAAAGATTATATACCCATAAAATATTATGTCTTGGAACTCCGTGTATATCCAGAAGCTTCAGTGCTTGACTGAAATTAGGAACAAGTTGTTCCCAATATTTGTCTTGGAAAGCTTCGATATCATCTTTCGTAATTTTCGACTTAGTAAATAGGTCTTCAATTGTCTTTTTCATGACTGGAAACACAAAAGGCTTTGAGGGCTAAAATTGTCAGCAATATGTTACCAAAAATGCCAAGGCTTACATTGTCCTTTGTTTCCATTGTTAGAATAGTTGACCCTAAACATATAGAAACTGAAAAAGTACATACAGTATAGTTCACGTTTAAGAATTAACAAAATAAATAAGGCGCAGAGGGTTATAAGACAAATTTTAGATTGAGGATTCTCACAAGTATCAGCAACAAATTATACGAATTAAATATTTGCCTGGTCGAAAATGAACTTTTGATAATGACGAAAGTAGTTTTGTCACAACATGAAGCCAGTCGAAACCAAGGAAAACTGTTACTGTGAGAGAGAAATATAATGAAATGAACTAACCACTAGATTCCCCGACCGTTGTTGCTACCTTGACGTGGTGGTCGGGCTTGCCTATCGTGATGAAGCAACCGAGCCATACTGGCTGGAACAACCGTTCCTCAAGGTTCTACCATGTCAGACAGGTTGGTTGAAGAGCGGTAAGACTAAAAGCAACAAACCCAAGGTCCAAAGGAGAAGTCGTACTGCTGACTGTACAGAGGTGTGACAGCAGTAAGGTGTTTCCTTCAGACAACCAGCATGACAGAGAAGCTACCTTCCCACAAGGAGGGGTGTGGTTAGAAAACGTCGGCCCTAAAAAAAATGCACGCCTCGCCTTATCCCACGGATATCCGTCTCCGGCGGTAAGATCTCAACAAGTACGAAGCTAGCACAAAAATCACCCATAAAAAGGTCGTGTGTGACCGACCTCAGGCAGTTGTCCCTTGGGCACTGCGGTCACGCTCTCAGGTCACTAAGACCACCTCTAATCCAATTTCCTTTTCAGGCACCTTCAAAAGAACCCTTCCACGGTGTGGGCAACCGGGAAGTGATAAGCGCCCTCATACCTCTAACAGCACTCAAGACCACTGTATTCAGATTTTAGCTCACTGAATTCATTCTGATTAAACCGCACCGAAACGTGGGAGTATTAAATTTGGTTCGGAAAACAACAGTCTGTATTAATTAAGTTTCGAGAAAAATAGTTATCTCATAGGTTGCCATTTTTTAAATACTTCTCTAATATCACACTAGCAGAATTGGAAATTTTATCTGTGCTCTGGTTAATTATAGAAGGTAGTCTAGTACACTTTCAAATGATGATGTACTCGAAATATTTGTATACTTCCAAGTGTAACAAATCATCAGACCAGACGAAACGTGACAACTAAATCTAGGTTCATGCACCAGGTTACAAATGTAAATTTAAAGTAGATCAATGTAAACGAACCACTGAAGGCAATCTCAGAATTTGCAGCATTATTCGCAAAATGTAAGATTTATAACTACATTTCGCTAGTGGATGTCATTTAACTGTCAGCTCTTAGGCACATCAAAAACCTCTTTTATTTTGTTTGTGGCATGTAGTTTTTCAGAATTTCACTGAGAAAGCTAATAAAGTGTAAGTATACACTTTGAACTGAGAATGTTTTCTCCAACTAACTACAAGTTTAAAGTGTTCCCAATACTTAAATGTCGAGTAACAAACTATGTGAAGTGCTGTATACAGAAAACTGTGGTGAGTCTACACACTAAGCAGAACAAACATGGAATGTATTGTATTCTTCATAGAATTGACATGTAAACAAAATACTAGGTCTCGCCATAAATGACGTTAGCAGTCATACAGATAATTAGTGATGAATGCATTATATAACATTTTCAAGAAACCTGTGAATCTATTAGATACACTCATCACTATCATTTCAATCATGCATGTGAAGCAACAATATCGTTTATTTGTAGTTAGTGCACTTGTAATGACTTCGTCTCACATCCGCATGAAGTTCTGTAACTTTTAACACCATCAGTTAAAGTATACTTGCATACAAGCTAACTTTTTGATGAAACCCACTTACAAGTTAAAATTAAACCGACCCCACGCGTTTGCGCTACGAAACGGCTACTTATCGAGTTAACACTAGGTGAAAAATATAATACATTATATATTTACTGATCAACAAAAAGCCTTCACAAAGAATAAAGGCATGATTCAATTTAGTGCAATGGATTCATTAGATGAAACATGCATGCAGTAAGTCAAAAACAGTCGTTTTCGATTCATAAGCTATCATCTCATATCGCTTACGTTTCAAGAAATGAACAGGCACAACTTACATTAAAAAGCAGTGTGGCGAGACGATACGATTTTAGTGGGAATTGCGATACAATGTCCATTGATTTCAGATTTCAGATTTGTGTAGTAAGGACAGAAGCCCCACGGCCTATGTTATTCATTTTCTAGTATGTTTGTGTGAGTGTCCAGTCTTCTCTTGAAAGAGTCAATTGAAGGTGTGGACACCACTGCTTCGGGCAGCAGGTTCCAAGTATTGATGACTCGGTGTGAAAACCTGTATGCCGTGGGTATTTTGTTCGTTCTTGGCTTTTCTACTCGCCTGCTATGTCCTCTGAGATGTCCCGATCTAGTGGGAAGAAAGAGAGAGAATAAGTTAGGTCCGAAATCATTTCTCAGTGTTCTGTACATCAAAATTAGATCTCCCCTTAGTCTGCGATAGGACAGAATAAAGAAATCCAGTTTTTCAAGCCGCTCTTTGTATGACAAACCCCGGAGTTCTGAAATTGCACTGGTATCTGTCCCCGGTACTTTTTCTAGGATATCCGAGTCACCTTCTAAACAGGGGCTTGCAGTCTGAGCGCAGTTCTCTAGCTTAGTTCTCACTAAGGATATGTATACTGTGGTGAACATGGTAGTATCTAACTTAGTGAATGTCCGTTTTAAAGCCCAGAGGGTTCGAAACCCCTTGGCTGCGACCTCCCGGCAATGGGCCGTCGTCTTAAGATCATGACTCACTGTCACCCGTAGATCCTTATGAGACCGGACTACGGGTAATGACACATCCCCTATGTTGTACTTATCAACCTTTGAATCTTCGAAATGCACGTAGACACACTTTTCCGAGTTGATAGGCATCAGCCACTCTTTAGACCAGTTTATCATATTATTTAAGTCTGCCTGAAGAGTAAATGCATTTTTGTCTCCAGTTATTACACGCCAACTTTTTACATTGGAGACTGTACTATACTTGTAAGATCATTAACGTACATTATAAAAAGTAAAGGACCTAGGACGGAACCTTGGGGTACTCCACTAAGTACTGGTCTCCAGATGGAGCACTTGGAATTTATTCTTACTTTTTGTCTACGACCTACTAGGAAATCCTTAATCCATTTTAAAAGAGGTCCGGCAATACCAAGGTTTTCCAACTTCAATAGCAGTCTATTAGTTGGCACCTTGTCAAAAGCCTTACTGAAATCTATGTAGACAACATCCACTGAGTTTCCGTTGTCTAGCGCATTAATCCAGAACTCCCTAGCTATAAGGAGGTTCGTTGTACAGGATAGACCCTTTCTAAAACCATGTTGTGCCATGTTCAGCAAGTTATTGGTTTCCATAAATGCCATTGTGGTCCGTTTGATTATTCTTTCCAGTATTTTAGCCACAACACTGGTGAGGCTTACGGGTCTGTAATTCGATGGAACTTGTTGTGGACCTGTTTTATGTATGGGAGTGACGATTGCGTCCTTCCAGTCCATAGGTAACACACCTTGGTCAAGTGACATTTTGAATATCACAGTCAGTGGGGCTGCGATATATTGGGCAATATGTCTCAAGATTTTAGGGTGTAGTTCATCTGGTCCTGTTGACTTCTCCATGTTTAGGGTGCTAAGAGCCTTAAGCACATCGTTTTGGTCGAAGTCCACGGTGAGCAGCTGGTTTGTTGACTCTGTAATTGGGTCTGGTTCTTTCTCTAGAGGAGGTTCCTGAGTGAAAACTGCCCCAAAGTAGTCAGCCATAACCTCTGCTTTTTCCTGATCTTCCTCTATCATTTCAGATTCACTTCCTACTTTAATTAGGTTGGGAATCCAATGATGAATCCTTGTTCTGTAGTTTATGTACGAGAATATCCTCTTGGGCTGCTTGAGTGCAGATTGTGCCAGCTGCATTTCATATTTTCTTTGCGCTTCCCGAATTTTAGTTATACACTCGTTTCTTATCGATCTGTAGCGTTCCATCGTACCTGCTGTGCCAAGGCGGATGGCAACATCCCAGCATTTCTTCTTTTGTCTTAGTAAGCGTCGAATATCCCGCCCTATCCAGGGATGTCCGTGCTTCTTTTTCTTTGGGACAGTCCAGGGTATGTATGGTTGAGTTACCCGATTGTATAACTGCCTGAATAGAGTCCATGCCTCTTGTACTGATGCCTTTGAGTCAATTTCCCAGTTCTCAGCCGATGCTGCGGAGTTAATTGCCTGCATATCTGCCTTCCATATGTTAGGACGGGCCGGCGCAACTGTTTGACAAGCAATCTCAGCCATGAATTTGAATAAGATGACTGCATGGTCACTTCTCCCAAGTGGTGGGAGAAAAGCCATTTGACCAACGTCATCACCGTGTGTGAAGACTAAATCTAAAAGAGAGAAGAGTTTCTTAAGTCGTATCTTGTGGGATCTCTAATGTGTTGGAATAATGCTAGTCCAATCGAGGTTTCTAACAGTTTGGAGTCGAACGACGATATGGATGACCCTACTTCTAAGTTAACCCAGTTTATATATGGTGCATTAAAGTCGCCTACTACAAGGCTTTTACCGTTGTTACACCAGGACTTAAGTTTACTAAGGGGAAAATCATCTGCTACACATTCTGGACTGCGATACTACTTCAATATCTTGCCTTCGGCATTTCAACTTACATCTCACCAGTTCACATGTCCCTGAAACATGTGCTACTGTCTCAGCTAATCTTATGGTTAGGGTACTTTTTGTGTACAGAATAACCCCGCCTCCCCTTCGGTTTAATCTATCAGCCCTACTGGTTATGAAACCAGTCAACTGGATTTCACTATCTAATACTTCTGACGTTAACCAAGTTTCCGAGACAGCAATAACGTCCGGTTTTTCTTTATCCACCACTGACTTCAGCTCCGCCATTTTATTTAGTAGGCTGCGAGCATTTGTGTAGCATACCTTTAAGTCTGTGGAGAGCTTTCCCTTGCCACCCAGA